GCAGCTCTATTCCCCAGTGTACTTCATCTCAATGAAGTGATGTGGGTTAAGTGGCCCTGTCCTTTCAATGCTGCAATGTAAACTTACTGTTTTTTTAAAAACTGCAATGTTTTCATTGCAGGGCTAAGTCCACCTGGAGAGGTTGTGAGTACGACAGCCACTGGAGGCGCTAACTGAGTAAAACTCTTTCACTTGATGCTCTATAGCAGGCTTTCCCAAACTCCGGCCCTCCAGATGTTGCTGAACTGCAACTCCCATGATTCTATGAATTAAATAGATAGGCTGAGAATCATGGGAGTTGTAGTTCAGCAACATCTGGAGGGTCGGAGTTTGGAGAAGCCCGCTCCATAGGAAAGCATTGAATACAATGCTTTTCTGTGGGGCTAGAATGCACATGTGCATTAGGTCCCCAATGCTCCTATTGGATTGGGCTGTCAAGGAGGTGGCCATGCCTTCACAGTGACATCGCTGGAGTTGGAGAGGCAAGCAGAGCTGAGGGGAAAAAAGTAAGTAAAATAAATATATATTTACATTTTTAGAGCAAATGGGTGGGGGGAGAGGATTATACAGATTTAGGGCCAAGGACACTAAAGCTTATGAATACTTCTATTCCTAAAGCTCCTTTAACACCTTAAGGACCAAACTTCTGCAATAAAAGTGAATCATGACATGTCACACATGTCATGTGTCCTTAAGGGGTTAAAGCCGCACTGACATCCCCAATTCAAAAAATAAATATTTCATAAAGATAACATTTTTGTGAAATACTCATATTGACTGTGTTAAAAGATATACTTAGAAAAAGTGACGATTACTTTGCATTAGTATTTTGTCCCACACTTGAGAAAACGTGTCAAAAGGCAAAGCTACCTTTGTCACTAGTGATGGCTGTAGGGAAAAGGGCTCTATCTATGGAAGATCTTGCTGGACAGGCCCACTTGCTTTTCTTATAAGGTGTGGCTAGCATATTTGTTCCCTGTAATGTTATATGCAGTTCTGTTACCAGAACAGAACCATGCTTGCCAGCGTCACAAGCTGAGTGTAGCTAAGTTGCACTCACTGTACATGCATACATGCAGAGTCAATTTGTGTGCATGGAAAGATTATTCCCAAGTAAGCTATACTGGTTAGAAAAACTGTTACTGAACAGCGAAGCAGAGGTTGTTGGAGATTGCAGCCACAACTTCCATTAAATGCGCTCTTTAAAACCATATTCTGATAGTATATGGTTGGGAGAAATTCTGCACGGCAATACAATTGAGGAACTAAACAAAAATTTTATTTTGCAAAAACACTGCTTCAATGTGCTTTGCAATGTCTTTGCAAAATAGTAGCAGTATCATATTGCAGAGGAGGCGCTGACCTTAGTAATTTCTGAGTTGCACCAGCACATTGGTAGTTTGAATAGCTGCTAGGTCTCCCATTAGTCTTTGGTTTCCTCTTCAAAGAATAAAAGGTGAACTAAGCAAGTGTGACAGAGTTTATTGGTTATCATAATGCACCCCTTTATCTAAGAAATGGCTGCATAATTGGTATTAAAGTGGCATTGTTAAAGAGATGCTCCATGCACCAAAACAACTTTCTTTTTCTTTTTTTTAAGATTTTATAGCTTTTAGTCTAAATAATAATTACTATTTTTGCATACCCAATTTTCTGTATTTGTTTACAAAATAAATATATAAATTAAAGTGACACTATAGTCACCAGAACAACTACAGCTTAATGTATATTAATTCCCTACAGGCATTTTCATGTAAACACTGTCTTTTTAGAGAAAATACAGTGTTTACATTGCCCCCTGGGGACACCTCCAGTGGACATTCCTCAGATATGCCACTGGAGGTGCTTCCTGGGGCAGTGCTGCTTAGTGTGCCGAACTGCCGTTCAGCGTCTCCACATTCTGCATGGAGACACTGAACTTTCCTCAGAGATGCATTGATTCAGTGCATCTCTATGAGGAGGTGCTGACTGGCCAAGCCAGTGTTTGGCCCCACCCCGTCCCACCGCTGTGCCAATTTCAGCCAATCCAATGCTTTCCCTATGGCCAAAATCATTTCATTTCATTGGCCAAATCATTTCATTTAATTCTGATGATGTCAGCAAGGATGTGGGGTATGATCAACACCAGCACTGGAAATAAGGTAAGTTTTCCTACCTTTTAAGGAGGTTAAGGGGGAGGCAAGCCACCTAAAGGGTGGTTTTTGACACTATGGGGTCAGGAACACATGTTTGTGTTCCTGATCCTATAGTATTCCTTTAATGTTCTGCTGCATTCTGTATCTTAGTCCTGCCTCCTTGTAGTTTTTGACTGTGGAGCTCTGTTATACAGACACACACAAGCAATATGGAGCTCCTAGAAAATAGGGACATTGGTATAGGACAGAGGGGTTTAGGCCCAAAATAGAAACGTTCTCTCCTAAATAGGAACGCTTTTTAATACTGTTTTTAAATTGCAAAGTTTATATAGCCAAGGCTATCACAAGCTGTTTTAAAACTTGTTGTAAAATTTACTTTCCAAAACACTATTTGCAAGATTAAAAGGCTTTTGTGTTGGTAGCCTGTCTTAAAATAAACGTCAATGAAATTCTTGTGTATTATGAAAGTATGTTCAAGGTTCATTCCAGCCCTACAATTATTTATGACTGAAGGTTTGCCAGTTCAGAGCAGAAAGATCATAGAGTAAAAATTGAACCAGCTATCCTTTTCAAATAAAGACACTTAGAAAGAAAGAATCAGCGGTGCAACTGTAATATAAGTGTTGTTGTTTGGTAAATTTTGTAATTCACAAAATGTAAATATAAAAATTTACATTTCCTAAAAACTGCCCTTTTCTTCTTAAAGCGACAGTCAACTGGAGATCTTGGGTTATTCTCATTCAGGGGCAGACTTAATGCAGAAAAAAAAACCTATTGTGTTATGGGAGCTTCAGGCATACTAGTTGAACACTGAACATATAATAGTTCTGAGTATGGGGATTAGAATGTGTAATATTACACAAAACGTGCAAGAGCATCCAAAATGTTGGTGGGAGTCTATATAAAACATTTTTTAAAAATGAGGAACGCTAGACTAGAGGACGTGGTCAGACAGCAGTGGCTGAGTGTTTACAAAGAACCCAATACTATGACACTGAGAATTAGTGTAGACGTAAAAAGCTAGCACTTTAAAAGTACAGAATTTTACATAATCTGTTCTTTAGTTTAAAATGTAACTGATGATTGTATTTGGACACTGTTTTCTAGACAGGGCTATTATGTAAAATTCAGGAATTTTAACGTGCTAGCTTTTTACTCACTTGGTTAGATTGGTAAACGTGTTGCCTCGAGGTATGACATAGCTGATAGAATGACTAAATATTACAGTTCGCACCATAAAGGTACAGGGATTGCACCATAAGACGTCATAGGTCAATTCAAGCTACTTGTGTAAGTTACTTGAGCCTTTTAGAGGAACAAAATTGTAAACAAACTTGGAATTGTGAAACATTTGTAAAATACACACCCGTCGTGTTTCAATTGTGAGGCAGAGATTTTAACCTTTTTTGTCCAATCCCAATAAATCCTTTTATACGCACTGCATGACATTTCTTTTTAAAGGCTTGGTATACATACAAAAGATTAAATCTTACCTAAAAGGTTGGGGAAACCCAGAATTTGTCTGTAACCAAATACTCAATTTCTTCTTTCAGAATGACCAGCTCATGGGCACCTAAAAACATTAAACAAAATAATTTGATCAAAAAGTAATACAAACAGAAAACCTCTTAAGAATCAGTATCGACGCACAGATTCCACAGTCCCATATACAAAGAACATCAAAAACCCTGAATATAAAAATAACAAGTCTGTTGGGACCAACCACAGTGCTCAGTTTTAACACATTTAAACCTTTTTCTGAGAAACACACTGGCAATATCAAGAAATGTCCTTAGCGCCCACTGCTCACTTATAAAAAGTATATAAGGGATTAAAGCGCCACTACCCTTCATCATTTGGTATTCATAATCACACAAATGGTTTATCAAACTGATATACTACTTATGACAGTAAATGGGTAATGGACATTATGCAAAAAAACTGGAGTGTGCGTATGGTTTTTTTTTCTTCCCATAAATATAAAGCTAAGCTAGCCACCTATATGACTATGCCAACCTCATTAATAAGGCAAATTGTATACAGAAAATGTCCAATGGATACAAAGTCCAGGGGACACAAATTTTGTGTCCTCTGGACTTTGTATCCATTGGACATTTTCTGTATACAATTTATCTAATTCTTAGGGTTACCCCCTTTGAAGTCCCTTTACACACTCCAGGTCCCCTTTTGGAGGTCCTCTCCTTTTCCGTTTAATTAGGCAGACAACGCTAGTGACCGGTTAAAGTTGTACCAGAATTTTACCCATGTTACAAAATGACGCCCGGATTGTTTCTAGGATAAAGTTGGGCGCAAGACAAAAAAATTAATGAGAAGCAGTGGAGCAGCAGTGTCATTTCTGTCTAGCTGGTAATTATGCTAATGTAGCATACTTCAAGGCGTTCTGAGTGAATATGTCATGCCGAATTAAAGAGCAACTCTCACTTATCTGGAATTACGGCATTTACTAAAACATTGAAAATCATCTATAACTTGTGTTAAAGGACCACTCTAGGCACCCAGACCACTTCAGGTTAATGAAGTGGTCTGGGTGCCAGGTCCAGCTAGGGTTAACCCATTGTTTTATAAACATAGCAGTTTCAGAGAAACTGCTATGTTTATCAATGGGTTAAGCCTTCCCCCAAAGCCTCTAGCGGCTGTCTCATTGACAGCCGCTAGAGGCGCTTGCGTGCTTCTCACTGCGAGAAGCCTTGTAGAAGAGGACATATTGAAACATTGTTCGATTTCTCCTATTCTCTGTATACTTTCTCTATGCTGACTGCCAGGGGCAAATGTAAAAAAATATAATTTTCTTTTTGACACCTCACAAACTTATATTTGTGTATGTTTATTATAGGGATAAGTAAACCAAATATTAAAATTCATGGGAAATAATTCCCCTTTAAAGAAAGTTGAGTGATGGATGATTTTGCTTTCATTCCTAAGTTATGAAATGTAAAATAAACTAGAAAGTACAACAACATGGTTAACTACATAATCTAAAATGTTTCTGTGTTTTCTCTAATTCTAGTTTCATTTTGAATTTTTAACAAATCTTGTACCTTAACCACGCCACGATGCCTGGACCAGAAAGGTAATGCCATGGACTTTATTAATTAAAACCGTTATTTTATTCAAAGTATGCCAATTTGTTTTCATATCTGTTTTAAATTATATATGTGTGTGTGTGTATGTGTGTGTATATATATATATATATATATATATATATATATATATATAAAATCATATTTTTTGTTTCTGCATGAAATATTAAAAAATGTAAAATTATCTGGCTGATGAATATATAAGCTATATGCTGTGAAATATATTCTAAGCAGAAGAGGACAGAATTGTTGGGGCAACAATTTTACTAAAACCTGTCATAATATGGGAAGAGCGAGTACCCACAGGATGCAAAGAAGCCCGTCTCCACCTCCAACTTATCCACATAGAAACAATAAAGAAATGTTTCTGCACAGTGTGCATCAGTGTAAAAAGCGACAACGTTCGCCATTGCTTTGGGAGCTGTTACAGTGTTACTGAAAGGAGATCTGCCACCTCAAAACTATTTTTGACATAATAATCCTTTCATCAAGCTTGGAATGGATATAGATTTATTTATTTTTTTTAAATTAAGTTTAAGTAAAAAAAGGAAAGAAAAACTGGTCGCTATCTTTTTAGTATATAACATCTTTCGGCTATTTATATGCATCTTGGGTCAGACAGTATTTGAAAACCGACAGTCTCCATAGTCTTCCCTGCCTGGCTATAAAACTGTGTGAAATACAAATACAAAAATCCACACATTCACAGCCCCATTTTCAGCTTCTTAAAAATATTAAAACATTGCACTTTTAAATAAAGAACATTCTATTACAGTAGCACCCAAACTACTTCTAAAAAAATTAGATGTATTTTGTACTTTTATCTGATTTTTTTTTTTTTTTTTAAGGACTTACACCAGGGAACTTTTTGGACCCTGGCTCATCAGACAGATTGACAACAACAAGTTTGATGGTGTTTGTTGGCTGGATGACGCTCGGACATATTTTCGGATTCCCTGGAAACATCTGAACATGAAGACTAAAAATGAAAGGGATTATAAAATTTTTAAGGTAAGTTTGTTTTGTGGTTTTGTTTTTTCTTTTTCTTTCCAATAATTGTATATAAACTTCAACGCAGCTCATTTTGCCGAGCAAGAACAGTTAAGAATTGAGTGATTCATCTCATATCCTTTCCAGACTCACATTTTCCATCTCTGATGGCATTACAGGAATTGTCTACCCAGAAGTTGTTTTATGTGAAGAAAAACTAGTGATACTTCTAAACTATTACCTTTGTTTACCCAAGTTCTGTAAATGTTTTCTATTAAGCACTCTTTTAGAGTCAAAACTCCTTTCCTTACTAAATACAGCAGCCAATGAAAGCTGGACAGTGACCTTCCCCCAGTAGTGAGTGTGTGCCACTTGGCAACCTCTTGGCATATAGTAATCTAGATCTCACTGAGTTAGTGCCGTTTTAATTTATTCAAGGCTTCATAAAGTTCTAGAATCTTTAATAAATACTTGTATTGACTAGGTTGAAATATCAATGAAATTCCAACCCGGTCAAAAGATATAGTGAGACAAAGTAGGTACTACTTTGTCTCACTATATCTCCAATGCCTGACACTTCTTGACACTGGATGGATGGAGCTACTGCCATCAAAATGTGTCAATCCCCCAGTCCTCACCAGTGAAGACTGCAGGGAAATTAGCTATGTCTATTTCATAGGCCTCTTGCACATGTGAGATAGTACAACAGTGACATCGGCTCCTGGCAGCTGAACCCGCCAGAATAGCGTTGTGGTGCCCGTGAGGGACAGTTAAGTAGATTTCACCTTTCCCTGGACACCGGATCAAATCATGCAAAGTCTCCAGCCGGTGACAGTGCCACTTTAATACACTTTTATGGAAAAAAACTTTGATTTACTAATTGTCACTTCACATTTTCTTTATTCAAATACATACTGTACATTTGTCCCTCATCTAGGCCTGGGCGGAACAGAGTGGCAAGTACGATGCGACATGTGAAGATCCAGCTACCTGGAAAAGAAACTTTCGCTCCGCCTTAACCACAGTTACATGGGATAACAAAAAAGTGTTTACTGAAGTTCAAGACTTATCACACAACCAAGAAGATCCCCACAAGATATACAGTGTCTACCGTATTCCAGCAGTTCCACTTCAGCCTGCATTTATCATTTCTTCTGGACCTCCTTACGCACATGCAGGTAGGCTTCCCACCATTCGCATACATGTAACACTATTTGTTTCTTTATTAAACAAACACTAGTTTTGTTTGATTATAGCTAATTTACTACATTTCTCAAAAACAGCTTAAGTTGCAGGTTTTCCTGGTTTTATTTTTAATATTTAATTTTAAATTGTGGTTCCAAATACGCATTGAATTCCACTATTCATTAAATATTGAGAGGACACTTGACTTTAGATAGTACATACTACTATTTTAATTAATTTTTGTCCTGCTATACTTCATACACATTTTTAATCCATCTTTTTATGATGTCTTTACTGAAGTATTTTTGTTTGCATCTTATTTTTCCATTGTTTGAAGTCCATATTTTAGCCCTGGGCCAAGTCCTTCAAACCCATATGATCTGTTGAATTAAATAATATTTTAATATTTGACAGTCAGACTTATTTAGGAAAAACACAGGTCAGAAGATGTATCGGTCCAGAAGGAAATGTAAACTTAGCATTGAGATATACTAGAATTGATCCATGGTAACAAATCACTCTAAAATAATATATTGAATAGTGAATTCAAGGAATAACTTTACTTAAATAACAGTGATGCCATTGTATGTGATAAAAACAAAATATCAATTCTTCTGTATTTACTAAATGGAAGAATGTACAGACTAGAGAGTTATTGTGAGATTTCTTCATCACTTATTTTTTTACATGTATACATCCAAAGCATAGTTTTCATAGATGTAATGTTAGATTTTTTTTCTTCATTTAAATAAACAACATAGCCTTTGCCGTACCACAAGAAGATCAAACTTTTCAAGTCCAGCAGCAAGCGACCGGTAAGGAGAAAATATATATATATATATATATATATATATTTCTTTTTGAAAGTTTTTTTCTAATTTGTTTTTGTTGTTAAACTGCCTCAAATAAAAAGTATAAAAAGTCTTGTTATTTTTCCAGGTGGTAATAATGCCTTCTCGAATTACCTTCGAACAGATGAAATACAAGTTAATGATCCCAATGCTGAAGATTACGACCTGTTAATAAGCCCCGATTCATCTTGTGATTTGAGACTGCCATCAAATGGGTTGACAGAAGCAGTATGTGTCTATATAGATGTGTTTTCATTGATTTCAAATTCTATTGGAAAAGTTTTTTTTAATTATGTTTATTGACTAGCTTTAAAGGGATTCTATATGTATATGTATTCCTAACACTACAGTGCCACTTGCTCTCTCCCCCTTTATTTACTCACCCAATTCCAGCATCGATGTCCCTTGGTGCTTGGTCAGTGCTTCGCCTCCTCTGACGTCATCCGATGGGGGGTATCTAATGCACAAGCAAGGTGAGCACCTCAAGTGCATTGGGCCCTCCCCATAGGAAAGAATTGACTCAGTGGTTTTCTATGAGGAGTTCACTGACGCTGGATGTTCTCATGCAGCGATAAGAACATCTAGCATCATTTAGGGACCAGAGTCTGGTATACTCCCGGAAGTGCCTCTAGTGGCTATCTACTTAGACAGCCACTAGAGGCAGTCTTTCTACTGCAATGCAAACATTGCAGTTTTTCTAAAACTGCAATGTTTTAAATTACAGGACTAAGTGGGACAGGGACACTGCACCCAGACCACGTCAATGAGATGAAGTGGCCTGGGTGCCTATGGTGTCCCTTTAACTTAAATAATGATTTTGATTATAGCGGCTTCCCTTCTATTATAGTCTACAAACAGGAAGTCGCATAAACCAGCTTTGTGAAAAAGAACGCTAGTCTCTGTGTAATAGTGCATTTACTGCCCAAGTGTTTTCTGTATCAGTCTACGGAACTTTAATATAATTCAGCTGAGAAAGAAGCTTTTAGTTAATGGCACCTTTTTGATATGGTATTTAGGGTGGTTTGTACATTTTTGTTCTTTAATCCTGGCCGTTTATTGCATCATTTGTATATTCTCTTCTAGGAACTAGATGAATTTTTGGAGAACTTCAACATACATATCAACGAGACAGGTAATTTGGATGTTATTTGTTGTATTATATGATTTTCTTTATATATTTTTATCACAATGATTGTTTTTTGTTTTTTTTAATCCTGTGAGTACATTTCTACAATTTTACTCTATACTGCCATTCACAAATGTGTGTTAGGACCAAACTAGCATCATTTAGGCATTTAACATCTAAAACCACAAGATATGAAAATGATTCAATACTGTTGGGGAAAAAAAATGTATCAAGTATGGAAGTCACCATTAATGTCTATGGGAATTTTTGTAAGTAAAATCATTTGGAAACTTTGTCTAACAGTATTGATTGTTTCGGAAAGCTTAGTAAATTCTTTTCTTGCTTATTATTGTAGGATTTTAATAATGCTCATGCACATATTTTTATTTTCCCGATTCTTGAGATATCCACTACATGACCATGAACAGTTTGTTTGAAACAGGGGGTTCCCAAGGAACCAATGGCTTAATGGATAGCTAGTACAAACTTTTCTCTTCCACTTTAGCGATATCAATTTCGTCCATATTTGGTTGATATTTGATGACTGAGTGGATCAGCTGACACACTTCGCCAATTATTGTCATTTACAAATGGAAAATTTGATTGCCGGGCAAAATGCTTTCCCTCAAATGGCCCTTCCCAGAACTCATAGGACCAGGTCTGCACAGCAGCCTTTTATAACAAGTTATGATTTGATTGGCATTTTCATTCAAATCACATGGCCGTTACTTTGTGATGTTCATGTTTAGGTACTTATCACAATCTTCATAGGCAAATTTTACAAAAAAAAAACAAAGATAAGAAAAAGATATATTTATATACTCAACAAAATATAAATTGATAGTAGCTTAAAGAATCACCCCACATCCATACAACACTTCAGCAAGAGGAGAATCCCATAATAATGACCGTTTATAAAAGTGTCTATGTCTATTATAAATCCCCTGGCCAAGGTGGTTTCTTCCTGCTTCTGTTAGTTCCTCTGAGCTAACAGAAGTGGCAAGTTCGCTTGAGAGCGCTTGCCTCCCCCTTGCATACCTCAAAAAAGCGTCCAGACCTCAGATCACTATGATGCTTGTGCATGCGCACAGAGAGAGCCTTTTAATGGCTTTGCAAAGGATGGAGGTCTTGCAAAGGCCAAGGTTTAAAAGCACTGCAGCTCTTGCATACTGTTTCAAGATATACCTTAATATGATATACGAATGAATACATTCATAGTGATTTCTATATGTGTGTTTGTTGTTTGTGTTTGTTTTTTAAGGTTGCCATGGTACTCTAATTGTGCCATTTAAATTTTGCATTTTAATAGCAGGTAACAGGCTGATTATTTATCCAGGCATGTTGAAGTGCCAGAAGAATAAAATCTTAACATCGAGCAAACATTAATATAAGCATACAAAATTAAGCGCTGCACTTAAACCTTCACTACTCCTTGGTGGCAGCCAGGGATGCCATTAGAAATTTTGGGGACCCTGACACAATTTAAGGTCTGGGCCCCTGGGGCCCACCCCTGAGTCCACCCATAGGACCTGCCCACAATGCACACCCCTAAGTCCGCCCACACGAATGTAGTGTGTTTGTGTAGCGGATGCAGCGGATGTTTGTGTAGTGGATGATGTCTGCCGTGGCCAGGGGCATGCAATAGTTGGAAGCTGATGATCACATATGCTGGACCCCCTCTTCATTATACAAGCTACCAGGGGTCCTGCAGGGACAGTGGTGTGATTAACGTAGAGAGGGCATTGATGCAAGAAATGTTTGGGGGGCCTCGTCTACCACAAGGGTGGCCAAAATGTAGACCCCATCTGTCGGTCAAGTCCTAAAATGTTTTGCCAGCTGGGGATCTACAATTTGCCCATCCTTGTGGGGTTGTATTTAGCATTAAGCAGAGTTTGTGTGCTTGAATGTAAGCATGTTTTTGTTTCGAGTAGGTGTGTGTGAATGTTGGTGTTTGAATGCAGGCGTGCATTTGTGTGTAGTGTGTACACTGCCACACACACTGATATGAACATACACATAGATGCACCCACATAAATAGATACACAAACACTGACACGTGCAAATACACAGGCACACCAACACACAGTTACATGCACAGATACACACAGTTGCACTCACTGACACAGTTACCAACAAATATACACATACTGGTACACAGTTGCGCACACACAGGTATACATACACACGCATACACTCAGGTGCACACTGACGCACAAATTTACACAAACACAGATACACACACATACACTCAGGTGCACACTGACACACAGATTTATACACAGACACACTGACAAATACATGCATAGAATAATTGGTTTGTGTATTTAAAAAAATAATTTAACCTTTTATATCTGACTTACAGATTCTGAGTACATAATTTCCCCTTAAGAAGATGCTGCTAATCTGTACTGGGAGTAAGACTGAGAATATGAATTACTGCTTCTCCCCATGTGTATAGTGAATGGAAATTAATGTAGCATATAACTATATAAAGATTTCAACCATTAATATTTTTCATCTGATCTCATTCTCTCTTTTCAGATGTGCAAGAAAATACACAAATATACCAACATAATGTATTTTCACAAGAACCAGTATACCAACACACAGAGAGTGGTGACCCTATGCCCAATGGCTCTATGGCCCTGGCAACCCAAAATGCCAGCACATTATTTCCTCACCCTGGTGAGTTTAATGTATACATACAACATAAAACCCACATAAATGAATAGTAATTGTAATAGTAATTGTCAAAATCACTTGTATCAAATTACAATATATCACGCTTCCTTAATTTAGGAGTTAGTATCTTGATTGAAGCATGCTCATCTGTGCGTGCTATATATCAACTAGTTATCTTAGAAATGAGACAGATCGAAAAATAGGTACTGGCTAAACTAATCTACAAATCAGGAGTTCCTGCATGGAAAAAAAAAATGCATTAGACTTGCGTCAAAGTTTAATATGACTCGCTTAATCTTTAAAATATGAATGCCTCGTAGCTAAATGTAAGTTTGAAAAAACAATGTTTTTATGCTGACTTAAATTTAATTTCTGAACAGGTACAACGCACCAGACATATAGCACTTTTCACAATGGATATTCAGAGAATGTCACACATGTGGCCCAAGTCTTCAGACCAGACTCAGAATCTGTCCATCAAACAGAGGAGCATGTGGTAGAACATGTTCCCAGAATGGCTAGTAATGCTAAAGCTCCTTTGCATGTAGAAAACACATGTGCATTGTCTCATCAACAAAGTAAGTTTACTTCTATTATTTACTAGAATATAAAGTCAAAAGGTTCTACCACAAAATATCCTTTTCATGATCCACTATTCCTACCTGCCTAGAATAATTCCAGCCAACATTGCTCCCATTTTGTATTTTTTCTTTTTTACCTAGGACGCTAATTAATACTAATTAATACTTCCATATCTCTCGTACTTGTACAATGCATACATGTTTTAGCAATTTGCAAGTAATCTCAAAGTGTATTTTTTTTTTTTTTTTATTATTATTTTTTTGTCTACATTTCCTATACCTGCATCTACCAACATAAATTGAGTTAACCCCTTAAGGACACAGTTTTAGAAATAAAAGGGAATCATGATGGAATATGTTCGTCATGTGTCCTTAAGGGGTCAATGGGTCTTTTTTACAGTTATAAAACATGCAAGTCAACACCTTTCACTCTTGACACAATGGGGCACATTTACATACTAGTGATACTCGAGCAGATACATTATGAAAGTTTTGGGGGGGTTTTTTGCTGTTTTTTTTTTTTCACTTTTTATGACTTGGTAAATCTAACACATTACAGCTCTCATTGTTATGGTTGTGCAAGCATAGAATTTAACGGAATACTATAGGGTCAGGAACACAAACATGTATTCCTGACCCTGAAGTGTTAAAAATACCATCTAGCCCCCCTATATAAATATAGTAAAATCTTACCCTTATTCCAGTCTGCTGCTGCCTGCTCAGCCCCTGATCTGCCTCCGTGGCTGACATAATCAGAAGTGATGGTCTGAGCCAATCACAATTCTTTCACATAGGAAAGCATTGGATTGGCTCAGCTTGTCAAGGAGGCAGATCAGCTGCAGAGCCAGCACAAGCCAAACACAGCCCTGGCCAATCAGCATCTCCTTATAGAGATGCACTGAATCAGTCCATTTCTATGAGGAAAGTTCAGTATCTCCATGCAGAGCGTGGAGACACTGAATGGCAGTGCTGTACAGTGTGCAACACTGCCCCAGGAAGCATCTCAAGTCCTCTGAGGAGTGGCCAGTAAAAGGTTACCTAGGCTGTAATGTAAATACTGCATTTCTCTGAAAAGAGAGTGTTTATTGCAAAACGCATGAAGGGTCTGATTATACTAGAACAAAGACAATAAGCTGTAGTTGTTCTGGTGACTATAGTGTCCTTTTATTCCTATAAGTCATTATTGAGCCTATCTATCATGCTTATAGCTATATCTTATACTATATATTTTAATGATTACTTCCATTTTCTTGTAGGACGGATTCCACACTTAACAGAATGGGAAGTCACAGTATTCTACAAAGGAAAACTAGTTTTAAAGCAAAACGTTACCAGAAAATTTGTCATAACATTTGAAGAAGCCAATCGAGCACTAGAATCTGTTGATCTAGTCTATTTACCTTCCACTGAAAAGTTGGTGGATCAGACCCAGATCAAACATACAAATACTATACTTGAGAATGTACAAGACGGGCTCCACCTTGAGGTCAATAGCACGGACTTTAAGCTGTATGCCACACGGCATGGCAAGGCAAGGGTTTATTGGTCCAAGTCTGAAGGTGTTGAATCCTCTACCAATAATACCGAAGCAAATATTCTGTCCAGGGCGATCCAGAGTGAGATCTTTGACTTTAATCAATATAGAAATGGTAAGTCCAAATGGTGACAATGCTGCATGTATTGTCTTACTATCCTGCTAGGCTATTTAGGGCACTATTTTTTTCTATTAAAACTGATGTGTAACTCATTTAAAAACAAGGTCATTTTTTTTTTGCCCTGAGTTCAGATATGTTGGTTCTGTTGTGAGAGCACTCATATATTGAAACATGAACGCAGCCAAGTAGCACTCATATATTGAAACATGAACTCAGCCAAGCTTCCTTCTACTGTCCGTTAAGTGGGCAACTTTTCTGATTCACAGAGCACTCACAATCATGCTGGTGTACTATACCATGCATATTTAAGCATGGGTTACTATTATTATTTTTATTAGCACCTTACCTTCTTTCTTTCCTTTTCATACTCTGACTTTCTAACAAGTTTACAAGTGAGTGAGGCTTTACCTTGCATCTATGCTGTGACTCCCTTAAAGGATCACTATAGTGTCTGCAAAACAAAGCGGTTTTCCTGACACGATGGTGCCCTGAGGTTGCCCCCATCCTCAGGGTCCCCTTCCCGTGGCGCTGAAGGGGCTAAAACCCCTTCAGTTACTTACTTTAATCCAGCGCTGGGCTCTCCTCCCCCGCCGACATCAGCGGAGCCGAATGCAGCAAGTGCTGCGCGCTCATTCAATGCTTTCCTATGGATGCTCTGTGTGATGGAGGCATAATATGCCTCCAGCGTCGCAGATGCGCCTCTAGTAGCTGTCCGGAAGACAGCCACTAGAGGCTAGCTTCTCTGAAACTGCTATGTTTACATCTGAAGGGTTAAAACCCGAGGGACCTGTCACCCAGACCACTTCATTGAGCTGAAGTGGTCTGGGTGACTATAGTGTCCCTTTAAATACTTTGGAAATCTGTTACTTTACATGGAACTATTATAGTTCTCTCTGTATACTATACTTTCCTTCAGTGGAACCCATTACCTACCATAGAAGATTTTTCTATAACCCATACAATGTATAAGAAGGCATAGATATAATATTCTGACTTTAATAAGCCAGCCTTAATAGGGTTCACACATTGGAGTTAACATCTAGCATAGAAACTCAAGGACCTTCTAGTATTCTGCAGACTTATGCATGTATTAACTCTTTAGCAACCTCTTTACTTTGGTCATGTTTTAATAAAGCCTTTGTCAGAGAGGATAGCTTTAAATTAATCTCTAGTCAGAGAAAAGCTGGTTAGCTTCTATATTCACTCTGATCATATACAACTTTTCTTCTTGATTTGAGTTAAGTGTATACTAACCAACTGCTTTCTGTAAGATTTAAGAATATATTAACTCTTTGGTAAACCTCATTACTTTGGCTATATTTGAATAAAGTCTACATAAGAGAGGACAGCCTTTAGTTAATTTCTAGTCAGAGATAAGCTAATTAGCATCTGTATTCACTCTGATCAAGTTAAACCCTTTTTTTGTTCTTTGGTTTGAGATAGGTGTATACCTGTCAATTGCTCTTTAACCCCTTAAAGACCAAAATTCTGGAATAAAAGGGAATCATGACATGTCACACATGTCATGTGTCCTTAAGGGGTTAAACATATCCAGCTTTTATCCACGTTCAAGACAACTAACTTTCTTTTTTGTTTTGAATGAGGATATTTTGTTCCCTTTCATATTGAATAAGGGTTAAGCCCCAGACACCAATGGAGTGTATTCCTGGTAATTATATTCAGGGTGAGAGGTTCGGCAGGAGCACACAATTCCCAACTGAATATTTCTATGTTTACACTGTCCGTTAAGGCCTTCATTTAATATCTGTGGATAAGCTTTTCAAATAACTTAATATTTTTGATTACACTTTGTAATTTATTTATTTTTTTTTCAAAATATTAAAATATAATAAATAGATAATCAATATAATTAAAATATTTTTCAAAATATTAAATCCTTTGAAAATCTGAAACAAAATAAAAAATCAAGGCCTAAGTTAGATAATAAATAGACCCAGTTTGGTACACTTTCAACTACTTACGGTAGTGACACAAATTTTATTCATTACCTTGGCTGGCAGCTTCTGAGATCTTATGAAAAGGACCCACGGTGGCTCTTAAGGGGATGAGAAGATATATTGATCTGTAGTCTTCTCATTTCTATGACACCAAATTGCTTCTAAATGCTCTGAGATAACATTGTCAGAGGCTACTGCCTACTTTTACTTCTAATATACTTCCATTGGGATTTCAATACAGTATAAAGGATTTCTATGGAAAACTCAAAAGTTCTGTTTTAAAATAGCAACATGATGTATTATGTTATGGTTCCTTTCATTTAAAAACTAATTTATGAAAATATTCAATGGTTCAAGATCCATGTGTTTAATGTATTTAGAGGGATACTATAGGCACTAAAATAACTTATAGCAGTTATGGTGTATATATCATGTCCCTGTAGTCTCGCTGCTCAATTCTCTGCCATTTAGGAGTTAATAGACTTTTGTTTCTATTTATGCAGCTCAAGCCATACCTCCCCTGGCTGACTCACAAGCCTCCATAAAAAACAAAAAGTTGTTTTGGTGCATAAATCATGCCTTTGCCATCCCAAAGCTCAGTTCTCTGCCTCTTAGGCGTTAAATCAATTTGTTTTTATAGCCCTAGTCACACCTCCCTGCATGTGACTTGCTCAACCTTCTTAAACACTTCCTGTACAGATAGCTCTCATGTTTAAACTTCCTTTATTGCACAATCGGTTTAATTTATAATTTTTCTCCAGCTCTGTTAAAAGTTTGCTAGAGCCTGCAGGAGCCTCATGTGTGTAATTAAAGTTACATTCACAGAACTAAGTGTAAAGTAAGTTAAGATCTGATCTAAAATAAAACCATTTTGTTTTCATACAGGCTTTGACTAGCCAAACTTTAAACAGAATTGACTTGGAGAATTTAGCTTAGTCTGCTATTTTGACCAATCACTTTTAATTTGTATCATTTCTCACTTAGGGCAAAATCTAGCAAGTGTTGCTTGATCTTGTATAAGAATTTTAAGCAAAACGGTTCCATAAATCTAAATAAATAACTCGTTAAATTCCTAATAGCAAATAGTTAGTTATAGGAATGCCACTTCCTGACTGAATTCTGTATAAATGGTTATTCAACCTCTTAAGTTGATTTGGCTCTAACCAAGTTACATGAACCAATATATATTGTGTTTGTTTCCAGAATTGAAAGATTATAAAGACAATAAAGGCAGTTCCCCAGATTACACTATATACATGTCATTTGGGCAGATTCTGGAAAACCCCATAATGAGAAAACTGGTGCTTGTAAAGGTAAGCCTTGATCTTGCTAAGAACTTTTTTCGTTCCTTATGTTGACAGAGATCAGGGACTCAAGAGCAACAATGAAGAAAAAACAAAGTAACAATAGTTTTGTGTGTTTATTTTTCATACAACATTATATACATTATATTTCTTCTAAGCCGCTTCCAAACTCATTTGCCATTTTCAGTTCCATTTTCTACCTAGCGACACCTGTGTCCCAGTCATCTTACACCTCCCAAAATCGTGCCATCAATATGAACAGGGATGGCTCTAGACTTTGCGAAGCCTTAAGCAAAACTTGAACATGAATCCCCCACTGATATCCATGCCTAGGAAATATTTATGATAATTCAGATGTCTAGGAACACATTCATTTTAATACCAGCATATCTGCTATATATGTGTTACAGAGTAGTACAGAAAGGATCAGCACTCTACCTAGACAACACAAAACAAGGTAACGGAAGCACACGTAAAAATAGGGCTTCCTCACAGGCCCTATAACAAAAAAAGATGGAGGAAAGGTGGCGCCACTAAAAGAAAAAAATTAAATAATAATCTGGTATCAAATATAACAAAATAAAGTAGCAGAAGAAGTACACAATAAGTAAAAGTCCAAGATAGACTGGAAAAGTCTATGGGGTAGGGAGGTCCAAAGTGAAACCTGTCTATAGAAAGGTGGACACAGTCTTGCTAGTAGGAGTATTCCTCAATGTGATATAGGTGAATCCTTGAAGCTCATATGAAATGGAAAGAAGATAACAACTAATGGTGCAGTATGTCCCAAGTAGGGTCTGGATACAGTATAGAAGACCTATATGGTCCTACTCACGTTTAATAGAGCTATCTACTTAGTTCTAGTGTGGATGGCGTACAGTGGTACAATCCCCACTTATAGGATACGTGAAGTGTTTGTAGTCTTGCTTGATGTAGGGACCATATGAAAATATAAAAAAACAGCAGTAGTGCTTACAGTATAAAAATAATAATAAAATATCAAGTGGTTACTCACATTTGATTGAGCAGGCTGACTGCTCAATGAATACAGCTTGAGTGGTATAATCCCCACCTAGGATTCTTTGGCGTAATATATTCACTGGAAAATTAATAGGATCTGGTACCATGTAAAAAGGATGCAAATATCCTTAAAAAATATGATAAAGAATTAAAGTGGCTAACTCGCAGACAGAAAGAGGCCAAAATACCTTTATTAAAAAATACTGTTATATTAAAATACCACAATGCGTTTCACCCTTAGGCTTCTTCAAGTTTAGACCAGAAAGTATAACCTGGCAAAATATGTGTGTGCTGTATGTGGGTTAGTGGACATTTGAGATTTGGGGGGGAGGGGGAGCCTGGCAGCCATGCCGAGCGGTCACACACTACATGGGCTCCGAGGCAAAAACCCAACAACGACTGAAATAATCGAGGAAAGGCCCTTAAAAGTGCCAACAAAAGCCAGGAGATCCGACCGCAAGCGACAGCCTCTCACAGGGGATCAACCCGAGGCCTACGGAGGGCCTGATCAGGCGGCACAAGGTGAAGCAGCCGATCCCTCCACCGCAGCAGCCTTTCCGGCTGGGGGTCTCCCCGGGTAACTCTACCTTCCCCCCCATGTCGGCGGGGATCATCCTGGCAACCACAAGCGACGAGCCAGCAAAGAGTCGACCTGACCCTACCTGCACGACAGAACAAGCAGGGAAAATCATGGCGAACGCCACGTGCAGCCTAGCACCCAGCATCACAGTGCCCCCACTAGCGGAGAGGATTGACCGCCTACTGAAAGCTTTCTGGGCCAAACTCGCCCTCCGCAAGGATACCGAAGAGGTGTCGCCTGCAAAGACCACACAAGAGCCAGCACAGCAGTCAGTAACCCCTAGACGAGGCCATAGAGCAGCCCGATTCGCGGGGATGAGAGTGCGGATGATCCTGTGGAAATCTAAACCTAACAGCCACAAGGCCAATCCATCGGAACACCGCCACACTCTCAAGCACCGGCCCACCCTCCAGGCTCCCAGACTGGCCCAAAGCCCACCATGCCACCCAAGAGACTATGCCACGCAGGGGGATCCCAGGACCCCGCAACAACCCACCATAGAGCTAAAGCACTCTGCCTATGGGGTCTCACCTCGAAGGGCCTGGCAAGGAGACATTGTCGGAGACTTGCACAAAGGCCATTACGCCAGCAATACCATACACGCATCGGGTGTAGGGTGAATAACCCAGACTTACTACCAATAACCGTGAGCTCCATATTGCACTACATGCCTAAAGTATATATTAACCCTCACTGTTTAAGCCCATAGCACCACCAATCTCCCGTTACCAGTTTAAACCCAGTATGGACAGCATGGCTATAAGCCAGCAAAACCCAAAGCTTGTACGCCATAGTCAGGCAAAAACCACTCCTATAATTGTGTAGACGGGTCGTCTCATTGCTTAGCTAATCAACACGTTTTAAAGCTGACTGGCGAAAGTTTTCAATGGCAAGCTCATAAAATGAAGCATGCATACTTTTGTTTTATTTCTAGCTTGTGTTCAACCGTTACTGCATGCATGTTTTACTGACGCTACTCTCATACAATCTGGTACTGAAACCTAAAAAAACCCTTATGTTTCATATGTTATGGTAAATCCACGGTTTTAACGTCCTCTTAACTCACTCCCCCCCCAAACAAATGTGCGGTTTATTCTTATGCAATGCCATGCCTGTTACCATACAACGTGCAACTGCTGTTGGGGCAGAGCAGGTTTACTGTTACTTCATGCACAATGAAAAATAAAGAATTTAAAAAAACACCTTGCAGAACCAAGAGTTGTTTAGCTTCTTGCCTTCGAGCAAATAGTTTAGATTTTTATAATTCAGGTCTGTATTTCAGACTTCTAGCAGTGTTTGGTCAGGTTGAAATCCATACTATAATTAGGCTCATTCAGAGCCTTCTCTGTAAAGTACGGACATTGGTAAATATTGTGGGCAATGTCTGGATTTAGCATTACGAATGGGCCCTGAACAGCATTCACTATGGAACCAGAGGTTAGTGAATATCTCTGAGAGTTTTCAAAATGAATTAGGTAGTCAACTGCACCAATATTAAAATACTTTCTAGAATGGTGACTGACCAGCCATGTTACAAGTAGGTTTGAGTTCAAAATGCTGTTGGAGAGGTGTTTGACTATTGTTTCTCGATAGTATGTAGGAAGGAAGTTTTGTTTTGTTTTTTTTTGTTTTTTTTGACAATCATTACTTTTTGAAAGTACAATGGAGGGTCTACATTATGTAGGAAGAAAGTTAACGAACTAATGATGACCGTTCCTGTGGGCAAAATTGTGTCCTTCACCAGCATGTGCAGAGAGTGCTGATTGCATGAAACTCTTAGCTCTCCAGGAACACATGTCTGCCTCTGCAACATGTATGAAAACATGCATATTTCCTGTAGGAATCCCCCTGGGATGACACAATGTGGTAGTAATACTATTGTACTTGTGGTCTTACTATAGGCATTGTGTTTACGGTGGAACTGTGTGAGGGGTGGTTGTGTGGGAATGAGCATTACTGTCTGTGGGGTGGTGCCTGTGTGTTCATGAGGGTGACTGTGGTAGAGTGGTTGTGACATGGGACTGCAACAGGGTGAATGTGACATGATAGGGTGACTGCATAAAAGTGAGTGTGACAGGGTGACTTTGACAATGTAACTACGTGTGAGGATAAGTGCGGAAAGTGACTGTGACATGGCGGCTGAGTGTGTGGGATGATGTGACAGTCTGTTTGTGTGGGGGGATGATGTGGCAGGGTGTCTATGTGTGTGGGGTGTTGTGACAGGCTGAGTGTGTGCGCTTGTTTTTTTAAATTTTATGTATTTTCATCTATAGTTTAACCCCCCTTCTGATTTTTAGCAATGAGGGAGGCTCTGATCCTTATTCCAGGTGGGTCAAGTTTCCCTGGTGGTCCCATGACCTGCCAGCTGAATCTGCCTTCTGGATGTGAGCAGACCCCTCAGAATCCGTCTCTGACTGGGAGGTAGCATTTGCTGAGCGCTGCTCTCAGGCAGAACACAGCCTGCAGAGTGAGCAGCTCGGGGCGCCGTGCAGGAATATATCTAGATCTCTCAGCTGGCCGGTGCTGCCTGGGGGAGCTCAACAGATCTAGTGCCAGAAAGGTAGCACTAGTTCATCTTCTATTGGGTTGCCAATAATCAAGATTATTTTTGGCAATCCTCTTATGATATCACAGGACCTTGTTTTGGCACACCTTATAATTGTTTTATCAAGAAGTAAGGTTTTTTTATGTAAATTTATGTAGGAGACTGTAGGATTTCACTTCAAAGACTAAGATAGTCTGTAGTGGGTACCTTACTACTTATCTTCGATCCAGTGAAATCATTTTGTCATCTATTTATGAAGTTTAGTATCACTAGATGTGGTGTATGTGCACGTGTTTAGTATAATGGTGTGTGTAGTGCCCTTAGTATTAAGGGACTTTTTAATTTAAATATTAAAAGTGACGTTTTAAATTGACAGTTTTACTTGATATTTCAGTGTTCCTCTGGTGTCAATACGAATTAATACGGGAATCTCCAACCTCTTTTTTTTTTTTTTTTTTTCTAGTTGTGATTCATTGTCTATCTTTGTGAATGAGCATGTAAATTGATTATATAACTATTCCTTCATTTTCATGGCATTCAATACTGCTGATTTTGCAGGGACGTTTTCTCTCTGACACTCAGCTACGCTCGAGAAATGAAACTGCACAGTTTATATACTCTTGTATAAACAAACGTGTGCACTGTTCTCAGCTGTTTTACCAATAAACTAGGCATGCTCGTAAATTAGAACAGAATTTTTTTATTCATAACATTCTATGGCATTATATCTTTTATTAAAATCTATGAATGAAGCTCTCTAGTCGTCATCATATTGATGAATAAACAATATACACATGTCAGATGCTGTGGACATCTACAAACTAATGGCTGAGAATCATATGGCAGTTTTACTGATCAACAAGGTAGAATTGGATTTGAATTGCAACAAGGCTGATTTCAACCTGTTCCAAATAAGGACCACCAATTTGTGCTATATGTGCCAGCTCACTGAAACATGGCTTGCTCTGTTTACGCACTATATAAAGCTATAGACAGCTGCAAATCCATTTAGCATAGCACCCTCCTTTTTTGGTTTCCCATGCTTTTTCCTAAAGCTGTTTTACTGCCAGTTCTGATCATGTGTCTATACAAATCTGTGCGCCCACAAACCTCCCAAAACAAGTGTCAATAAGTAAAAATACAGGGTACTTACAGTTTGTTGGACTCTTTATATGCATCGAATTTATCACAAATTATTTTATCTGTACATTTTTGTTGTTGGATTTTGTTTTCTATATTCATATGGAAATTGCTCTTCAATACAAATTAAATAGAAAAAAAAACAAAGGATGAATCTTCCAAATGTAATTCAGAATCTTTCTCTAGTTCCTATACCAAGGAAGTCAGGGTTAGAGTGTGGGTATTCGTCATTCTCAAACTCTTATACTCTCCTCCTAAGTTTCACTTTCCTATTCCTGAGAAGGGGTTGATTTTATCACCCTGGTCCATCCCCTGTACATGTTTAGAATGCTGTGTTTAACCTTTGATTCCTAAAATGAGACAAACTGTAAAGCATATCTACATTTCTTCCTAGTGTTTTTTTGTAAGGATGTCGTTTATGCTTGTTTTGTTTTAGGAGTTTTTTTTGTTTTGTTTTTAAGGACTTTACATTGAGCTTAATAATTTAATCAGCTGAAAAATCTGGGCCATTTAAATGGTAATTTCTTTCTCATTTGACGCATAACAGATGCTATAGTGATCAATGTCAAAAGGTGGTGAATAGGTAAAGCTTTATTGCTTTCACCTCTTTCTGAAGGTAAAAGCAAACAGAGACAGAGCCAAAGCAGTATTCGTCTGTAAAGCCAATGACCTCTGAAAAAAAAAACTACCTTTAAGTAGTGGAGTTTTTGGTAATGCTGGATGTCCCCATGCATAGCATGAGGGTGTCCAGCATCAGTTAGGCAACCAAAAGTCGCCTAACGACCCGGAATTCCAAAAAGTGGCTGTCTAGGAGACCGCCACTAATGGTGTTAGCCCACAAAGGTAATTATTGCAATTTATTAAAAACTACAATAATTACCATTTGCATGGTTAAAGGATCTGGGGCACTGCACCCAGACCACGTCAATGAGCTGAAGTAGACAGTGTCTCTTTAATTTGAAGCTTTAAAGTGTGATTACTCCAGCTAACAACTACTTTTAATTATTAGTGAGCAACACAAAAATTAAAAATCCCCCAACATTTTGCGTAAAATCTATAAATACCTCAGGATCCAAGGGACTTTTTTTTTTTTTCTCTTTGTGGTTTATATACCTATTCTATCATTTTTTTGTTGTTGTTGGAGCAGATTAAAAAAAATAAATAAATAACAAGCAAACGTCGTTATTCCAAATGAAAGAGGATATTATAAGGTGGGCTAATAACAGAGACGTTTGACTATCCTGCAATGGATTGTAGGTTATTATTTTTGTTTAGAGCTTTTCCTTACTGACAATAGAACGTGAAAGACTGGAAGCATAGGAAATGCACTCGTAAAGGGGTTAACCCTAGAGTAACTACAGAAGTAGTAGAAGGAAAAAGAGAGCAAATGAGTGCCCTAGAACAATTACTATATAACCTTTAATAGTATAGTTAAAAACATTGAATAGATATAGGTAAAAGTGCTATGTCACAACAGATACCTATAAACCTACCTAAAATCTCCCCCAGTGTCAAGCTATTAGTAACAAGTGTCAATATAGGGAGACTATAGCAACTTTCACTAGATCTGTAACTGGAAGTATGTCTGCTAGATAGTTAAACCTCAAAGTTGCTAGGATAAATCTCAACCTAATAGTTTTAAAGGACCACTATAGTGCCATTCATAAACATAGCAGTTTCTCTGAAACTGCTATGTTTATGAAAAAATGGGTTAACCCTAGAAGGACCAGGCACCCAGAACACTACATTAAGCTGAAGTGGTCACTTTTGCACTGACCCTATACAAGTGTGTGTGTGTGTGTGTGTGTGTGTATATGTATGTATGTATGTATAGTGTGGACTGATTCCCCAATAATAGTTGCATATAAACAGCTATTCACCAGTTGTCAGTGTAACATCCCTTGTGCAAAGTTATAATAAACTAAGCATCACACGATGTATATAGATTGTGCAGAGGAAGGTATAACTGCACAGTCAATTGTATACATATACAGTGCTTCCTAATGATAAGAGAGGCACTGGAATGTATACAAGTAGTGCAGATAGAATTTATATTGCCGCAGAAAAAATGAAAGAAGCGTGTGTGTATATATATATATATATATATATATATATAGCGGCATAAAATGGTGTGCAGACATTCAAAGTGCTGGGGATAATGTCATGGCCCCATACTTCGGCTGATCAACAATTAAATAAATCCTTACTACTAGAACTTGGAGGTAAAAAAAAAAAAAATCGAAATACAAAGTACGGGCAGAGTCGCTATGCAGTGATAAAATCTCATGGCGAACCCCCACTGCAGTGGGAACTAAGCCGAAAAATTATAGCACTTTTATCTATATCTATTCGCTGTTTTTAACTATACTGTTAAAGGTTATATATTAATTGTTCTAGGGCACTCATTTTCTCTCTTTTTTTGACAATAGAACAATGTTACAGACAGGCTGACATTTAAAAGACATTATTACATAGAGTCTAAAATAATATACATGTACAGAATGATAGAGTCTCCTTTGCTTCCTGCTGCAGTTAATTATTTCAGTGAAGTAAATATACTAAACTAATTTACTGTTGCTAGTGTTTCAACCCACATCTGTTTTTACAGTTGCAGCGGCTGTTATTTTACACAGAGAAATCACTATATGATGATGTCCTGATAAAGTTTTGTAACAAAACTGAAATGTCGAAATTTGTATTTGCTGAAAGCACTGGCGGATCCAGAGTCTTATCTCGGGAGGGGCACTCATAGAATATTTAAAGAAACAATCCAGGCACAGTAACCACAACAGCTCTCTGTAGTGGTTATGGTGCCAGGAGTGCCATGGCGCCCTCCCAGAGTAAATAGTCAAACAGTTTAAAAACAGTTTGACAGTTTACTTGGGGTCTGCCAGGATAGGGGCTGTAGTAGGGGATAGAGCCTCTAGTAGTGTGTGTGTGTATGGGAGGCACTGAGTGTGTGAAGGATGCAGGGTGGGTATGGGAGACAGTGTGTGTGTGTGTGTGTGTGTGTGTGTGTGTGTGTGTGTGTGTACGGGAGGCAGTGCATGTGGGCCAGTGTGTGTATAGGGGTGCACTGTGTGTAGGAGGGGCAATGTGTGTTTGTGTGAGGGGTGTAGTGTGTGCATGGGAGTGCAGTGTGTATATGTGGGGTGCCAGTGTGTGTATGAAGGTGTAGTGGGGGCAGTGTGTGCATGAGAGTCCAGTTGGAAGTGTGTGTGTGTGTGGGGGGGTGCAGTGCTTGTATGGGGTGTAGTGTGTGTGTGTGTGTGGGGGGGGAGAAGTGTGGGGTGCAGTGTTTGTATGGGGAGCACTGTGTGTATGTGGGGTGCAGTGTTTGTATGGGGAGCACTGTGTCTATGTGGAGGGTGTGTGGTGGGGGTGCAGTGTTTGTATGGGGAGCACTGTGTGTATGTGGGGTGCAGTGTTTGTATGGGGAGCACTGTGTGTATGTGGGGTGCATTGTTTGTATGGGGAGCACTGTGTCTATGTGGACTGTGTCTATGTGGAGGTGTGTGTGGGGGGGTGCAGTGTTTGTATGGGAAGCAGTGTGTATGTGGGGTGCAGTGTTTGTATGGGAAGCAGTGTGTATGTGGGGTGCAGTGTTTGTATGGGCAGCACTGTGTATGTGGGGTGCAGTGTTTGTATGGGGAGCACTGTGTGTGTGTTGGGGCAGTGTGTATGGGAGGGGCTATGGGGCAGTGTGTATGGGGGCTATGGGGGCAGTGTGTATGGGGGGGTATGGGGCAGTGTGTTTGGGGGGCTGTGGGGTCAGTGTGTATGGGGGGCTATGGGGCAGTGTGTATGGAGGCATATGGGGGCAGTTTGTTTGGTGGGGCAGTGGGGGCAGTGTGTGTGGGGGCAGTGTGTATGGGGGCATGTGGGGGCAGTTTGTTTGGTGGGGCAGTGTAAAACAAATGTTTTTTTTAATTAATAAAATATTATTTATAATCCCCCCTCCCTTCCTACCTTTGCCCAGGGAGGAGGGATATCGCTTGTAATCCCTGGTGGTCCGGTCGAATCCCTGGTGGTCCAGTGGTGAGAGTGAACTCTAACCTGCACCTCCTGAGGCTAGAGTTCCCCCCCCCGGATCCGCCACTGGCTGAAAGCTGAATAATAAAAGCCAAGTTTTGTTTTATTTTTTTTAAAAAGGTCCTTGGAATGCTATCATTCTGTGTTTTTTTTTTTTTATACTATTTACATATCAGCAACATGAATTCAGTACCTTCATACACCCTGGAGTGCAGGTTTTCTGTATATATCTTATTTATTGCAGTTTGCACACTGGCTGTATCTACTTAAAAAAAAAAAAAATATATATATATATATAGTATCTGAGAGAAAGATGCATGTGTATACAATTTATAATTTTGGTAACAGAAAACAATTTTGTGACACTCTGTTTAATACATTACATAAAGTAGAGAATAAAACAAAATGAGAAAAGGAAGCTAGTGTCAACTCTTAAAGGGGCTAACCCTGAAAACTAAAGAAATAGTGAAAAAGTAGAAAGAATGAGTGCCCTTTAAAATTTTAACTTTATTAATAATCCTCTAAAATAAATTGTCACAGAACTAGTGACTGAATGTAGTGAATTCACTATTAAAATGAAGTCAAAATAATTGTCCAAAATACATTCCTAAAGAATAAAAACAAGCTAATGGTGTGGTTCTGTTCAAAAGTTTTCAGAGACCAACAACCAATAGTGTGTGCAAAAAGATGTTTTGCAATACACCTATGCTGAAAGAATAAGCCTCAAAAATAATATCCGATAGATGCTTCTCCTGTAACATATCAAGTAACACTGTCTCAAATGAGAAATAAATACAATGTTGCCAATGCTGCAAGCATACTAAACCAAATGTATCAACAAAGGTGAAAAAACGTCTAACCTTTCCAGCTCACTAAAATGCAATGCTGATTTATGTATTTCCTCATAGCATGAAATACGGAGTCTCTAAAGATTTTCCATAATAAGGAGATAATGTATATAACGCAAGCTAGAAGGGAAAAAGTGCTCAGTGGTTAAAACAACTGCGGTATAATCTGATCTAAATCCACAGTGTGAAAACCATGAGGTCCCCTGACGCGCGCGTTTCGCCCACCGCTCATCAGAGGGGAACTAAATAAAGTAGAGAAGTTTTAGAAACTCAACAGCCCTTTAAACTGACCATCTGCATGTGTGTGTACACAGGACTTTATCGACTTTTTGTTTTGTTTCTGTTTTTTAAAATGGGTCTGTTTATTTTAATATTACGAACAATAAAAGTTGTTTTAATAAGATTTCACGGTCACCTGCCAAAATCTTCTAACTTTAAATTAATATGTCCTCTTCATTTTAGTTGTTGGGGTGTAGGTGCACTTAAAGCCAAATGCCCTATTAAAGGCCTTCATATATCCGTGGGTGAGCAGAATATTGCCTTATTCGCAGATGACATATTACTCTTTCTCACTGACTCCAAGTCATCCATGCCACAAATTTTCGACCTCCTCTTCGAACATGGGTCTATTTTATATTATAAAAACTACCTGGGCAAAACAAAGGCACTTTTCTTGTGACACCCTCAGCGTCTTCTGGAGTCCCTATGCAAGGAATTTCCATTTGCCTTGAAAGGGAACTCATTAAATTACCTGGGTATTAGACTCATTCGTATTAGACCTACTCCCTAAACGAGAATAATACTAGGCTGCTGACTCATTTTGAGGGTGAAATTAGGCAATGGTTCAGGTCCCATCTACCCTCCTCAGCATATTTCAAAAATTACACTCTGCCCACATTTGGAAGCATAGGTTCCCCTGAGTGTTGAATGGCTCTATGAGGTTGCAGTTGAGGCAAAGTGTTCTGGGGGTTCCTGATAGTATGCAGCCATGGCCAGTTTTCATCCGCTTGCCATGGTGATGGTGCAACATTCACCCTTTTGGCTTGTGTTACTCCTCCAGTCACCCATTTAGGGTTAAAACAGCTAATGTGGGACCTCTGCGCTTGTTGAGTTCCTCTACCTCACTTCTCCAAACTTCAGCATTTTCCCTGTCCATTTTGGTGTAAGTAGTCTAACCTCCTATGTTCATAGGTTATTTCTAGGGCCTGTGTCTGCCCCTTCTTGTTATACTCCCCTGATCTTCCTCTATCCCTGTGGCATGGCCCCAGTTGGAATGAACTAAAATATACCAGTTTTATAATTTTGGAGGGTATTGGGCAATTCCTGGATCTACAAAGGGACTATTTACTATCAGGTAGAGAACGTATCACATAATTAGAGTGCAACATATTCTCTTGTTCTGACACATTTTTATGGTGTATCTATGAAAATCCAACACTGGGAAACCAATTGTTCATGAGGTGGCACCTGGTTACTAGCAGATTGTCCTGGATATTCAGGGCCTTTTTGGAATTCTAGTACAGAGCAGGGCACCATCCATCATATATTCTGAGCTTGTCATCATTCTGCGCAAAACACTAATTAAGGGCTTTCCCACATTTAGCCTTGTTTTCCAACTTGAAGTTTACTTATTAGATAGGTGCCCAGATATGATGCAGGGGGGTAAAAAAGCACTTTTATTACAATTGTTCTTTGCCACTAAGGTGTGCACTGTGGGGGCCAGGAAGTCATTGGAAGATCTAGATGGGTGCAAACTATTGGGTCACCTAGCCCCCATTTGTCTGTGTGAGGTTATGTCTCACAGAATTACGTGTTCTTTACACAAATTTGAAAAGGCTCCATGGGTCACTTTCACTTCCTCTTAGAGGAATATTCTTAAACATTAACATTATTTAGATGCATTGATATTCTGGCAGAACTTGGGCCGTTCCACAACGAAACTGTTTGCTCCACAACATTCTTGGGGTTGCTTATATTCCTATTTAGTATTACTCTACGTGTTGCTGTTGTTTATAGACATGTTTGTGTTCTCCCATAATTTTATGTACTGTGTATGTGAAATGCGCTGTCAAAGCCTATTGTATTTAAATTCTTTAAGCTCCAAATAAAAATTTACAAAAAGCAGATGTACTAGAACTGGTAAACTCAAGGTATAGGCAGTGGTATTTTTTTGTTCTTTATATATGGTGGTGCTTAGAGCATCTAATGACAGAACAAGATTCTTTCCTTTCAAAAATGGCTGTGAGGGTGGCGCATGCTGATAGTTTCCACAGGGACTGCTCCACTTTTAGAATATTGTCCACAGCCACTGTTTTTATAAATACTATGCCGTTAACTGACTTCGTATTACCTGCTGCTGACAATCTGTGCCTTTTTTCTTTTGATGATTTTCTGTATTTATATATATATATTTTTTTTTTTTTTTTTTACAGCTTGTTCCTCAGTTCTGTGTATACACTCATGAGATGCTACGGAGAGAAGGAGTTTCATCACTCAACCAAGAAAATATAAGTCTGCAGATCTCCAATGGGAGTAGTTTTAATGGTGATGAACTTGATATTGCATCTTCTATGGACATTGACTTCAGTTATTTGATATAAATTATATCAAGTTCTTAATAACCATAGAATGTCAGGTGATCATGGGTTCCATATACTGTTTAAAACATTATTTGTTATGTTATGGTATGATAATTCAGTCCATTGTTTTTTGGGGGGTTAATAGGTTGAACCGCCAGACTATACCTAACAAATATGTAGGACGAGGCAGCAAAGTCCACATTCTCACTATTTCTAAAATGCTTTACTAATGGTTTTAAGGTTAAGTGAATGTAGCAAAGTGTAACAGAGGTTCCAGATGCGTTGAACTGGAAAATTATTTGTAGCATATGGGATCAATAGCCGATGGAATCCCTATTCCACGTGTTCTTTACTGTTGCATTATGGTCAAGACAATGAGAGCTTCTTGTACCATGAGCGAACAAGGCAACCCCTTTTCAGAAACTATTTTTGGCTTTTTCTCTGATGTGCAGACAAAAGGGGACAAGTTAACTAAGAATAGTAGGTCCCTAACCACTGACATTTGGCATGTATGCCTTGGGCAGCAATGTTCTAATATTAAGCACAGAACTGCAAATGCAGACGGGTCTATTTTACATTCATGGGGAAAATTCTGGGACAAGGCGCAATCTGCAAGAACATTCCATTTTTTTCTCCATGGTGATTGCCCCACTTTGTGTCACAACTGCTGTTTATGAATAACCAATAGTCTGTTTCACGGAGTCTGTCCACTGTAAGCACATCCATGTTCAATACCACAGTTTTTATTTTTTTCATAATTATCCAGTGATATATTCCAGACTCATGTCAAGATGATGATGGGTTTTTTTTTTTTTTTTTGTTTCTTTTTTTGTTACTCCGGTTTTTATCTGAGATTTTATTTTCTTACTCCCGGAAAAACTTCTCGTGGTAAAATTAATTTAACATTCCATGTATTATTGAAGCTGGACTTGTGCCATAAAAAAATTAAAAAAATAACTTACACTTTTTAAAAAAATAAATAAATATGAGTGTACTGTTTAGAGCCACATTAAAGTGGATAGAAACAAAAACAATTCAGCGTTGTGCCTTTAAGGCCTTCCTCTCTGTTAAATCTAAAGTAAGTTCTGTATATATTGTGTGCTTATATCAATACAATGCTCCTTATTTTTTAATCAGCCTGCTTGATTAAAGAATAGCTTTAAAAATACATTGTATACATATGTTGTGCTAATTAACCCCATAATATTCCATCATGATTTCCTTTTATTCCACAAGTTGTGTCCTTAAGGGGTTAAATAAGAGGGAGTTGAAATAGCTAGCATTATATACAGAGCCTGATCTCAGATTTAGTGATAGTGAAAGGTTTAAAAAAGAAATTTCAAGGCAAGCAGAAAGCCTACTTGCAAATTGCATTGTTAAAACTGCCCATTTGTAATAAGTTACAGCTTGTGCAAACCATTTGCATTTAATAAAAAGGACTGACATGTTCCTTTGTCAGCCTTTACCTGTGAAATTACTGAAAATGAATTTAATATCCAATCAAATATTATTTATTTTTTGTCCTTGATTGATATTCAATCATGTTTAAAGCACAAACCATGCTACACAGGTTATCCATCATTTTATGTAGAGATGTTTTTCAAAAATCACTAGAATAGACAGATGATACTTTTCTGAAAATGTATATAATATTTAAGTCGGTGTTCACCATCTATAATGTTCTTGGTTGGGAAAAAAACAAGGCGGTTGGACTGTGGATACAAGTTGTGTGTCCAAACTGCCTAGCCATGTAACTCAAATTAAGGTTCAGACAGAGCCATTTGCATCAATAATCATTTTTTTAATAGGCTGGGTGAACAAATATCTCTATGAATGATCCACTCTACATTCAGTACAGGAATTGGAAAAGAACCCCCTTTGCTTTGTGAGCCATGGGTGCTTGTACAGTAAGGGGCTACATTTTAGCAGCCTGGGAGAGAGGGCTTTGTGCACACTGTTGTAAAAGCAATAGACTGCAATGCCCTCTATAGTGTAACGCTATAGTCTTAGCCGGGTTATGGCACATATATATGAGGTTTAAGCCTAAATTTTTTTTTTATTATTATTTATACATTGTGATATCATTTTTGGGAAGTTTATTTCCTTAAAATGCCAACATTTTCATTACAAAAACCCAGAAAATTTGTATTTTCTTTTTTGATTCATTTTATTCACCACTATTATACATGACAAATTGTATTTGGTTTTGGGTATTGATGTTTCAAAGATTGTAAAATTTTGGCGTGTGCTTTTTTTTTTGTTTGTTTGTTTCTTCATTTACTATACACATGTTAAACAAAACCGCTATATATCAAAGATGAAATTATTCTGAACAAAACAATTAAAAGCTACCAAATATTTTTTCTTACCTGTTGGTCAATCTCTCTAATTATTATTATTAACAGTTCTTTATTTACTCTTTTCTCATCAGCTGTGCTCAGGTTCACCTGTATGGGCTTAATGTACAAAGTAAATCTGTTCTTTTCGCTTCATATGTTGCTTGTGAAATTCAGCAAATATATATATCTACTTTGTTTGTAAGGCCATTATTGAAATTTGACGCATTTTTCTCCTGTAAATAATTCTGAACAATCCACTACATGCCAAAAATAAATAAAAACAACAAAAAAAAAAAAATATATATACATGATCCTGATGAAAGTCTTGTGTGACTGAAACGTTGATCACTTGATATTTTATTATTTTTTTCTAATAAATTTTGGACTTTTATACGTGAGTGCAGCCATACCTTTGGATTATTTGGATATTGAAGCTGAATTTGGTTGGCACCCGGCTATTAAGGGACATTGGAGCGTGAGTGCAGAAGCTATTTGTATTGTTTTATTTATATATTTTTATATATATATATATATAATCATATAATGTAACTAAACCCCCATAATTTTTTGCCTAGGTGAGGTGTTTCTAAATAAAACTACTACAATCATTGTTTAGTGAATAAGTGAGTGCGCTGGATTGTACATTTTGTATGTTGTATATTTTGGTCCCGGCAGCACCCTATAATGTATGCATGTTCAGGTGAGTGCAGCCATCTTGGTTTCATATATATATAATTATGATTTTGTTGTGCTTTAGAGAAAATCAAAATTAAAGAGTTACAGCTATTACAGTAAAACTGTAATTTGTGGAGTATTGCAGTAGAGCATTAAAACAAATAGAAATATGTTTTGTAGTTTTTAATCTGTTATGGTTTGTCTATTTAATCCATATAACTTCCAGTTTGTTTCATGTACCAAAACCAAGTATTTGGTAGCTCAATTTCTTTGCAGATCTAATAAATATATTAGGGAGGTCTTTCTGCATTGAAAACATGTTACTAAATTTATCTGCACAAACATAAAACTGTACCAAAAAAAGTATATGAACAAATTCTTTTTTTTTCCAGGGTAAATTTAATGTAGGGAGCAGGTGACTTGGCTTAGGTTTTGCTATTAATAAATTCTACAGTTAAATTACCATGAATAGCTAAATTTAGAATTGTCAAGGGAATTGCATATTTTACCCCAAAAAATAAATAGTTGATCTGGAAAATTTTGCAAACCGCTATCTGGTCAATTTACTAGAGCCCGCCATGTTAATTCCGTACAATCCCACTACACTACCTAAATATAGAGGTAGTTCTTATTTTTAGGTCCTCATCCAGACAGTCATTTGGGTGGCATCACCCTTTCACTATATGAAGCCTTATCTGGAGCACTATAGTTATGTATTTGACAGAAGTCGCCCAAGTAGCAGGAATGAGCCAAAGCGAGGTACCAAAGGAAGAGACAAATTCTAGTCAGCAAAAGCCAAGGGTCAGGACAGGCAGCACAGGTTCACAGACTATTGAAATAGCGGAGAGTCAGATAAATCAGACAAGGCAGGATAGGTACACTAAACACCACAGTAAGCACAGTATAACTGAGCACTGGGGACATGTTGGTATGGAGTTTTAGCGTAGAAGTTTACACCCTGCATTTGACTCCCGAATGAGGACCATCCTGGTACCTCATAAGAACGTTCTCACCTCGTAACTTAAGTGCGAAACGACAAGGAAATAATGAATTCTCTCCTGGGTGGCCACGATTTCATATAACCGAACGCACATGGTCGGCAAAAGAGTGGTGGCCATTTTGTCTCCCAAACGTGGGCAGCGGCACTTGGTCGTCGAGTGTCTGGAACTCTTTTCGGCTAGACACTCGCACGAACCCCGGTAAAGGTTATACCGCTACCCAGTGGTGTATCCTGGTTTTGTGCTGCCCTAGGCAGGACAAAACTCAGGCGCCCCCCAACCCCCCCCGCGCGCGACCCCCACCCATCCCTTCCCCCCGCCTTCTAAATACACACACACACACACACACTCACTGACAGATACGCATACACTAGCTAACAGAAACACAAACTCACTGACACACACAGTCAAACACACACACTCACTAGCAGAGACACACTCACTCACAGACACACTCTCACTAACAGACACACTCTCACTAACAGACACACACACTCACTAACACACACACATTCACTAACAGACACACATTCACTAACAGACACACACACACTAACAGACACACTCACTAACAGACACACACTCACATTAGCACATGTACTTTTTAACCCCCCCCCTCCAGCCTCCTTACCTTTGGGAGTGCTGGGGAGGGAAGGGGTTCTCTATCTCCCTGGTGGGGTTCTCTATGGTCCAGTGGCTGCCGGGTGGGCGGCATTGGCGGGCGGGTGGCTGACGAGGGAGCTCTTCCTGTGAGCTGACTGCTCAGCTCCCTCGCGCGCCGCAGAGTGAGGTTGGGAGCCGGAAGATGACATCATATCCCGGCTCCCAGCCTCACACTGTGGCGCGCGAGGGAGCTGAGCAGTCAGCTCACAGGAAGAGCTCCCTCGTCAGCCGCCCGCCCGCCAATGCCGCCCAGCGCCCAGCATGTCTGTTAGCCGCGAGGCTAACAAGACATTTGCCTTGGGCATTTGGGGGGCGGCTTTTTTTGCCGCCCCCTGAAAAATGCCGCCTAAGGCAAATGCCTTGTTTGCCTCGCGGCTAAAACGCCCCTGCCGCTACCCATTCTATTGTCCGCCAAACTATGCAAACAACGTTAGGGAGATGGGAACTACCGTGTGACGGACTGCCTGGCACCTCGACTGGGTACCTCCGTCAGTCGCTGCTTCCTAGTACTTGTGAGCACCATAACCACAGTAGACCCCACTAACCACCGCAGCTTGGTTGGGGTCTCGCCGTCCTCCACCCACCCTGGACTCAAAACCAGGATCCAGCTTCCAGTGGGAAGACCTCTCCTAGTCCCGATAGCATGGCAGGAACAACTCTTATAGGAGCTAGTGATTATACTCAGGGGAGTATTGTGATATAGCAATCCCCAGAGTGAATATAGTTCTCCAATCCCCCAAACATGAGCCAAGACTTCATGAAGGGGTAAAACCAACTCAGTTTAATGGGAGCCACACTTGGCCTTATATGACAATCCCCATGCAAGGGGTATGCCCACATGGACCTGATGGTAGACTACAACGTCACAGACCAATAACAATGAGGTTACAAGGCACGATAATCCCACACACAGCACGCAATCCCTCCCCTCTGCCTGGATAATTGAGTCAGATACTTTATTAACTCAATTATCTCCTGGCAGAAAAACACATATTTCTATAAAGCCCCAAAAACACATAATATTCCCACAAATGTTACATCTCCTGATCAGGCAGACCACATATCCAAAAATCACCCAGATCATCTCAGGGGATCAGGAATTCTATGGAAGTCACATTTTGACCGACCGCACCCATGCCCAAAACAGTTACAGAGAATCAGGCTGTGCGGTTGGTCTATTTCAGGAATTCAAAATAAAGTCCAAAATACCAAATGTAGCGGTTCGTGAGTACAGTCAGTTTATGTCTCTCGTTCGGGAGTTTATGCTTACCGAACACCGTTCAACTCCCGTTTGAATAACCGAACATTTATGGAAGGTAAATAGTTAGCGGTGTTTGTGCCGTCACGTGTCCGATTTTAAAAACTGATACCAAAGTGTTACCATCAACTCAACACATTTCATTGGGGATTTCTGAACAAGTAACCAATGTTTTCCTATATAAAAACCATGTTGACTCACCCAAAATGCCATTGATTTCAATACACTGGGGTCCCTTCTATGTCACCCAACAACATTTAGCCTGAACCAAACCACATCTCATATTAAAAACCGGCACCAAAGTGGCACCATCAACTCAATGCATTTCAATAGGGATTTGTGAATAAATAACCACAATTAAAACTATCTTGGCTCACCCAAGATGCCATTTATTTAACCCCTTAAGGATACATAACATGTGTGACATGTCATGATTCCCTTTTATTCCAGAAGTTTGGTCCTTAAGGGGTTAAATACACTGGGGTATCCTCTATGTCATCCAACAACATTTAGCCTGAGTCAAACCACATTTTGTTTCAAAAACTGGCACCAAAGTGGCAACATCAACTCAATGCATTTCAATGGGGATTTCTAAATAAGTAATCAAGGTCCTCTTATATAAAAATCATCTTGGATTTGAATACACTAGGCACCCATCTGTAATATATACCGGGGTCCAGTGAGCAGTTTGCTCATCTTTTTTGTGTGTGTGGGGTGAATGACACAACACATGGACAGTTGCAGGGTTGTAGGTAAGTGCTGGAGTTGTTTTAAACATCAGAGAAACATTTATGGGCCGACACATTTGAATCGACTGGCCCTTTATATTAGGCTATTCAGGAATCACCTTAGATTTTGGCACCTGAAGTGGCAATGGTGCATTGCCAATCAATGTGGCCTTTCACACTGTGAACATGAAACCATGATACACGTGGCATTAAGCCGAGGGTACATATAACCTAACAGCTCTTGATGGTAAACAATAACCGATGATGTAATGCCAACTTATAGCTTGCATGACATCAATGATATTAATATACCACAAGATCTGTAATGGGGATATAAAATAATGACCTATACAGGGCCGGTGCAAGGAATTTTGACTACACAGGCGAAGATGCATTTTGCCCCCATCCCCCATAATGCAGCCTCTATCTAGCTCTCTTTCTCTTATATAGAGATAGATACAGGCAAAAATGTATGCACAAACATACAGACACACAACCATACAAGCACACAGACATAGTTATTCAGGCACACAGTCACAAAGATATACAGACACACAGTCATAAAAGTCACACAATCAAACAAACACAGTCATACAATCTACACATACAGGTACACTGTCAGAGAAACAGACATACATTCATACAGGCACAGGCACATAGAGAAATACAGACACAGACAGGCATATAGAGACATACATACACAGTGATACAGAGGTATACATTCACAGACAGGCATACACAGACATACATACACACACAGTCATACAGAGACATACATACACAGACAGTCATACAGAGACATACAGACTAAATGTCTCTGTATGACTGTTTGTTTTGTGTATGTATGTCTGCGTATATACACAGGGTGGCTAAAAGATAGATCTCCATATGCCATGAAACTTCAACAATGCTTTGAAAGCTGGGGCTCTACCGATTCCCCATGCTTGCAGAATTGTATTTAGCACTGAGCAGTATTTGTGTGTTTGAATGTAAGCATGTTTTTGTATGGAGTAGGTTTGTGTGTATGTAGCGGTGTGTTTGTATGTGTGTTTGCATTTGAATGCAAGCATGCATTTATGTGTAGTGTTGGTTTTTGAATGCAGGGGTGTGTTTATATATAATTTTGGTGTTTAATACAGAGGTGTGTTTGTATGTAGTGTTGACATTTCTATGCAGGGGTGTGTTTGTATGTAGTGTTGATGTTTGCATGCATGGGTGTATTTGTGTGTAGTTTTGGTGTATATATGCACATATACACATACACTGACACACACACACACACACACACAAACACACTGTGATACACATACACAAAGATGCACACATTCAGATACACAGATACAAATATACACAAACTAATACACATTCAGATAGACAGACAGATATATACACACACATATACAGATACACACAAACACTGACAGACAGATATATACACAAACTGACATACAGACACACAGAAACACACTGATAGACATACAGACAAACACATACATATTGACAGACATACAGATACACACATACACACTGACATATATACAGACACACTAACAGACATACACACTGACAGACACAGGTAGACATACAGACACACACTGACAGACACACAGAGATACACATGCTGGTCAAAATAGGCACTTTTCTAGCCACCCTCCTCTTTCCTACATTGGTGGAGGAGGGTGGCTTACCTGTGATCCACAGTGCTGCCTGAGTTAGTTGGGAGTTGGACGAGCTGGCTCTGCCAAGCCCCCTCCTCTCTGCCTTCTCCTACTCTTGAGGTGCCAGTCTTTTTGGAAGGACATCACTTCCTTCCATTCAGATAAGGAGCAGGCCAGCGGTAGCTTTGCCCCTGCTGGGCACCAGCCGCGCTGTGTGCTACAGGAGGATCAGAGATATGACGTGTTCATATACACCCCTCTTCTCACAGTCCGCGGCATACCATGAGTGGAAAGCAGGCTGGACGGAGTTGGTAGTGCTCAGCCACGCTATGAGAAATGACAGGAAGGAGAGGAGCGCTGTGCGCTTCCCTCCTGCTGGCCACCCTGACATTTGCGTCCCCGGGCCGGTGCACTGTGCTGCCTTATGGACGCGCCGGCCCTGGTCCTATATTCAATATGGTAATTACGGGGGCTACCCCAATGCCTTTCACCTATTCAGAAATCCCCATTGAGTTGATGGTGCCAGGTTTTGATATGTAAAGTGCTTTGGCTTAGGCTAAATATTGTTGGATGACATGGAGGGTTTTTGGTCTGGTGATACCAATGGGTGAGCCAAGATGATTTTCATATAGGAAAACCTTGGTTACTTATTAAGAAACCCCCATTGAAATGCATTGAATTGATGGTGCCACTTTGGTGCCAGTTTTGAGGCTAAATGTTGTTGGATGATATAGAGACATCCCCAGTGTATTGAAATAGATGGCATTTTGGGTGAGCCAAGATGGTTTTCATATAGGAAAACCTTGGTTACTTATTCAGAAATCCCCTTTGAAATGCATTGTGTTGATGGTGCCACTTTGGTGCCAGATTTTGTATATGAAACGTGGTTTGGCTCAGGCTAAATGTATTTATATGACATATAGAGTTGCCCAGTGTATTGAAATCAATGCATTTTGGGTGAGCCAAGATGGTTTTTATACAGGAAAACCTTGGTTACTTATTCAGAAATCCCCTTTGAAATGCATTGTGTTGATGGTGCCACTTTGGTGCCAGATTTTGTATATGAAACGTGGTTTGGCTCAGGCTAAATGTATTTATATGACATATAGGGTTGCCCAGTGTATTGAAATCAATGCATTTTGGGTGAGCCAAGATGGTTTTTATACAGGAAAACCTTGGTTACTTATTCAGAAATCCCCTTTGAAATGCATTGAGTTGATGTGCCCCTTTGGTGCCAGTTTTTGAAACGTAATGTGGTTTGGCTCAGGCTAAATGTTGTTGGATGATATAGATGGTTCCCCAGCGTATTGAAATCAATGGCATTTTGGGTGAGCCAAGACGGCTTTCATATATTGAAATGCGTTGAGTTGATGGTGCCACTTTAGTGCCAGTTTATAATCACAATTGTGGTTTGGTTCATGCTAAATATTATAGTAGGATAAAGAAGGGTGTCCAGTGTATAGAAATCAATGCCAACATGGCCAAGATGGATTTAGTGGCATTGATTTGAATGCCCAGTGTGAGTTTGGCGGCTAGCCTAATTGGCCAACATGTGTCTAGCCTATTTAATTCATCCAGGCCACTTTGTCTCAATGAAGTTGTCTGGATGCAGCGTCCTTGTCCTCTTAATCCTGCAATGTAAAACATTTCCGTTTTTGAGAATTTGCAATGTTTACAGTGGAGGGTTAAGTCCTCCTCTAGTGGCTGTCACTGTGACAGTCACTCGAGGCACATCTGCTGCACTGAGTAAAACTGTCACGTGACGCGGAGTCCCCATGAGAAAATTTGAATACACACATGTGGCTTGTGCATTAGGTCTCCAATGAGTAGCATTATATTGACCCATCACAGAGGAGGCCCTGCTGGAAGAGGAGAGGTAAACAAGGTGAGTAAAAGTTTGTTTTTATTTATTTTTAAATAAATTGGCACCAGGGGTAGGAGAAAACCTGCCTACAAGTAGGAACAAGATTTGTATTTCCAAAGCTATAGTGTTACTTTAATACTCTTGTGGCTTAACCCCTTAAGGACCAATCTTCTGGAATAAAAGGGAATCATGACATGTCACACGTCATGTGTCCTTAAGGGGTTAATGGTCGCAGTAGAGTGAAGGTTATTATTTAATTGGCTATGGAGAACAAGAACACATCTTAGAAGAAGGTGAAATATATTAACCCATAAGTGCATTAACGTAATAGCAACACAATTTTTAAAGTGCTCCTAAAAAAAGAAATGTCACATACAACATAATATAGTTATGCATATTACTTGCTTTTATAATCTTAAATCCTCAGCTTTTTCTTTGTGTTTGAAAAATAAATAAATATATCTAATTGACCTGGGATATTATATGCGGTCTTCTGCCTACTTCCAAATTATTGAGGGTTTGATAACACAATTCCAAGATGGCCTCCAGGACACACACAAAAAAGCAACCTATCAGATCTTTAAGGGGTTATTCCAGAAAATATAGGTTAAGTCTATTTAGATGTAGAGTGAAACTAATATTTGTATGACAAATACACTTAAGGGTGTAAAAATAATGCTTGAAGCAGGACATCTATGTATCTGTTTAAATAGTTTTGGGGGGCAAAATGTTGGCAACAACAATGACCAGTCTGCCCACCAATCATGGAAGAATAAAGTGTGTTTGGACAACTTGAACATTTGAGAAAGAAAAAGTGCAAAGTGAACCATCAGGTTTTAGATAATACTAAAGTCACAAATGCTTACGCCACTTAAAAATCAATGGTGGAACTTTGTGCATGATATTTGTTAGGGTCCCCTCTAGCGCAAGGATGGCCAAAAGTTAGATTCTTAACTGTCGTGTTATATCCACAATGCAGAGTTGTATTTGTGAGCAGTGTGGGTTTGAATATAGGCGTGTTTTTGCATGAAGTATGTATGAATGTAGTAGTGTATTTGTATGTACTGTTGCCATTTGGATGCAGTGTTGTGTTTGTATGTAGCGTTGGCATTCAAATGCTGTTGTGCATTTTAATGTAGGTGAGCATTTGTGTGTAGCGTAGGCATTTTAGTGTAGTTGAGTGTTTGTGTGTAGTGTTGGCGTTTGAATGCAGGTATCCATTTGTGTATTGTGTTGGTGTTTGAATGCTGGGATGTATGCACATATACACATACACTGCCAAACACAGTGACACAGAAACAGAAATATACTGGCATAAACACTGACACACACAAACACATACTGACAGATACGCATACACAATGAAACATACACACCTATACTGGAACAGATGCACATACAGATAAACACACACGTCATATCACAAATAGGAGGAAAGTGGCTTCCCTGTAGTCCAGCAGGTCCTGCTGACTGAAGCTTATGGAAATCTGGGGTTGAAGAAAGTCTGCTCCAACCCCCACCCTCAGCAGCATTCTCCCAGCCCTCTCCTCGTGGCTGTCTATGGTAACTGATGATCTGAACTAACTCTCCCACTGCCATATGACAGGGAGCGGTTGCATTGTTAATGGACCGCATTGCCAGGCCGGGCTCCTGATCAGAGATGCCCTTTGAGTGTCCGTAAGTGAGAAACACCTGATAGGCCCCAACAGCACGCGGGCCGGTTTTAGTGTAGTTGATGTACCTAGTATGTCCACGGCAAACATGAGCTCTTCCACCTGCTCTTAAGGGTATTGCAGCGATGCCTTGATGTCGAAGCATCCTGCAATACCGCTCCTAAATGCCAGGCCGCCGAGTTGCCACCCGTGGCGCCCAGCAGCGTAGCAGAGCATCGAAAGCCATTGGTCAGGCTTCCGATGCTCTGCCTGTGTGCGGAGTGCCTCGAGGCACTCAGTGAAGACCTAACTAAAATCAATTTAAAAAAAACTAATTTTCCTTCCTCCCTCCCCCTGTACCACCATGTGGCTTCCAATATGGCGCTGCCTTTCATGGAGCTTCTGGGGGTGTCCCTGGCTTGCCTCATCATAGAGGCAGGCTAGGGTCATCCAATCAGAGCTTACCCCTATAGTATTTATTATTACCATGATCCCCATTTGTCTGGTCAGGTCACTATTAGAAAATATTGACTCTGATCAGTGTGGATCTCCCTCCCAAATCAAATCCCTCAGTGTGTTTTAGTGAAAGAGAGAGATGTGTTTAGGTAGAGAGATTTAGGTAGGGAATTGTAAAATTATGAGACCCAAAGGCTCATTAACCCCTATCTTGCCAGTGATCACTATAAATCACTGGCTCTTGCACAGCAACACTTATTTTGCCATCTGTGCATTTTTTAAGGGGATATTTTTGTGTGTGATTTATTTTTGTGACAGATCACTAAAGTGATTGTGATCATGATACATAGGTTGTATAGGAGACATATGTCATCCTTGCGTTACAGTCTGACTCCGACCCGGATTTTGACCCTGCCAAGTGCTCAGGTACATCACTAGATACATTGTCTGCTGCTAGTGATGTATCTGTGGCTGCTAGGCCCCCTGCCAAAAGGAGACGTGCTGCTCCAGCTGGCAGTGATGCGGAGGAGTGGGTAACGCTTCACCGCAAATCCTGGCATCAATGTGGATGTCGCAGAATTTAGCCCCAAACAATTTATGGAGGTGTTTCTGGGCGATGATGTATTGAGGAACATTGTCGCGCAAACTTCTTTATATGCCCATCAGTTCCGTGCTTCAAAGCCTGACTCTTTTTGGCAAAGCAGCAATGAGCCCCCATCGATGTGCCAGAATGAACAAATTTCTGAGCATTGACTATGCTGATGGGCATCATAAAGAAGCCCACCGTCCACAACTACAGGAGCAGTAGCCCCATCTGATCTATCCCCATTTACTCCCAGTGTATGTTGAGGAAGAAGTATGAAAGGATTCTACAGCCTGTGCATCCCCAGTTTGACAGGCTGTATAAAATCCACCCCCTGCTTACCCCTTTCACTGCCAGGTTTGCAGAGGCTTATACACCTGGAAGGAATATATGCATGGATGAATCCATGATGAAGTATAAGGGAAGGCTTGGATATAAGCAGTATATTCCTTCCAAGCGCTCTAGGTATGGTGTAAAGGTGTATAAGCTCTGTGAGAGCAAGACTGGGTATACTCTATCCTTTCCCTCGTACACCCGGAAGGACTGCCACCTTGACCCTCCAGGTTGCCCAGAACATATGGGAAACAGTGGCAAGGTTGTCTGGGACCTGATATTCCCCCTGATGAACAAAGGGTAATACTTGTATATAGACAATTTTTATACAAGTGTCCTTTGTTCAAGCTATTGTATTGTTTTGATATAGTAGCTTGCAGTACAAACAGAATGAATCGCACCCAGGACAACTTGCACTCACCTGGCTACAAAGGGGGGAGACCTCAGCTCTGCGCCAAGAGTAGCTGTTGGCAGTTTAGTACAGAGACAAGAAGGATGTGTTCCTTCTTACCACCATCCACACTGAGAGGATAGTGTAGGTCTCTGTACGTGGCCAAGCTGAGAGCAGAAGGAAGCCGTGTGCATCAAGGCATTGGACCGGTATTTGGGTGGTCAGCTGCTGCAGCCTTACCTAATTATATGGAAGACAAGGGCTTGGTACAAAAGGTTGCAATTTACTTAATGCAAATTGCAACCTACAACACTTTTTTGTTGTTCAAAAAAGCAAACCCCAGAATGCAACTGACTTTTTTACAGTTTCAGCTCCAGATCATTTAGTGGATTTTGTACCAAGATGTACCTGCTCCCCGGGCGGTGATGGGAGAGAGCAGAGTTGGAGCTACCCACTTTATTTTTTAAATCCCCCGTACTGCGGCAAAGCAGAATCCTCAAAAAAGATTTAAGAGGAGGCAGAGAAAGGACAACCCTGATTGCCCTGGACGCTGCATTGGGGACTGCTTCAAGCGATATCACACACTGGTCCATTTTAACTTTTTTTATTTTTACTATTGCCGTTTTTTTGGTTTTGTTTACTGTTCCTGAGTTTGTTTGTTTGTTTTTTTACTTTTACTGCGCCAGACTATTTTTAGGATGAAGTTCAACCTATGCATGGGGGCATGAGTGTACTCAGGAAACCTTGCAGAAAACAATCTAAAGTGTTTTCTTGCAATAACAAACAACAGGCTTCCCTAAATCACACACAGATGTGTGTGTAAAAATAAAAATTTTAAAATTACTACCAGACATTTTCTCCAATTTTTTGGGGGCTAAAACTGTTGCATCAAAACACTCCATATACAATACCTTGGGGTGTCAACTTTTCAAATATATGCACGTTCATGGCAAGATAATAAATTGGAATATGTAGATAGGCAAAGAATATATGTCAAATTTGAAAAACACGCCAAAAGATTGGCATTGCACCCCCCAAACAAACCTATGCATAGGTGGTATCACTGTACTCAGGAGATGTTGTTGAACACATATTCGGGTGTTCTTTGTCAGTAACACATAGCAGGAACTGAGAATCCATGCCCAAAGTACAATGTGAGATTTAAAAAAAAAATGACTACCCAAACGTTTGGCAAAGACTGGTGGTAGAATTAGTGCATGTAAAGTGTTTTTAAATACCACCATTTGTAATACCCTGGGGTGTTTACTTTTCTAAAATATATGGTTTGATGGGGGGGTAAATTGTCCGGCTTCAATAATGTCCCAAATAGGACATGGGTGCATGATGACCAGATGAAAAATTCCATGTTGGAAAACTGGAATGCGCACCCTCCAAATAAGGTCTTTTAGCCCCCAGAGAATCAGACACACCTATACATGGGTGGTATCACTGTATTCAGGAGATGTTGCTTAACACATATTAGGGTGTTCTTTGGCAGTAACCCTTAAAGGAAAACTCCAGTGCCAGGAAAACAATCCGTTTTCCTGGCACTGCAGGTACCCTCTCCCTCCCATCCCAGGTCGCTGAAGGGGTGAAAACCCCTTCAGGTCACTTACCCGAGACCCCCGCCAATGTCCATCGGCGGTGGTTTTGGGTCGGCGTTGCTCCTCCATGTAATCACGTCAGCCGGTAGGCGAGACTGATCCCGCCCTCCGGCTGAGGAAACCTAATGCGCAGCAATGCCGCGCATGCGCATTAGGTCTCCCCATAGGAAAGCATTCAAAAAGATTTTCAATGGTTTCCTATGGGAAATTGAGCGACGCTGGAGGTCCTCACACAGCATGAGGACGTCCAGCGACGTTCTAGCAAAGAAAATCTTTGCTATGAATCAGGAAGTGCCCTCTAGTGGCTGTCTAGTAGACAGCCACTAGGCGAGGACTTAACCCTGCAAGGTAATTATTGCAGTTTATAAAAAAAACTGCAATAATTACAGTTGCAGGGTTAAGAGTAGTAGGAGTTGACACCCAGACCACTCCAATGGGCAGAAGTGGTCTGGGTGCCTGGAGTGTCCCTTTAAAGGTCTCAGTACATGTATTCTTAAAGGACCACTCTAGGCACCCAGACCACTTCAGCTTAATGAAGTGGTCTGGGTGCCAGGTCCTTCTAGGGTTAACCCATTTTTTTTTTATAAACATAGCAGTTTCAGACAAACTGCTATGTTTATCAATGGGTTAAGCCTTCCCCCAAAGCTTCTAGTGGCTGTCTCATTGACAGCCACTAGAGGCGCTTGCGTGCTTCTCACTGTGATTTTCACAGTGAGAGCACGCAAGCGTCCATAGGAAAGTCTTGTAAATGCTTTCCTATGCGACCGGCTGAATGCGCGCGCAGCTCTTGCCGCGCGTGCGCATTCAGCCGACGGGGCGGAACGGAGGAGGAGAGAAAGAGGAGAGCTCTCCGCCCAGCGCTGGAAAAAGGTAAGTGTTTACCCCTTTCCGCCTTCCAGAGCCAGGCGGGAGGGGGCCCCTGAGGGTGGGAGCACCCTCAGGGCACTATAGTGCCAGGAAAACGAGTATGTTTTCCTGGCACTATAGTGGTCCTTTAAATTGCTATGTGTGTCAAAAAAAAACTTTTTTTTTTTTTTAATTTGGCATAGATTGGTGGTAAAACGGTAATACCTTGGGTTGTTTTCTTTTAAGAAATATATACATATGAAGGGTTATTCAAGGATTCCTGACCGATATCAGTGTTACAATGTAACTTGCGTTAGTTTTGAAAATAGCAAACTGCTACTTGTACTTATTGCCCTATAACTTGCAAAAAAAATAAAAGCTAAGAACAGGTTAACATTGGGTATTTCTAAACTCAGGACAAAATTTAGAAACTATTTAGCATGGGTGTTTTTTGGCAGTTGTAGATGAGTAACAGATTTTGGGGGTCAAAGTTAGAAAAGGAGATTTTTAAAAAAAATTCTCATCATATTTTATAAATTTTCTTATAGTAAATTATATGATATGATGAAAATAATGGTATTTTTAGAAAGACCATTTAATGGCAAGACAAACTGTATATAATATGTGTGGGTACAGTAAATGAGTAAGAGAAAAATTACAGCTAAACACAAACACCGCAGAAATGTAAAAACAGCCCTGGTCCTTAACGGTAAGAAAACTGAAAAACGGTCTGGTCACTAAGGGGTTAATCGTGATAGATCTCACCCTTTGTATATGCCGTAAAACCTGCAAAGTTACGTATTCGTAAAGTTTGTAATTGTGAAGTCTTGCTTAAACATTAAAACATCAGTTAATATATGACTTTATTTCTCAAGCCGATTGACCCCATCTCTTTAGTCCTAACATGGGACTGACTCTTAAACTAATAACCTGGCGTAGAAATTAATTTCATAAATTAAAACATAATTAAAAAAAACAAAAAAAAAAAACTGTTGAAAATTGCTTTACAACATCAGATGGAATTTGTCATTCTTCAAACATATTTCAGTGTTGAATGACGGAATCTTTCCTCCAGAAAACGTTCTTTCATTGCTGCAATTATGATGTTCCATTCCTATTCACATCCGTTGGCAACAATGAGACACACAGCAACAGATGCCTTCTATACAAATTTATTTAGTCATCTTTCTTCGGTGGCATTGGTAAGACTGAGACCTCGGAGGGGGATAGCACAAAGTCCCTGCCTTTATCTCAGTTTGGATGTGAAATCATTTTTTCCTGCCTACCTTTCACATATGTAACGCCTTTGCAAGTGTGCAAAAACTTTGTGAAGAGGTAAAATTAATCTTTCTTTTGTGTTTGGGCGTGCAATATGTATCAGAAGGGTTCAAAAAAACCAAAAAAACAACATGAGAGAATTGGTGAAAATGAAAATATTGTGTGTCTTGAAAGAAGAACATCATCTTCTTGTACACATTATTAGTCCTCAGACACGACTGCAGTGGGTTGTTTCCCATGCAGAATAACCCTGTGGTTGGATCTCTGAGCCTGCACAGTTCCAAGTTCATCTACCTCCACAAACAAAGACTCTTCATACTGGCGACTCGCGCCCTGTGAACAGATCATCTTCAGATTCCAACTTCTTGTGTTTGCGCAGGTGTTTGTATCTGTCCACATACGCTTTTACCAAGTTGACTACTTTCACTGGATTAATTTCTCCACTTTTGCTGTGGCAGATCTGTCGTAGGGGAAAAAAATAAAGGTTAAGCTGATTAATGAAGTCAAACACCTCACATATCTACATTATGCAGAATGCAAACAAGGCAAAACAAGAACAAAAATATATATATACTAAATATTTCCCTTATCAAATTTCAGTCACATTCCCAGAACTTCTAGATAAATAGAATAAAACCACATGAATACTCATACAACAAGGTAAAACAAATGGGGGTCAGTGGTGTCACTCTGTGCAGTAACTCATGTTGTCACCCCCTGGATATCCTCCAGTACCAGACCATACAGAATCCTTAGTGCAATAATGCAATTATTTAGTGTATTTATAATTTCAGGATAGGATATGGTTAGCACAGACCAACAGTTAGAAGTAAGGAAAACACTTGACTCCTACACATTTCGAGAATTTTACAATCAAAGGTGTATTAAGCGACTAACAAGTTATTCAGGCTGGACATGGAAAAGTAGAAGTGTTAGGTCTAGCTTTCAGAACACATCAATTTCCAGAATTCTCAAGCATCCCTCTTTAGGAGAGACAGCACCTATTTTGGACAATAAAGCTCACATTCTAATGTAATTCATTACATTACATTACAGAGCTAATAAAGCTTGCACTCTAATGAAAGTAAGATAACCAATAAAGATTGCACTATGACTGAAATACATTAAAGTGCAAGCTTAATTCAGCCATAGACCATAAAAGCCATATATACCATGTATATATAGATGGGAGCCTTTTACGTATAGATAACAGACATATAGTCTGTGCGTTTATAGGTTGGAGTGTGCATGTATACATATATATAGGAGTATTTTATTTATTGAGAGATACATTTTTGTGTGTGTATAAGTAGGAGTGTGACATTATTTACTCAGTATAGTCTATGTATATATAGATGGGAGCATTTTATTTATAGAAAACAGCATTATAGTCTGTGCATATATAAATATGAGCTTTTTCTATAAATAAAAGGCTCCCAACTTTTTGTTGAACCTGGTTTCTCTATTACAGTATAAACTAGGATACATTTACTCCATTCAACTTATTTTAACAAATAGCATTAAAAAGATAAGGGAAAACATTATTACTAATGATTAAGAAGAGCAGTTTTGTAACTCGGAGAGTTAAAGAAAAAAATATTTTCAATTGTGTTCGGTAATTAACTCCCTTGTAATTAAACAAATTAAAGAATTGGAACAACAACAAAAAAAAAGTCAAGACATACAGTGAAAGACCAATCAAACCAACTAAATAAAAAAATAATGGGGAAATAAATTTTAAAAAGAGCAAATAAATTAAACAGAATAATAGAATGGAAAAGGAGGGAGGACTAACAAATATATATCCATCCAAACTGACATTATGTGCAGTTCCAGGGTGCCTAAAGTCAGGGCAGCACTGGGACAATATGTTACATGTACATGCAGCATAGCTCCTTGCACCGGTCACCAATTTAATCCTGCTCACCTATTATGATCCTGCCTTCCCATACTTCTTCCAACAGATCACTTAGCATGACCCAGGAGGAGAGGCTGCCATAGACAGCAACCGCATGGTCTGTCAGGGGGCATGTCAGCTGTCAAGCTGGAACTGGAAGGCTACACTAGCTGATGATCTGGAGGGGTGTGCAGCAGTTACTGAAGTGCTTACCATGCTGACTGACTGCTGCTGCTTTCTAGGAGAGAGACCGCTTATCCTGCTGCAAATGCACCCAGTCTCACTACCTTTCCCTTTTCGAGCTCTGCTTGGGAATACAAATACCAGCCTGAGGATGACCGCTTGTCACCACCATTTTTTTTGCTGCCCCCTTGGAATGTGCCGCCCCAGGCGATTGCCTTTTATGCCTCGCTGAAGATCCACCACTGGTGATAAGTATCAGCTTTTACAATCAGTGATTGAGAACTGTTCTTGGCTCTTTAAATTGTCACACACTTATTTGTGTATTCTGTCATTTTTACATATGAATCCGTTTTAGTTTTACACCTGAATCCATCTTTAAAAGGAGAGCAAATGGTCTGATCAATAATAATTTATGTTCTAGTTTTTGGCTCAGAAAACAAGTGATTTCTTTAAGAACACACAGAGAATATTTTGAGCAAGTAAAGAGTTTGGCTATATTTTAGTTTGTCTTTATTATTGCCTCTACCAAAAAAAGCATCTGGGCCTGCAATTTGAGTGTATTAGAGGATTTATGAGATCTTTGTTCACAATGATCAGCTACTACCTTTTGCACAGCTTTGCGAAGGATTTCTTTGTATTCGTCCTTTGTGATCTCTCGCTTCTGGTAGAATGGTTTGATAGCCAATTTCACCTCCTCAACTGCACGTTCCTGCATATGAAGCTTTTTCATATACTAGAAAAAAAGACAATGTACAATATATCAGAAGAAAGACAGACAAGAGACACTTTTCTAAAAGATCCTGCTATAGACATCGAAAACATTCATTCTATGAAAACTTTCAATCCATAGCTTAGCAGAAACAAGTAAAACAGTGCAATATACAATTACGTAATAAGGTATTACGTAATAACATAACAAGAAAAGAACATAGCCATGTGTGAGATTATATTAAATGTTATCACAACTACATGGCCCGACATCTACAAGAGGATTATTTTAAAGTAAGTTTAAACATATTCCTTCATACCTCGTCATTCTTAACCTTCTCTCCTTTTAAAGATGATTTTGATTTTGCCTTCCCTTCACCTATGGAAAACAAAAAAGCAGGAAAAGTAAAACTATAACAAAGTTCTAGCTAAAAGTGGCTATTCTACATCTAAAATCTTTAACATCCAATTAAGGTTGTTACAGTTAAATGATGGGAAAATGTGACAGAGCGCTTTAAGCAAAAACTCTGACAAAAGGACTCTCTATACTAGTGTTTTTGTGAGGATAACGGATTAAATCACAAACATGATTTTAAAAAAACTGCAATAATTGATCACAGAATTCCTCACATACAAAGGGAAAAATTCATCAAAATGTTGCAAAACACTCTATTCCATAGAAACATAGAATGTGACAGCAGATAAGTACCATTCAGCCCATCTAGTCTGCCCAATTTTCTAAAAACTTTCATTAGTCCCTGACCTTATCTTATAGTTAGGATAGCCTTATGCCTATCCCACACATGCTTAAACTCCCTCACTGTGTTAACTTCTACCACTTCAGCTGGAAGGCTATTCCATGCACCCACTACCCTCTCAGTAAAGTAATACTTCCTGATATTATTTTTAAACCTTTGTCCCTCTAATTTAAGACTATGTCCTCTTGTTGTGGTAGTTTTTCTTCTTTTAAATATAGTCTCTTCCTTTACTGTGTTGATTCCCTTTATGTATTTAAATGTTTCTATCATATCCCCCCTGTCTCGTCTTTCCTCTAAGCTATACATGTTAAGATCCTTTAACCTTCCCTGGTAAGTTTTATCCTGCAATCCATGAACCAGTTTAGTAGCCCTTTTCTGAACTCTCTCTAGAGTATCAATATCCTTCTGGAGATACGATTTTCAGTACTGGAGATACAATACTCCAAGTGAGGTCTCACCGGTGTTTTGTACAATGGCATGAGCACTTCCCTCTTTCTACTGCTAATACCTATCCCTATACAACCAAGCATTCTGCTAGCATTTCCTGAAATGTAAAATCCTAAGTAATATGTAAAGGATTCCACAAAGCTTTCTATGATAAACCTAGTACCGAAATAGGTGGCCTGTGTTGCAAACAATATAATTTTTACATTTCTGAAACTACTAGAACTAGAATACATATCCACTAAACACCTCCCACACAGGATCCTATGGAATGTACACAGCATTATCTTTAAGATTAATGGGAAGCTGAATAATCCCTTCCTCTAACTGCTGCTGGCAGAAGGTGCAGATCTGCATCTTAATAGGGTGCTTTATAGATAATCGTCTATTTTATTTTGGTATTTTTAATATCAGAAGTAAAGGGAATTGGTACCCACCTGTACTTGCAACTTGCATCTTCGGTTCATTAGCTGTAGCTAGGCTGCCAGGCTTTGGGGTCTGGCTTAGCATTGCTCCACTGCTCTGCATGATGCTTGGTATGGTCGGCTCACTGACAGGGGCATAGGGAGGAAAGATTGGCGGGAGAGGTAACGGAGGCAGAGTCTGTGGGAAAGCCTGTGCATAGGGTGTAGAAAAAAAACATGCACATGTGTGTGAGCATTTTATGGTATGAATCCTAAGCTGGCATCTTGCTTTGTAACACAGCCTGCAACTAAGAAGTGGAAGCTGTTGTACCAAATATATATATATTATAAATGATATAATAAAACTCACTAAGAGTTTAGATGTCACAAGAGAGCTTGCAGTATTTAATTAAAATTCTGATAAAAGTACATAAGGAACTCAGATGTTACATTTTGGAAAATGTACTTAAAGGGACACTATAGTCAGCAAAACAACTTTAGCTTAATGAAGTAGTTTTGGTGTATAGATCATGCCCCTTCAGTATCACTGCTCAATTCTCTGCCATTCAGGAATTAAATCACTTTGTTTATACAGCCCTAGTCACACCTCCTTGCATGCGACTTACACAGCCTTCCTAAACACTTCCTGTAAAGAGATTTCATGTTTAAACTTCCTTTATTGCACAGCGTGTTTCATTTAGAATGACCTATTTCCTGCTTTGTTAATAGCCAGGTAGACTCTGCAGGAGCCTCCTGTGTGTGATTAAAGGTCACTTTACAGAGCAGGAGATAAAGTAAAAAAGCAAATTAACATCAGATTGAAAATGAAACCATTTTGTTTTTTCATGCAGGTTAATCACAGCAATGTAAGGGCTGCATAAACAGAAACAAAAGTGATTTAACTCCTAAATGGCAGACAATTGAGCAGTGAGTCTGCAGGAGCATGATCTACACTAAAACTACTTCATTATGCTAAAGTTGTTTTGATGCCTATAGTGTCAACTCAAATTATTTAAAGAGACTGCAAAGTTTCTAATTAAGAACATATTCAGATTACAATTATGGAATTAATTCTCCAGAATGATTTGGGCTATTCTTGGCTTATTCCAATCTGAATATTGTCAGCTTTATCCTAAACGGACGCAAAACAAGTAGTAAGTACAAAGCTTTGATTTCAAACAGGTCAAGCAACTTTTTTCACTTGACTCTTGCTAGAACTGCAAACTGTCTTGAAATTGCAAGGCCCTTCAGAGAGATTAAATGCATAAAAATATTTCTTATAACCCATACAAGGATGAATGAAGCTCTTTCGGTGTACCACTTCCCAAAAGCTATTTAAATTATATTCCCACACAGCTGGAATGGAAGACAGCTGTGTGTCTTCCATTCCAGCTGTCACCCAGGTCAATGTCCACGCTAACTGTCACCCAGGTCAATGTCCACGCTAACTGTCACCCAGGTCTGTGCTCACGCTGTCACCCAGGTCTGTGCTCACGCTGTCACCCAGGTCTGTGCTCACGCTGTCACCCAGGTCTGTGCTCACGCTGTCACCCAGGTCTATGCTCACGCTGTCACCCAGGTCTATGCTCACGCTGTCACCCAGGTCTGTGCTCAAGCTGTCACCCAGGTCTGTGCTCAAGCTGTCACCCAGGCTTGTGCCCACACTGTACTGATACAGAAGCAGAAAGGAAAGAGACCGCGATTTAAAATTAGCATAGGGTAGTTACATTTTAAAGATAAATGCATAGGCTACATTCCCGCCATTGTGATTATTAGGTAGGCAACAGAATGTATGTTTTTTTTACAGGAAGAGCAGAATGGGCTAATGACTGTGTGCAAAATTCAGCGCAAAATAAGACATGAATAAATAAAGAAGCACAAGTTTTATCAGTTATTCAAAGCTAAAAAGCTACAGCACCTGAACAGGAGTCTCTGTTGCAATCCAAGGCAATCGACTGGTCTCTTTGACAGGTTTGTTCACAGAATTCCATGATATTTGATTGGACACCTGTTGCAGGGAATCCCGGATGGAAGTGTCTGGGAGATTCCACGGACGAGTACTGAAAATATCAGATGGGGAATCTGCTGAAAATGCAGACCCGGTTTCAGATTGTTTGGGTGAATCAGGCCTTGGCTCCTCTTTTATTTGCTCAGGCTTAAGGAGTAGAACACCTTACACAGAAAAAGACAAACTATTTTTAGAATCATCCACATAATAAATTGGGTTGTGTTAAGTGCTCAACGTATACTGTAACAGTAGGTGAAGAGGGGCCGGCCCAAACAAGCTTACAATCTAAAAGTTAAATGTGTTTTGATACTTGATTTAAAATGGTGAAATCATAGTCTAATTGGAAACACTATTTGTATTCTTACTTTAGTAAATAATCCTAGGTGAGTTTCAAATTTAAAGTCAAAATAGCTGAATTGGAAGAAATTCTCAGCTATGCCTTCAGTTCGGTTACTCTGGCCATAAATTTTAAATTTACTTTTATCTCATTTTATTGAATAACCCTGTATTATAGTACAGTAAAAATATTGTTGTTGTGAATCAAAATTTAGCTTTATGGAGTGTACCAATTAACTATACATATTGTTGGACTAGTTTACAAGTACCAGCATTTGTGACATACAATGCACTTAAACTCATGTAAAAATATGCACATGTACAATAATATCACAGGTGTTTCTACATTAGTATAGGAGGCCCATAGGGCATATATATCCCAGGAAAGGGAGTTATGTGCTAACTTATTTTACCTTTAGCCAGACAATTAATGCTTAAAGGGAAACTATAATGCCAGGAAAACAAACTCTCTCCCTTCTGTCACTTACCTGGGTCCAGTGCACTTGGGTCCGCCTTCGCTCCTCCACCGTCAGCCGGCACTTGAGACTTAATGTACATGCGCGGCAATGGTTGCGCTCACATTAGGATTTCCCCCATAGGAAAGCATTATACGATGCTTTCCTATGGGGTTTTGGGTAACGCTGGTCTTCTCCATGAATTCCGTGAGGACGTCCAGTGATTGTTAGGTGACCAAAAGTCACCTAACATCACAGAAGTTCGTGGTAGACAGCCGATAGAGGTGGGGTTAATTCTGCAAAGTAATTATTGCAGTTTCTTAAAAACTGCAATAATTCGCTTTATAGGATTAAGGGACCTGGGACACTGAACCCAGACCACTTCAATGAGCTGAAATGGTGTGGGTGCCTTTAAAAGCTTCGTGCAGAAAGGCTCATTTTCTGTTTAGATACAAAATGCTCACCTCACATGATCAGAATAACACATTTTTATAAAGTCGTATTTACTGAAACAGCAGTCATTGCATGTGCTTTATCATCACATAGGTCAAGATTAAACATTAGGGCATACAATAAAATCTGGCATAGGTGACAGTGATTCTAAGCAAGACTTCAATCAATCTATTTAACATTCAAATTTCACAATCCATTTTTTTGCCAGTAATACCAAAGTCAGAAAACGTTCTTATCTTAAAAATCAGACCAAAACCAAGGTTTCACAATTAATCTTGCTATGTTAAGCCATATTGTGAGATTAATAAAACACGCATTGCAAGTTACATCAGCTACATCACAGGTTGAAATGCGTGTGTTTCCTTACATTACCTCTAAACAGACATTTCAGGTATTATCCACATGGGCAATTATTAAGTTATCAATTTTGCTATGTTATAGTGTAGTTACAGTGTTTATTTTCCTTTTTTAATGTTAATTAAAAAGGACAAAAACACTAACTACACTATAACATGGCAAAATTGATAACCTTATTTATCACACCTACTGTTAATTCATCTAAATATTAATTAATATTGCCTGTGCGTGTCATCAAGTCAGGGGAGGTGTTCAACACTTCAAAATGTTTTGATGTATCGTTTATTTGTACAAAACATGTTTCCAAGTCATCTGAGATGTTGAATTTGCCAAATTTTTTAATCGTGACATTAAAGTGTCTGAACTCCTTTCCAGTAGTAATGTAATCTTAAATTTGTGACGGTTACTAAACTTTGAGTTTTTCGAAAATTCATTCTGAGTGGAAAAAAAACCTTACTCAAAAATAGTCAAGTTGTGACCACAGCAGAGTTGGAAATCTTTTTCCCCGATAATTTTTGCTTCAGTTTTTTCCATCCAAATGTAATTCACGAAAATTCAAACTTTAGTGAATAATCATGTGAGTATTTAGCATAAAGCATAGCTTACATTGACTGACATGAAAATGGTAAATGTAACAGTAAGGTTATGGCAGCATCAACATTCTTACCAGCTTATTGGCAGCCATGAACATGTTGATAAATCGAGATTTGTAACTTTGCTCTATGTTAACAGTTTGGAATACAGCAAACTATGAATGCATTTATACTTACTTGAGGACGTTTCTTTTGTGCAACTCACTGCATCTTTACTATGAAGGTTCCACGAGACTCTCTTGATCTGAGTTTTGGATTTACACAAAAGTGTCTCAATGTCTGTTTTGGATGGGCTCAGACTTATGTTTGCTCCTGTTTGTGGAAAACTATTTGTTGTGGTGGCCTCATTAATGTGATTTCCTGCCTCTTCATCGCCAGAAGCTCCTTCATCCTGTAAGAAGGGGATCACTTGCTTTTTGGAAAAACTTACTAAGGGAGTTTCCTAAAAGAAAAAGAAAATGTTCTTGAATATAGACTGCACATCAAAATCCAAGAACTTAACTCTAGAAGTTTATGCTCATGAACATTATCTCATTAATCTATCAATATCTAGGTGAACAAAATCCTTGACCCTCTAAATGTGATTTGTGACATATAGAATATCCACATCATGTTGTGCTGGGATGTCAGAAAGGTATACATTGTGTAAGGCTGCAATCATTTAACGAGTTACTCCAAGCATCATGACTTCAGTGTTTTGGAGTGGTCATGGCACAATGACCCTATATGTGCAGCTTTTCAGTATGAAACACTGTACATATGGAGATATTTTGTATTGCCGCTAGAGGATATCCTTTGCACATAGGTTCTTTCATTAGCTGAGGGCACTCAGTAGGAGCTCCCAGCCAATGAATGAATGGCAGGTTCAATAGGAACAAGAGGCTGAGACTGAGGGGTATCCAGGTAAGAGGCAAATTGTTACAAAACGGTTTGCATGCTTACTGGTAAACCATGCCAGGGTACTCCAGAAATCATAACCACTATAGCAGGCTATAGTGGTTATTGTGCTTGTAGAAAAACTTAAAGTGGAGCTCTATCTAAATTTATTATCTTCCCGAAAAATTTAAATGCAATTCCTTAAACTGTATGTTAAACACTGCTATTACATTTGCTTATGGGGAGCAACAATACAAACACAAAAACTGCAGATTCAATCACAACCTCTCTTACACTAGCGCTTCTGCCTTACACCGTTGCTTTGTCAAATCATTTACCTTATAGTCGCCTTCTCGTTTCATCAAGATGGCTTCTTCAAGGTCCACATCATCTGGGCTAGCTGCTCCTGCTGAGCACACGTCATCTGAAAGCTCAGTAAGAAGAAAATCATCCAAGTGAGATGGTGACCACTGCATATCATCAGGCTCTGTTTTGACAGGGGGTTGGCTAACTAGCTGGATGGTTTCCAGGCTGGAATGCGGGCTGTGGGGTTTAGGAACTGGAGGTTCACTGTCTGATGATAATGGAGAGACTTGTGGACTAACAACCTCTGCCTTAAGTGGCAACTCATTTAAGAGAGGAATTTCCTCTTTCAATTGTGTCTCTTGGGCATCACCCCTTTTGTCTTCAGGAAATATGGAATCCAGGAGAGATGGCGACCATGGTGGGCTACTTGTTTCCATCTTATCTACATCATCATTACTAGAGAACTCAACATCTTTTTCCTCTTTCACAACGGGAATATCAACTGATATCTCTTTTTCAAAAACAGGATAGAAGTCTCTTTCTACATCCTCTTTGGGTGAAACTATTGTAGGCTTCCTTGTCTCTTCCTTGTCTGTGTGGAATTCTGTTTTAACAGTAACAGTACAAGTGATAGGCCTTTCATCTCCATCTGGGGCCAGAAAAGTTTCTTCATAAGACTCCCTTTCTTTTAAATGTTTTTTGTCTTTTGATCGATGAGCCTTGTGCTCCTTTGCCATTTGTGGCGACTTTGATCTTTGCTTCCCTCTTTCTTCCTTGGGTTTCTTTTTTTCCTTTACCCTGAAGCCCCCTTCTTTGTTGTAATAGTTCTTCTCACCCTTGTGCTTCCTCTTCTTATCCCTTTCAGGGCTAACAGATTGACCTCTGGACTCGCGCTTCTTTTTCTTCTTTTTCTTACTGTTGTAAGCTCTGTGTGAAGAACTGCTTCGACTGCTTGACCTTGACCGCTTCCTCTCCTTGGATTCAGAGTTTTTTCTTTTCTTCTCCTTTTTTTTCTCCTTTTGACGTTTTTTCTTGGAACGCTCACAGCTGCCTGAGCTGGACCTATCGCTACGTGCTCTTTTTCCTTTGTGAGTTTTTGATTTGGATTTTTCTCTTCTTTCCTCCTCTGAGGACCAAGAGGCTGATCTTGATTCTCTGTCTTGAGACCGTGTTCCAGATCTAGACCTTAAACAATCTATTGGCTCTTCCTTAATAGTGGTTTTCATTTTCAATAGATCCATATTATGACCAGTGGACAAAGAGAGGGAACGTGTGGGAGATTCCAATTCCCAAACCACTCTGTTACTCTGATGAATAACTCTGTTCGGCAGAGGTTCGGGATCAGGTTTTATAGAAACACGGTTCTCCTCTTTTGAATCAAAGTGAAAACCACGAACACCACCAGGTTTCAGATCAGAAGTAATTTTCAAACCAGAAAGTGGGCAAGAGATTTTGAAAGGTACCTTCTCGTTGTTTTCTTCTTCGTCAATTTCCTGTTTGATCTCTTTTTCCACCTTTATATAAGAAGGCAACACAGGACTCAAGTCCCCGGCTTTTTCAGGTACACTATGCTCTTTGCTGCTGGGAGACATATCAGAGAAGTCAGGACCAAGTTTAGAGACACTAATTTTGTTTGAGTGGGTGGTAAGGAATCTGAAGCTTCTAAATGCTCCTACTTTGACACCACTGGACGGTGCAGTATTTTGAGTCACTGGTGATGTGGATGATGGTGTAGAGGTTGGCATATTAGATGGCACAGAAGAAGGCCCTGGTCGTTCTGGGCTACTGTCTTTTGAACCTGAATCGGAGCCTGTTGGATCGAAAGGGTCATAAATTTCATTTTTAACAGGTTTATCCCTTTTTGAAGAGGTTGCTGATTGATGGGGTGTATTTTTTTGTTCTATTTTACCATCAGTGGAACGGAAGGGATCCCGTGAACTGGGACTGAACTGTCTACAGGTGTTGCCCGAGCTACGACTGATTGTTATCCGGAGACCACCTCCTCCCACCTCAATCGATCCCACACTTCTTGAGCTACTGGTTGAACTTGTATGGCTAGAAGATACTCCCCCACTTTGTTTTTGAGGCTGTTCATGTGTCTCCTGTCGGGAGCTTTTCATTTTGCTTTCTGTAGTGTTGAGCCTTCCCAACTGATGATTGTCCCCTCGACCCGTTAACTGATTGACACAAGCACTGGGAAGGCTAACATTTGAGCTTGTGCTTTCTGAGGACAGCAGATGCTTGCTATCTTCTTCATGTGAACTACTGCCTGTCTCTTTTTTGATCTTTGGTATCCTGGGAAGTTCTGAAATCTCCAACCTCTTTGCAGGTGACTTTATTGAAAATTTGATATCTAGCCTTTTTAGTGGCAAATGATCACTGGGACTGGGAGGTTCAGTCTTATGTACAGTTCCATTGAAACGGATAGGTTCTACATGCTTTGAAGCCAAACGAGCAGCAGAAGACTGCACCTGCACAGCTCTTGGAGTAAAGGCATTCTTCAGTCTGAATGCAGATGTCCCAGGCAATGAAGAAGAGGGCAGAGGTACTCTTTCTAAACCCATGGCAGAGGATGCTGGAGGAGGGGAAGGTGATGGTGACAAGGAATAAAGACCAGATGAAGTCAACTTTAACTGTGGATGCTGTTCAATGGGCTTCCAAGTATCTGATGAGGAAGTGGTAGATGATCCTGAGTGAGAAGGGGTAATTTCTTTCTGGCCTTCCATTGTATCTTCTTGCTTTGAAGAATTTCTTTGCATTTTTGCTTCAGCTAAAGAAGAGTATAAATAAAATGAATAAAAAAAAAATAAAAAAATAAAAAAAAAAAAGCTTCAGTAGTAGTGTTTTACATTGACTTTACTTTTACAGATTTATAGATTTTAGATCAACTAAGTATACAGCAGTTTTGACTTTTATAAATGGAGACAGTAATCTAGACTGAACAATCTAGTTCGGATAGCTCTACCTTATGTTCGGATAGCTCTACCATCGAGAAAAAAAGGGGCATAAACACAAACACTACAATAGCAGTAGAGAATGGACACATGTGAAACGATAACTACAACTTCACGTTTATTGAATATTTTAAAAACCCTAAAAATTTATCTAAACTAAACCTAAATTTGAACAATTGGATCCAAACAATTTTATAAGTGTGAGATATCGGGATATGATTGAAAAATGTTTAAGTCCTGTAGTGGAAAATTATCCTGAAATGTGTTTTCAACAGGATGGGGCTACTGCGCATGCAATTGACCTCCTGAGAACTGTATGGCAGGCGGATAATTTCAAGATATTTCCAGATTAATTGGCTGTCACGTTCGCCCAACCTGTCAGCTCCTGATTACTTCCTTTGGGAACTTCTGAAGGAGCAGGTGTACGTGAAAAAAACATCCACATTTAAGCAGTTCAATGAGAATCTGTGGAGATATTTTATGAATAATGCAATCGAAAGAGTCTGTCTATGCAAGGCGGCAAATAGAGCTCATTTAAAAGATGTCATCTTCTGATCCTAGTCAAACAAATCTTCATACATTAAGCATTCATTGCGCCTTAAAAACGAATAACCTCTAGATGTGATCACATGGCAAAAGGTATATACCTGTAATCCACCATCCACGCTGCTCTCAGTAGCTCTATAAAGTGTGAGTGTACCAATGTTACACTATTATATTTTAGTTTCTTGTTAAACATATTACACTATTTCTGTGTTCGGTTTTTCTTTTTTACCCTCGGAGATACCTTGGATACATTGTAAAGCGAACATATTTACCAGATACATTTATTTACCTTTTTTGCCGTGTGATCATATATAGAGGTTATTTGTTTTTAAGGTGCAGTCTATTTATTGTTTGATCTCTATATTGTCACAAGATTGGGGAATCCTTGTAAGATTTGCTGCCTCTTTATAGAATTTTGTGAGCACCTAATTTTTGTATTTGTTTTATTAAGCATTCATTGTATGGAACATCAAACCCTACTCTACATTTTGGCTCACCCTGTAAAAATGTCTCAATACAATAAAATAGACTGCAGTGCTCATTTTAGGCTGAAGATGGTGACAAAATACTCTTAAAGCCTTTATCAGGTAAAATAATTAGGATTTTATAATTAAAGATTGCAAATGTTACATAGAATGGGAATTACCGTATATACTGGAGTATAAGTTTTTTTTGTAAGTACACATTTTTTGTGCTGAAAAACCCCCACTCGACTTATACTCGAGTCAATGTCTGTATTATGGCAAGTTACATAGCCATAATACAGACCAGGACCGCCGGGCTCATTACAAGCCTGGCGGTCCCGTTGGGGGCCGGCAGCGAGCTGTTACTTACCTTTACAGCAGCTCCTGTCAGCTCCCTTCTCCTCCGTTCCGATCAGCTCCCTTCTCTTCCACTGTAAATCTCGCGAGAGCTGCGGCGTCTGAGCGTTGCCACGGTAAGCTCCGCGCGGCACTCAGACCGCGAGACTTACAGTGGAGCTGACTGGAATGCAGGAGAAGGGAGCTGACAGGAGCTGCAGGAAGGGTAAGTTACAGCTTGCTGCCAGCCCCCCTCCTACACAGCCCATCCACTGGACCACCAGGGAATGAGAGCTCCCCTCCCATGTATCAAGAAGGGAGGGGGGACAAAAAAATAAATTCAATAATAAAAAAAAATATTATTAAAATAAAATTAAAATCTTAAAATTATTATTTTTTAAATAAAATAAAAAAATAATACTAAAATTAAAAAGAATTATTAAAATTAAAAAATTTAAATTAAAATAAAAATGCCCTCCCCCCACCCAGTGCACACACACTCTGCCTTATATACACACACACACTCATACAAAACACACACTCTGCCTTATATACACACACTCATACAAACACACACACACTGCTTTATATACACAAACTCATACAAACACACACTCTGCATTAAAGACACACTCTGCATTAAACACACACACACTCATACAAACACACACTCTGCATTATATACACACACACTGATACAAACACACACTCTGCATTATATACACACACACTGATACAAACACACACTCTGCATTATATACACACACACTCATACAAACACACACTCTGCATTATATACACACACACTCATACAAACACACACTCTGCATTATATACGCACACTCTGTGGAGAGGCCCCACACCAGCTCGCAAAGGTAGGTAGCAATCAGCAATAAATAAAATTATTTGTGTGTGCAAGAATGTGTAAATGTGTGTATATGTCAATGAGTGAGTATGTGTGTCTGTCAGTGAGTGTGCGTGTGTGTCGGTCAGTGCAGGAGCGGGAGGTGCACCGAGGCACGCAACGCCACATTAATGTGCTCCACCTTCACAGGGTTTCAAGGAGTAGCAAGAGGATCTGCTTTGGCACAGGGTGCGGACGGTGCCATTGCGGGTATAGCAGAAGCCAGACTCCAGAGTCACATACTGGCAGTGGTAATATGAATGGAATCTGCTTGTTGGCTAATTTAAAAAAAATAAAAATTAAACAGAGGCAGGGGTATAGTAGAGGGGGGTGCTGGGATTTAGTAGAGGAGGAGGGACAGATTTATTAGAGAGGGGGCAGAGATTTAGTAGAGGGGTGTGCTGGGGTTCAGTAGAGGGGGATGCTGTTTTTTTTTTTATACTGTACTTTTCAAAATAAACCTACGTTTCTATGAAAATTTAGGTTTTTGTTTTTTTGCGGCTTAAACCTTGGCCCGTGCTAGTCTCCAATTTTTGACATGCTTGCTGTTTCCACATCTGGAAGGGCTAAAACCCAAGTGTTCTGCTGGTGGTGGATTTCTCTACTTTTTGATAAATGAGATCACAGGCTGAAATACCACGTTTCATCTAACTTTTACTATACAGAGAATATGGATGGAAGCCAAGCATATACTGTGTACACTATGATGTGGTTGCTATGTCCAATTAACCAAAAAAAAAAGGAAATGATCCCAAAACACAAATACTGTACATATATGACGCCTTACTTTAACTTACAATTCGCCATGTGTTTTTCAAGCAGAATTCCAGCAGCATGTGTTTTTTGTAGCAGTGACCTATTAACAATTTCCAAAAGCTTAAATTTTAAGGAAAATATATATTTTTGTTTGTTATAAGCAAGTAAATGAGAATATAAAAAATATACTCAGGACTCAGAATGTTAAGTAGTAAACCTTCATGTCAAACAAAAGCTGCTTGTCATCAAAAATGTACATGAGTAATTTGGCTCAGAGACTATGGCGGACGTTCTGGATGTTCACATTGCCAGTGGGGAGGACTTTGCCATGGATGAGGATGGCGATAGGAGCATTCACAAATTAAAGAAGAAAGTCAAGAAAAAAAAAAAAAGGATTTGGTGCTGGGGAAGGTTCAAGGGCCAGAATCAGAGAGTTTTATGACAGCGTTGAACAGGATGGAGATGAACCAGGCCCACAAAGATCTGTAGAAGGCTAGATTCTATTTTTGAATGGTGTCCATGAAGAAGCCACAGAGGAAGACAGACATTCAAAATACATTTGCAGAGTTTGGAGGTATAAAGGATGTGCATCTGTATCTGTATCAAAAAATTTGCTACCAGACAGAAGACGATATTAGTTCCATCTGCTTTGAGTTTGTTTTGGGCATGTGGCTTTTTTAATTTTGTGTTTTCAGAAGCGGACACAGAAGTAGCTGGAGTCCAGATAGAATACAGCATTAGTTCTATCTGCCGTTAGTTTGCTTTGGGCATATGGTTTGCTTCTAAAGATGGGAAGAAAATTGTAATGGACTTGTTCTGTTCTTCTTAGCTTTTGCTGGGTTGTGTAGTTTTCTTAAAATGATTTAAACATTTGGGGCACAAAGGTGCTATTGCAGCATTAACTCTTGGAGTAAATTAAAGTAAAAAAAATAAGTTCTTATAGTTAGGCCCACAAATTTTGGAATGAAGCCCTTTTATGTTAAAAAAAAAAAAAATGCACACGAAGAACATTTTGTCTTTGATTACCACTTGGTCCATAGCTTGTAGCATCAGAGAGAAAGTGTGTGTGAGAATGCCAGGATGCCCATGTGGAAGGCCAGTAAGTGTATGAGTGCAGACATATGTGGCGTTTAGGTGGCACGTGTGTGTGGAGAGCTGGTACATATGTGTACACAGATATTTTACAAGTCAACCTTTTTACCTCTCCATGTTTCCTTGTCTCATCTCGTCCCATTAAATTTTGAAATGGTGAAGACAAGTAAAATTTTAAGGAAAGCGTTCAGAGGAATTTCTTAAAGAATTTTGTGTACAGGACAAAATGTATTGGTGTTTTTCCTTTGGGGACCAACGAGTTTCTAAAAAAAAAAATCTTGCATTTTTCTTCAAAAAAGTATGATTAGTCAAGAATCCAAATTTTAGGCCTAAATAGCTGAAATGGAAAAACAATCTCCATGTTAGTTATGTTTTTAATTCAGCTATTATAGCCGAAAATTAGGAATTGCTTTGGAATTCCTGGCAGAACATTGCAAGGTTTAGCTTGGGGGACCTAAGAGGAGCTCCTGCCTGACCATCGTCAGGAGGGGCTTTACAGCTATTTCTTTAAACTGCCTAGTCATGTGAACATAAAAAGATAGCTCTATTTAAACAGACATCTACAGAAAAAAAGATGTCTGCAAGCCGAACAAGGTCAAGAGCAGAAGGATTTAATGAAGTAGTGCTTACATACCTTTCTTCTTAGCTGATAATGAACCATCACGACTGATGACAATGTCTGAGCTCTTCATCATTAGCATGCTTTGCCCAGACAAGATACTTCCCAGTAGATCAGGCACAGGTTCTGCAACCGCCACCGAGTCACTAACAAGAGGAGCCACGCCACCGCTAGATAAGACAACCAAGCATTATTAATTCAAGATTTAATCAAAATGTGATATATGCCACACGAGCAACAAAAAAAGAAAATGCCACAATTTATCACTGGTGTCTTGGAATCTTTGGATTACTTTCTCCGTGCAAGTTTAAAATTTCTACCCAGTGAGAATTATGACAAAAAAAAAAAAAGCCTGAACCGCAAAAGCATATTCTGCTATCATGCTAAATATTACATGATCTGCCGATCGAAATTTCAATGACAGACAAGGTTTTTAAATCCTGTACTGCCTGGTGTGGAATGCCTGCATCATACATGGCTCAAATGACACCATACACTGTGGGGAATAATTATACACAAAAGACTGGGCAACATCATCTCTATTTGCGTCTGCCATTATTATTACCAATACTTCTATACTGGGTGAGTGGCTGTTGAGTAACACTTGTTTGTTATATCTCCAGTATAAACAAACACTCCGTGTGAGCACTGAACTGGCAGACTAGCTAGCATATGGGTATCAATCCCTGTCGCAATGAGATAAAAGCTCAGATTACAGCCCTGCCAAAAGGCTGTTCTGCAATGATGTATTACAGTTTTGTTCTTTGTAATAGAGTACGAGTATATGTATGATTATGTATACACATGCACAAAAGCTGCATGCAACCTGTGTTTAGAAACTTTCAGGACATCCGAGAGCATGCAAACATACCGGGACAGGCCCAACGAGATGGGTCGAGCAACCGGCTGGTGTGATCTCAATGCAGAACGTGAAAGAATCCTGCGCTTGGCATTTAGTGGAGATGTGGGGTTGCTTCCATGGTCATCACTGCTGCAAGGTAAAAGTGTCAAAATGGATACAGATTTCAGAGCACAGAAAGCACAAACACTTCTTATTGCTATATTTGAAATAGCGATATCCAGCAGTCATGTGTTAGCAAAGTAAAACGAATCAGCTGCCGCTATGAAATCCCATCCTTGACAAATTCATTCTATTAAAGGGACACTATAGTCATCAAAACAACTTTTGTTTAATGAAGCAGTTTTTGTGAATAGATAATGCCTCTGAAGTTTCACTGCTCAATTCACAGCCATTTAGGAGTTTAATCAGTTTGGTTTGTTTATGCAGCCCCAGGCACACCTCCCCGGGCTGTGACTGACCAAACGTTTTTGGGGATTTAAATGTGCAATAAGTACTGATGCACGGTCTTAAAGTTAACTTAGCAAACAAGTTAACATTTTTTACCCGTCAAATAGATCCAAGTCATTAGCGCTCCCAAACACTGAGAGGGTGGCAGCTCCGATATCCTGTCTCATTGACCCCAATGTCAGTTCCATGGGCCGATGTACACGAGGTAATGTAGCACCACGAGATGGTGCGCAGAGCCCCAAAGATTTAGCGATGCGACTATGAGAGGTAGGCGCTTTCCTCACCTGGAGAGACAAGTTATAAAGTAATTTTAAAAGATTCCAGCCTACAAAAGGACCATCTCTTCTGGAATTTACACCACTGAATAAAAATCGGAAATTACCTGTAACTTGTGCTACCATTTTCCCCCACAAGAGGTTCAGTTTTTTTTAATAATGTATATTTTTATAAGATAAATTAAGACAAGATTTAGCAAAGGACATCGTAATCCAGGACAGACAAGACAAAGCCAGGGCAAGCATTGCAAATGAAGAGGCTAAATAGAAACACTTCCCTACTTTCTCTACTCTTTGTGCTTACTCTATTCTGGTTGGCAATACAGCGTATAACAATAATTGACAGGGAGCTAAAATGGAAATTGCAGAATTAAAAGGTGTTGACTTCTACATTTAACTTTATTGTTCACACCTCATAATTACACATTTGTTAAATGTAGGGATAATTAAACATAATATTAAAGAAATTCTGGGAAATTACAGTTCTTTCATAAAGTGTTTATTAACAAACAAGAAACAAAGATTTAAAGCAGCACTGCTACCCCAGCCCCCCACTGAAGAATTTGTATTTCATACTCATATTGACTAGGTTGGAATATTACTGAAATTCCAACCCAGTCAAGAGATATACTGAGACAAAGTAGGGACTACTTTTTCTCTGTATTTTTCCATCGCCCAACACTTGTAGACACTGGGCGAAGCTACCGCCGTCTAGAAGTGTCAAGTAAAATTCGTCTTTGCCAGCAGCGATGTCACCATCGGGGATCTTTGCAAATTCTGCAAAGTACCCAGACGGTGACAGTGCCGCTTTAATTACAGTGAGTAGAAGGGAGAAAGTAATTAACTTGCAAAATGTAGACTATATAAGCCATTTGGATAAAGTCTCCAACTCTGTTGCACCACGGAAATGGAAAATTTCTACCCAACGTATGTTGATGATCATTTGACACCAGATTTAAAGAAAAATAAATTAACTAAACTGACTTCAATTTAAAAACATTTTAAAATAATCTTATTGAAAAAGTCTCAAGAGTAGCAAAGCAAATAGCGTTAAATAATAAGCCTCCTCATGTGTTTTATGTATTTTGTGCATATGTACTTGCATCTTAAAACAAACATATACCATAAGTAAACAGAATACTACTAAGCAAACAAACACCAGTGGCGAGGGGGAAACACAATCTTCAGGCCAATGAGCTGCTGTTTCATAAATACTTTGTGGACTATAGCTGCAGCTAGTGATAAATGTAATTGTGGCTCAATAAAAAGAACTTGCATGTAAATAGATAAAATACATTGGTAGAAAACTGCACCCCAAACATAATTATGATGTTTATTCGAAAGCAGAATAAGGTTCTACGGAACGTGAGTGAGATTTACTTTATGTAGTTTATTGTTCCACCAATTCATAGAAAGCAATGTTTTTGTTTATTATGCATGGCCACTGAAAACATCGCACCATTCATGCACTTAAAGATTTTCTCACTTACACCAACTCATAGCAGAAATCCAAAATAGATCCTCACAATGAAACTCTCTGCTGAATACCAGGGGTATTATTAGCTTACGTTTCCAAGTGTATTTTAAAGTTTACCTTTGCTCCCATTTAAGAGGAAGAAATATTTTACTTGTAGAGCTATTTACACACTTTTGTTTTGTAGCATGGAACTTTTATTCTGTTATGAAAATGTGGGTGCTAGGAAAAAGAACCCTATATCAATGAAAAAGCATGCAAGTACACTTTTCATTACTGTACGGAAAGAGAATACTGAGTTTCTCACCGTTTGCTTCCGTCCTTTTCGTCTCCTGAATTTCCGTCGGCGCTTCTTTCCCACACCTCTTGCCCCCTTGGATTGACTAGTCTTCTTCTTTCCTGAAAAAAAAAGTATTAAGTTCAACATGTTGGGTAGCTTGTTACAGTAATAAAAACAAAGGGATTCCTGTGCATGTTACGTTACACAATTGTTTTAATTTCACTTTTTCAGCTTTTTCTTATTACAATATTATTTTCTGGTGTACAAACCAACTATAATAAATAAATGTAACTTTGTTCCAGGCTGCCAATATCAATTCTGTGCATAAAATACGTCTGTTGTCAGTGCATGTTGGTGATAGACCTAATGTGATTCTCCTTTGCAGGTGTTAAAAATCCCCTACCTCGTGAAAATCCAGAACACAGGCTCTGAAGTCTTGTGTGTCCCCCTCCCTACAGACCTCCCACCTCCCTATACCTTTCATGCGCTCTGAACCAGCTAAATAGTCCAATCAAAGGCTTCTTTATGCCGATGACATTAGTGGGGGCACTGAAAAAAGCACTTGAAACTTCGCTCAGCCCCGGATAAAGATAAGCAAAACTTATTTCAATATAATTTTTATAGAGTTTGGCTTACAAAATAATGCCAATAGGGCATTTTTCATTTTTTTAAAAACATTTTTTATTATTAAGGATTCGAGTAACCCTTTAACTAAGGAATGGTAAAAAAGAGACTAAAAACAAGATGTCTGATAGAATTATCAATTATTAAAAAAAAAAACATATGGATATAACGACCTTCATTTTTTTTATTTATTTTTTTAACAAAATGTGTTATTTCGGTTCGTTGAACAATAGCTCCTCTATAAAATACTGACACATACCAACTCTCTTTTTCCTTTTGGTTGCAATCAAGCGAGGTCCAAGTGGTCGCTGGTAGACAGCAGTATTAAGTCCAGCAACGACTGTTTCAATGGTTTCATCGAGGAGAGAGGACATCAAGTACCTGGGTACGTCCTATATTTAACATACAGAAACCCCAGTTATTCACCAAGAGATAAGGACACATAACCAGTGTTCAGGTATTGGCTTGTATACTGTGTTTCAACGTCGGCAATCTGACAAAGGCAGGGCTCAGAATTTCCACTTTCCCATTAGCCACTTGCAAGTGCAAATTCTGCCCTGGCAAATAGAAATTCACACCTGGTGAGGGCGCCACGCTTAAAGGGTTAAAACTAAAGGACTATTGCAACCAGACTATTTCACTGAGATGAAGTGGTCTGGGTGCCTTTAAAATGTCATTAAATGACCACTAAAGAAAGATCAAAGCATCATCACTATTCGTTACTACTTTAAAGCAGATCTGTCACTTTTCAGTATTTCATAAAGCTACAACGGATTATTCAGTAAAGTGAAAATTCAAGGTGAGTACAAAGTGAATTTCAAATTTAAGTAGCTGAAATGGAAAAAAAAAAATCTTTAAACCAGCTATGTTTCAAGTTTGGCTACTTTGGCCTTAAATTTGAAAGTCACTTTGGATTCTCTCTCACTTTAGTAAATAACCCCAATATACTGATCAAAACTGTTTTCCAACTCAATCCAAAGAAACCATAAGACAAAGTAGGAACTACTTTGTTTTACGGTAAAGCATGAAGTTTGCAAAAAGCAGAGCTCCCAGTCAACTTTTATCCAATCCCAGCACCTGTCCCAAATGTCGTCAGTGGGATTCAGGCTCAGTCTATGAAGGATCCCGCGGTCTCGTGGGATCCTCCACAGACCTCAGTGTTACACTCCAGCACGGATGTGGCTCCTTGCAACTGAAACCAGGAGCCAAATAGGACAGCATCATGAAGAAATTTAAAAAAATCTATGCCATTAAAAAGGATGGCATGGCATGGTTCAATATTCCAGTCTCCTTTTGGTTGTAATTTCTCCAGATATTTTTTTATTGAAAATGGTGTACAGGGTACAGCAGTGTACCCCACAATGGGCAAATAGGCTTAGAGGAACATAGTGTTAAAGGATACCCGTCTTCAAGACAGTGATTTTACTCCCATAACTCAAAGCCATGCTGCCTGTAACATAATGTAAATTTCTAAACTTGATTATTACAACATCATCATGACTATAGGGCTCCTTAAACAGTGAGTCGAGGTGTGGTAACAACAGACTCACAATAATTATCCAATTACTCCTAAGGTAAAAAATTAAAACAGAAATTTATAAACATCTCCTATTTATCTAAATCATGATATGTGTTGAATAAATTCCAAGAAAGACAACATTGGCATAGATAAATAATAAACACTGTGCTCTGCTTATAATCAAGCTCACCTTGCACTCTAATAAGCCAAACAATAATTTGCCAGTTCTTTTTGTGAAACTAACCTGAATATTGCGTGCTGTGGTGATGCGGATTCTATTCACATTTGCCCTCACTCTTTCGCTCTGTCTTGTGCGCGCAATTGCTCGCGTCCGTGTTGCATTAGGGCGCAGACGGCTGGTGGTGGGGATTACATCAGCAAGTAGTCCAGCCACTTCCTCCTCACTTACTGGTTCATCATCTGGATAACCAAAATCAATAATAACATGGCAAGACAAACAGAAAGAGAGTGAAGGAAAAAAAACACAACAAACACAACAGACAAACAATTTGCACTTTAAAAATATATTTCCTCCATGACAATGTTTTATAAATGTTTATGACACCTCAATCTTCCTGCAATGTTATCTTAACTGTATATGCACTAAACAAAATAATAACACAAAAAAATAATGTCCTAATAAGTAAATCACTGACAACAAAGTAAAATTAAAAGGCATTTCAAATAAAAGTAATGCAATAAAGAGCTCCTAACACCCAGGTGTAGCATATGTAATAAACAAACAACAGGCACAGAAAGCCTATAAGACATCTTCACAGATTTAAGAGATGGACATCTTATACTACTACTATTTCCCATCCAACCCTAAATGAAAAGAACATTTCAAGCACCATAATGAAAAGAAGAGGACAATCTAAACACCATGACCAGTACAGCTATTGTAGTGGTTATGATGCTTGGAGTCAAACAGCCTTTTAAGATTCTTTTTTCCCAAAACAGATACTTTAGGAAACTATTTCAATCCCTCATCAAAATAAAGAATCATACTATATCTACCAAGACCAATATTTTCCCATCAATTCCATGTGGTGTAGCATGCATCGTTTGGCTCACCAACTCATGGCTGATCCCAAAATAGTAGCACAGTAGAATGAATGGATCTCTCATTGCTTGTGGCCATAACGAATACCACACTAGTGGAAATCTCTAGTTATGAAGTTCCTGTTTATTCTTTGTCTGCTACAAATACACACTTATCATATAAAACATATTACTTTAACAGATTACTTTCATTATAAGAATGTGATGTGAAATATAAAAGTAAAGTAAGAATGACAATATGACAGCAGATGGACAGTTACCTTCCTGAGGAACATTAGCCCCTGAGCACTCCGGACAGAACCATTCATCCACGGGTACAGCATTCAGTGCCGGCGTGAGGCATTCCATGTGGTACCTGCAGGAACCAAAACAATTAACAGAGATCCTTTCCAGTTTCCTAAGTCAACATAGCACATGATATACGCATACATATTTCTGAAAACTCAGATTTATCAGTGTGTCTAGCAAGCAGTTTTATTCACTGAATATGGGATGGCATACAAATTCCCAGGTAACTAGATATAAAAAAAAATGTATGTAAAATATATCAATAATACTTCTAACATACAACACAGTATTAAAATAACATGTTATAGTCTTGCCATGAAAATCTTAGGATCTCGCCCGAATCCTGAATTATGAAGCAGGGAGTTATGGAATACAAGGGACTATAATTATCCCTCATAATTGGGCACATAACTGACAATAAATGTAGTTTTATTTCAGTTAAGTTATGTGTATAAAAAGGATGCTATAAAAATTGTGCAGGATTTTGCAAGTGGTCAGAGAGTGTCATTCATGATTTGAAGCACTGATATTATAACCAAAAATTGGTTAAATTGGTTAAAAAAGTGGCCATCCAAGCAAATCTTTAATGCTACATTGATCAATGCAGAATATTTGACATATTTAACTAGAGTGTTCTTTGTTTATATTTTGATACATGTATCATTTTATCATTTTGCCAGTTTGCAAGATATAAACACATTATGACAAAAAATAAATACCGCTTTTTATATTTATTAATAGAAACAATAGTATTGTGACAGAATGACTTACCCAGCATCACAGCCATCACAGAGCAGCAGACGATCCTCACGATCACTGCGCCCACAGACCTCACAATTTGTGGGATCCTCATCAGCTTCTTCTACTTCTGAGGCTTTTTTTAATACAGGGACCTTGAATATTCCATAAATGTGTTACTAGTCAAAATTATAAATGTTCAAGGTTAAATGTGTAAACTAAATGGTAAAATTGGGGGGACTATTGGGAGCTATAGTGCCAGGAAAACAATTTGTTTTCCTGGCACTATAATGTTCCTTTAACCCAGTTATCACACTCACCTTCTTCAGTATTTCACCACCAAAGTGAGCTCGTATGTGAATACAGGAAAACGTGATTCTATCCACTGGACAAGAGTTTGCATTCTAAATGAGAAAAAAACAATTAATTTCAAAGTACCCTGTTTTTATTTTTTGTCCCACTCCCCTTTATGTTCTTCACTGGCCATCTATATCTGTACTTTGTATAAAAGTAAAGTGCCACACACTTTGGATTTTTGTTTTACAGGCATGGATCTCCTTTCCTTTTGTGCCAATGTGTCTAATTAATATAGTATGGTCCACCTCTTGTCATTATAACCATTGTAAGGTGCTGTGAAATATGTTGGCTCTCCATAAAAATAACACATATTATCAAACATTTCCAAGAATGCAACAGCATAACATTAGACAGTCTCCAAGAATAAGCCCACCTACAATCTTAGATGCTCCAAGTAGAAGCCCCCCTACAATTTTGTTGAAGATAATGAGCTACTGCTAAAGCCCTACATGCCTTGTCTTCATATTCCTATTAAGTTACTAGACTGCAGAGAATTAGAGCAAGGCAAAAGCTTTTGCTGTGATATATAGAAATAGTTTGCTCAGCCCTTCTGTCTCTGTGTATATTTATGGATTTGTGAAATGTATAAACACAGCTTCCACAGCTATGTTTCTGACTTCCAAGTCAGCCTGCTCCACTACAGCATTTTGAATGGACTTACAGATCACATATTTTAGACCAAACTTAACACATTTAAAAAAAAATTGATAAATACAGCAATAATTTTTTTTCTAAATATTGTCAGACATATGTGGATACATGTTGACTGCATATATTGAAGCTATATTTTTTGTTATGCTTTAATTATGTGTGAGAATGCTATGCCATCCCAATGCTACTGCAGTCTTTGGATATGTTACAGGGCATACTAACCTTTGACCACTCCACAATGCAGTCGAGGCAGAAGTAATGGTTACAATTCTCAGGGGTGCCCACAACCTGGTCTCTGAAGCCATTTAGACAAATTGGACAATTCTCCCTCTCCTCATCTGAGCTTTGGTCAGGATTCAAATCCTCTGTGGAATGAGCTTTATCTGAGTGACCCACTGCTAAGTCGTCCTCGTCTTCATCTTCATCATCATCCTCCTCCTCCTCAGAATCTAACAAATATAAAAATAACACTGCTGGACCACCTTGATATTAAAAGTACAAAGTTAAATTATATAAACACAAGCTCATAATGTATGCTCTACGGGGCTGTCTTCACTTGTGTACTCAGTAAGCACCTTATTCATGTATCACTTAACATAATTTGCCGTTATTAAAATGACACTCAAGACTTGGGTTGATAATACATTAAAAACTTGAAAAACAAATGAGAAAATCATAGAAAAAGAAAAAAAGCTCACATTTGACATTTCTGCATTGGTAGCAAATCCAGACGCTGTGTATCATCTGGTATATCAGGACATGGTTTAGCCAACTGTGGGACCTCGCTTAAAGGAACACTATAGGATTAGGAATTCAAATGTGTATTCTTAATGCTATAGGGTCAGAGTCACCGTTCAGGTGATGTCCCCACCTGGATAGGGTTAAAAAGTTATCACTTACCTTTTATCCCCTGCCATGTTGCTCTCTCCGCTGCTGACCCCATCTCCTTAGCTGTGGTCATCAATCTTGATGATCTCAGTCAATCCGAAAGCTTTCCTATAGGAAAGCATTAGGAGGCTAGTACGTATCCGCAGCAAAATGCAGAGCTGTGCCAATCAGTCTCTATGAGTTAAATTCGGATATTTCAGAGGAAGGGCCTCAGAGTGACAGACACTAGAGGCACTTAAACCCTGCAAATCAAACATTTCTGTTCCTGCAGGACAGCAATGTTTGCACTTACAGGGTTAAAAAGTGAGGGAGACATAGCATATAGACTACTTTATTGAGATTAAGTGGTAAGAGTGCATATAGTGTCCCTTTAACCTACTATAAATAATACTGATGGAGCTTATCCCATAAGCTTAGCTTTAAAGCTATAACTTAGGTTTCTGGGGGTTGTCGTTCAATTGTCAATGTTCTACTGTGGATAGGTAAACATCTCACCATCTCAAACTTAGGTCATGACATTGTGCACACCAGTAATAGTGTGACAGAAAGTGTGGCTTTTTTGTAGCCAGAGTTGGCTGAACCAAGATTAACAGTACACTATAGGCACCAGAACATCTATAGCTTATTGTATTTGTTCTGGTGAGTAGAATCATTCCCTTTTTGCAGAAACACTGTCTTTTCAGAGAAAATGCAGTGTTTACATTACAGCCTAGTGATAACATCACTGGCCACTCATCGGATGGCAACAAGAGGTGCTTTCTGAGGCAGTGCTGCATAGTGAGCAGCACTGCCATTCAGTGTTTCCACCCTCTACATGCAGACACTTAAATTTCTACATAGAGCTGCACTGATTCAATTAATCTCTATGGGGAGATGCCGATTCGCCAGGGCTGTGTTTGGCTTGTGCTGGCTCTGCCCCTGATCTGCCTCCTTGACAGTCTCAGCCAGTCCGATGGGGAAGCATTGTGATTGGCTCAGACCACCACTTCTGATGATGTCAGCAGACAGAGGCATTTCAGGGGCCGAGGCAGCAGCTGCAGGCTTGCATACAAGTAAGATTTTACTATATTAAGAGAGGCAAGGGGGAGAGGGGAAGGGAGCTAGATTTTGGTTTTAACACAGTAGGGTCAGGTATACATGTTTGTGTTCTTGACCTTATAGTGTTCCTTTAAAAAAAAATGTAGCTACAGCAGTGTGCTCTCAATTACTACTATACATAATTCAATGCTTTTGTCTTATTAGATGCTTACTGGATCCATCTTCATCTTCACCCCCTTCTTCCAGATCATCCTCCTCATCACTCCCTGATTCAGAGTCTTCAACATCATCTGAAAACAAAGAATAAATATACCATTGTCTAATAATCCCAATAAATATGAAAAGTTCATAGAAACATTTTCAAATGAGTGTCATTTTTCTTTTTCCCATTACTGTCCAAGCAACCTGAAATGTTATGTTTTTAATTCAATTTGCCTGGTGTTTTTTTTTTTTATATTCAACCAAGTATTGAAGTATTTACTGCAGGGAAATATGTAACAAAGCAAAAAGGACACTCTTGACACCAAAACAATTTTAGCTTAAATAAAGCGGTTTGGATGTATAGCACATGCCCCTGCAGTCTCACTGTTCAATTTTCTGCCATTTAGGAGTTAACTCATTTTGTTTATACGGTCCTAGTCACACCTCCCTGCAAAGCCTTACTAAACAAACACTTTCTGAAAAATAACCTAGATATTTAAGGTTCCTTTATTGCATAGTCGGTTCAATCTAGAAGTTCTTATCTTCTGCTCTGTTAATAGCCTCCTAAACCCTGCAGGGGCCTCCTGTGTGTGATCAAAGTACAATTTACAGACCAGGAGATAACAAGTTCTAAAGTAAGTAAATATCTGATTGAATATGAAACCATTTTTTTCATGTAGGCTATGTCAGTTACAGCCAGGGAAGGTGTGGCTAGGGTAGCATGGCCAGAAACAAAAGTGATTTAACTACTAAATGGCATAGAATTGAGCAGTGAGACTGCAGGGGCATGATCTATAAACCAAAACTGCTACATTAAGCTAAAGTTGTTTTGATGCCTATAGCATCCCTTTAATGATAAAATAAAATGGAGTTATGCAGAAACAAAGGATAAAAAGTAACCCACTCACACAGCTCTAAGAAATAATTAAACAAAAGCTAAAATGTACAGCAGAATTAAGACAGGCAAAGCAAGACAATATATGCAAGGTGGAAAAAGTTAAATTCATCAACTAATGAGCTTCCCTAAAGAAGTATGATAGGGGTGTGTCTGTTTGCTGTAAGATTCTGGCAGCCTTTAAGATGTCCTGCATGCACCACTGAGCAATGAAGAATGCAGCAAAGGGCAAAGGTCTGAAGAGAACCATTAAAACACAGATACAATAAGTTACCCATTTGCTCTTTAAAACTCTTCTACAGACACGTTGCACAATACCAGAGAGGATATTCAATAGCCAGAAATTTTGGAAGCTCCTAAGCAATAATCAGGAGCTTCAAACCCCAATTTATTCCACATATTTCATACATAGCAAGTTAAAGGGACACTGTAGGCACCCAGACCACTTTAGCTTATTGAAGTGGTCTGCGTGCAATGTCCCATGTCCCTTAACCCTACAGTGGTAATTGTTGCAGTTTCTGAGAAGTTTCTACCAGACAGCCACTATAGGGACTTCCAGAATCGAAACGGACCTTTGGTCCGTTATCTGACGCTGGACGTTCTGTATGAGGACCTCCAGCGTCAAATTTTTCCCCATAGGAAAGCATTATTATCTTAATGCAAGCGCGGCCATTGCCGCGCTTGCTCATTAGGTTTTCCCACGATGACTGACATCGGCAGGGGGAGGAGTGTGGGCAGAGCCTGACCCGGTTCCGAGGAACATCGGCGCTGGGTTCAGGTAAGTGACTGAACCACGGGAGGTGGGGTGCTAGGGAGGGGGGCACTGCAAGAGCCTATATTGCCAGGAATCCCTTTAAGCCTATTGAGCATCACAGAATTAAACACAATGTGGAAAATGTATAGCTTTCTAAATAACAAAGAATAACAAATAACTTCGTATTCAACCATGAAGTTAAGTAGGAGTGCGGAGGTTTGACAAAAATTTACTTTCATGATTATTATTATTATGTTATTTATGATAGTTGTCTGATTCCAAAACCGACCTGTGCACAAAAGCTTTTCAGATGGTACGAACAAATACAAATCCTTTTATTCCACACTCAAACTAATCAATTTGTCTAGGATTTACATCTGGATCTAAGTAAACAAATAAGACTCCACAAATAAACACCGGACGGATCAATTCATTCGGCCATAGATTAAAAGGAATTTGATATGATTATAATAGAATGAAAAGCATTTGTTCACTAGTCTATTCTCCACCTGGAGGATATCACGCAAACGGTAAATGTACGGTAAACGGCAAACGGTAAATGGTAGCAATGGAAACTAACAAATATTTTTCACAAAGTTTTTTCATCCGTCATCTAGGGGACCTAGAGTCCGCTAGCACCAAGGAAGTGCCTCTAGTGGCTGTCTGATTGACAGCCACTAGAGACAGTCTTAGTCCTGCAATGTAATTATTACAGTTTCTCAAAAACGGCCATGACTTACAATGCAGGATTAAGTGGGACATGGACATTGCACCCACACTGCTTCAGATGAAATGGTCTAGATGACTGTAGTGTCCATTTAACAAATTCAGACCATGTAGAATCTTTGTAACAAAACATTTTTTTAACCCCTTAAGGACACATGACATGTGTGACGTCATGATTCCCTTTTATTCCAGAAGCTTGGTCCTTAAGGGGTTAAAAAGCAAACTTATTTTACTATTTACAGAAAAGGCTGTACTTTTATTATAAGAATAATACTTTATTACACACTGCATTTTATGTCCCCAAAGGCCTCCGCTCTCCATTTTCATTTCCCAAAAAAAAAATAAAAAAATAATAATCCACAGGTTTCCCATCTCTTACAATGAATCCTCCAGGCTTGCAATGAAAAATTACTTTTAAAGCCTGACCAGTAGGGTACAACTTGAAATTTAAAGACTAAATAGAGTGAAATGATTCCCAAAACAACTAAACATTATAAACATAAAAGGAATATTTTCAATAAAAGGTTAACTAATACCTCTTTTCTGGAACCAGTGATAAAGAAGCTAAGTTATCAAAATATGCAGTGGCAATAGCCAATGTCATTAAACTGCCTCTCCTTGAACAGTCACACATCCGTTTTGACTGGCTTCTCTATTTTGGCCTAATATACCACATACACTATAAGTGAGCAAACAAACATACTGCACTACAAAACCTGTTATTCCAATAATGAGAACCTGTCAATGCTGCAAAATCACAGAAAATCCCACATTTAAAAGATGCACTAAAAAAAAAATAGTCTACACTCCACGACACACGTTTTGGCACAATGAAACCTCATCTCTTTATTTTTTTTACAGCTACACGAATTCGTAAAAAAAAAAAAAAAATCACTGCATCTATAAGCCTATCACCCCTACCCCCATGTATGTCACAGGTCCTTCTCCCTCATAAAACAAACATGAACAGATACTTGGATGTACTTTTGTTAGCTTGCGTGGAAGTTTAATTTGCACTTTCTAAGCCTGCTGCTATATACTAACTAGATATCCCAGTATCCTCCAGTGGTCAGGAGTACATGGGATACATTCAGTACTCCCACTGAAAACAACCACAGAATTGGCTTTCAAATATTAGCTGGATCCTAGTCTGAAAAGTGCACAAAGCTGGATGTTGCAAACACATGAACTTCAGAGCTTAGCATTTTTTTAAATTTAATCTAATTTGTGTATTTCCAATGCATTATTTAATATACTGTATTGACAGAGGTTCTCTCTTGCTGGGGGATGATATACTCTGTAAAGTTTGATAACACAGTACAAAAAGCAGACATGCCACAAAAACACAAACATTCTGCAATCAGAACAGGTTGAAGGTCTAATTGTGACACAGCAATAAGTTTAGATTGCAGATTGGGGAGTGGAGAAGTCTATAAAAGGTATATTGAGTTATGAAAAACACATGTTCAAGTGTTGATTGCCAACAAGAAGCTCAATTTAAATCACTCACTGTCAATTTATAATGCACATATATGAACAGATGAGGTAATATCAAAGAAAATCTCAGGTCCAATGTGGAAATAGAGATGCAGAGGAATACAATACAATACAGTACAGAAAGAAAATTGGGCTAGTCTTTACTACAGGGGTCTAGTGAAGGAACTGTGATACCTTCCAGTAATGATCTTGCACATGAGCAAAGAGATCACCTAGGCATCTCTTGCATCTACCACCACCTGTCATAAGCTGATGGCAAAGGTCAAGAGAGTTCCACACTCTGCTACATTTTTCATGAAAAAAGAATAAAGTAGTCTTTTTATTGCATTGAAATTTAATTTACATGCCTATGTAGTTATTTAGACTGTGTCTTAATAAAAAATTAATAAGTAACAGTGTAGATTTAAAGCATCTGTCACCTTCTGGGGTCTTAGCATGTTTTGCAAAGATTGCAGGTAAGGGTGAGCTTTACTTACCTGAACCTGTCCCTCGTAGCCTCCATCTTCTTCTGCAGGATCCTCTTTAACTCCTGGCTGCCAGGAGCTGACATCAGTGCTGTAGTCTCGCGAATGCGCGAGAGGGCAACACTGATATCTATGGAGGATCAGATGAGACCACAGAATCCTCCACAGAACAAAAAAGCCCTTTTCTCCTCAGCTGTCACTAGTGAAGGCTGAGAGCTTGACAAAACTTAGCAACCAAATTAGAGGCCAAAATACATGAAATGGCAAATTTTTCATAGTCCACTATTTAAGGCTAAAACTTGCAACCTCTGTCTCAGTTCCACGTGGGTGAATAACAATGACAGTTTGATTAGCACTGGAAAGTAAGAATTACCATCATCGCTGGCCAGGATGGAAACTTGCCGTCGGCTCTTTCCTTGTGAGGAGTTTCTGTTAATTAGCTGATCCTGGTTCTCTTCATCATCCATTGCGCTGCATCAGAAAAACGATCTCTGCATGGAAACCATAGACGTTACTTGAAAACTGTTCAAATTTAATTGTACACTTTGCGGTTAACTTATATCATATTGTCATTAGCATGAAAATTATAAATCAAGCATTTTTAATACAAACTGCTGCTAAGTGATTTGTGTTTCATTAGAAATAGAGTCAATTTAATGTAATTCATTGTTTCCGTCTGCTCTCTACCCGATTTATATTTAAAGCTATAACACAGTATGCTAAACAAAACAAACCACTCTATTTTACAGTACAGCAGTAAGTAATTCAATTATTCCATAAGGTAAACAATATGACTAATGGATGCCTAAGGGAAAAGCACTAAAAGTCTAAGCAAGCACTACTATCACATAATGAGCAGTGTTATTTATGAGCAGGCATGGAACTCAGATACCACCTGTGACGAGAGCAATCTCGCCACATTGCATTGGAGAAGCCTGGTTGCTCGCCTGCTGCCTTTGGATTATGACCCCATGTTAAAAGACATCTTTTTCCCGGCAGAAAAGACTTATTCGTGATTTTCTGCCTGGGGTTCAGTAGATTCAATCTACCGAACAACCGCACAAATGAATAGACCACCTGGGAGCTGGAGTGTGCCGCCAATTAACCTCCCTGAAGCTGCGGTTAACCGCAGCTTAATTGGCGAATGCTGGGTGGCCGCCATTCCTATCACGAAGTCGCGGCCATTTGAAACATGCGAATGTACAGCGGTGTTCGACGCTTAATTCATGGAACTAAAATCGGACACAGTTTTGCGCGAACACCGCTGAAGCCGCCGACCTCCCTTCTTGTTCGGTGGAAGTACACGAACGGCCAGTGTTCGGTAGTTTTACTTGTCTATGTTATACCCCAGATAGGAATCCCATGGAGCCCATTCGCATGAGAACTGACTGTGTAAAGACTTTGGCTCCATAGCGACTGAACTGTATTCGTGTAATCTGAGCGCCATTCGCCTAATAATGTGCGCTCAGACCTGAGCTATCTGGGGACATGTTAAATGTATAGTTTTATTGTAATGTGTCTTACATGGTGTATTTTAACAGTAATTCCTGTTTTAGTATCCGCACGTGCATAATGGCGATTTGCCTGTGTCTTGGGAGATAATTGAATTACTTCTTAATTATCTCCAAGGCAGAGGGGAGGAAGCCAGGATGCATCGTGGGAATACAATGTGACTGTGTGTCCTGTCTACTTGTCTGTCTTTTGTCACAGTCTCCCATTTGGTCCCCTACGGGACTGTCCACCAGGTGGGAGACCTGCATAAATACTGGGCAGGTAGCCCTCATTAAACAGACCACTGCTTGACACACAATACGGAGCCTTGTCTCGTCTTTGGGGGCGGTTTACTGAATGCTGATAGAGACTGATTGCTAGGAGTGTAAGCCGCTTGGATGCTTTCCTATTCGTCTGCTAGCAGTGAGTCGTATGGTTCCAGTTCGTGTGTTTGGAGTGCTATATTGGATGCCGTTCGGGAGTTTGGAGCATTCCCTTATTGGCGGTTCGTGAATTTGGTGTTCTACAGTAGCTGTGCCTGCATCTCTGGAAAGGGGGACGATCGCCTAAACGGTTTTTACACCTTGTGTGCAAAACGGTCTGTTACACCACCTGATAATCTGTATTCTGAGTTATTGAGTAAATGGCATCTTTAATACATATATGCAAAGCGTCTTCACACATGTAGAAAGCCTAACTTCAATGAAGCCAACATGCCTGTGCAATATCTTCACTTAACATGTTATAATATGCACATGGCGTGCAGCTTCCATGAAATCTTCTCAAACAACACCCTTATAGTCTAGTAAAAATATATGAAACTACTTTATTCAATATTAGCACCTATCTTTTAAAGGGACACTTTCTGCACCAGAATTGCTAAAGCAATAAAGTGGTTTTGGTGCAAATTGGCTGTCACTGCATGCTTTTAATTTCCAAGCAAATGAAAACTCTGTTAAATATACCTGTTTGTTTAACAGTTATTTTCAGATAAGTTTAACAATAAGAAATGGACTAGACTATTCTGTACCATAGAGGAAGCATGCCTTTGTAACTAGTTTACCATCATTAGATAAAAGAGTGTTTACACAAATTTTGGCCTACACCAATTTAAATAAAATTAACAAAGAATTTATTTGGCCGATTGCAAGTGTCAGAGAAAATAAACAGTTCAAATTGCTTCAATTCTTAGTACCATATATGTATTTTACACAAACAAACATGTAAAACAGCACTTTAAAAATGCAACGTACAAAGAACCCCAAAAAATAATTTTTAAACATTTTTTAAAAGTACTATTTCTCTCAATGGGCACACAATAGGCAGAGAGTTGGCCGAGCGCATCATTTGACGTTCTCAGCCTATCACCAGCAAACCACTCTTCATACTGCAGTGCAGAGAGGAAAGTGCTGGGTGCAGGAGCATCAACTTCACAGTTAAACCACTGGCCAGGTCTAACATTTTTACTATGAGTTAAAGGAACACTATAGTGTTGGAGTGTCTGTTTAGGGGACCAGCACTCCTCAGATAGCAGTGAAAAGGTATTCCAAAAGTTACCTTTTCTCCATCCCATTAGAAAGCACTGGAAGACTATTGTTCATGCGCGGCAAAATGCGCCAATCAGCAACTCCTCACAGAGTTTACCATCTATGGTGAGTGTTCAGTGCCTCCATGCAGTGCGTGGAAAAGCTGACTGTGTCAGGGGTCTCCCCTCCTCCTACCTGTCGGCGAGCGGCGTCTCCCCTCCGCTGCGCGCCGCTCGCATCCTCCTCCACGCCTCCCAGCGGCAGCATGTATAACGCTGCACGCTGGGAGGTCGCACTTTTATGCAAACGCCGGGGTCACTCACGTGACCCGGCGTTAAAGCAACAGTACCACAATCACAGTGGGAGGCGTAGATATCTCCCATGTGTGATTGTTAATTCTGATTGGAAGTTATCCAATCAGAATTAAGCAAAGGATATTTATACTTACCTTTCCTGTCTCTCAGTGCCCTGCTGTGGTCTTGTGATACCTGTATTGCAGTTTGCTCGTGTTTCTCTCTGGTTACTGATTATTTGGCTCGTTATTCCGATTTTCCCGTATTCTCCACTCCTTTGACCTCGGCTTGTTTCTCGTTCTCTCGTTTTCTGGCTCCCTTTACTTGGCTTGTCTCCTGACTATTCTTAGTGTGCTTAGCCCGGCCACTCTAAGGACCGGTATAGCATCCTTCCTCTCTGTGACCTGTTAGCGTGTTAGGTTCCGGAATCGTGACAGACTGTAGGCGCTGCACACTGAGAAACACTGAGATAAGAAGCACCTCTATTGGTGGTCTGAGTGACTGCCACTGAAGGTGTTACTTGACAGTAATGTAAACACTGCCTTTTCTCTCTAAAGGCAGCGTTTACATTAAAAGGCCTGCAGGGAAAGGCATTAAACTGTAATGGTTCTGGTGACTATAGTGTCCCTTTAATAATAATCCCTCAAGTGGTTTATTTATGCCTAACAAATACGTTTCTCTATTAGTCAGATTTAGAACTAAAACATTATCAAATTTATTGATTATAAAGTGCACTATAATGGTTTTGATCCGAGATGTGCCCTACCATCTACTCCTTCATGTAAGTAACCCATCTGTTTAGTAATAGTTGGGACTTCTTACCTCTGGCTGCCAGGCAATGGTCAATGGCTCTATAGAGAGCCAGAAGCTCTGTGCTTTGAGCTAAGTCCAATGGTGCAGGGCTTAGCTTAGGAGAGCTATAGGAAGCTCTTACAGGTATAGAAGAGACAGTGACCAAAAACTGGCAGAAAATATACCCAAGATAATTATTCAAGTAGTTTGACTACTTATAATGAGGAGGGGGATCAACAAGCACCATAACCACAGCAGCACACTGTAGTGGTTAAGGTGCTTGAAATATTCCTTTAATTTATGGTAAAAATACAAATCTAATGATTCACGAACAAACCTAAAATAAAAAGTCAATGGCTTCATAACTGTTGTGGGTATGGTGTTTAGAGTACTCTTTTAATGAAACACTAATTATCTTCTTTTTTTTTTAATTACATGTTTATATTTTGTTTTGAATATTGGGCTCTTTTTGTGTGTTTTTTGTTTTTCTTAATTAAAAAAAATGCAATTAAACTCACCATTATTCTATCAAGACTGATGACTTTTGCCCAATCAGATACTTCTCGTAGAGAAGAACTATGGACACATAGTGCAACTGTAGCAAACCCCAGAAGCTGTCAAGCCAATGCTTCTTGCGATTTATGGAAATCAGGAAATAAATATTTGCCAAATATTTGGCGCAAGACCTAGGTTAAGTTAAAACAAGGAAAAAGACTTGTTGTGTCCTAAACCACTGTAGAAAATAAATAAGCATCATGAATGGCTGAGTTACTTTTCGGTTTGAACAAACTCTTGTTTTACAAAAAGCATCATATGCCACATTCTCAGAACACAGTAAGGGCCTTGACTTCCATGGACCTTGACTTCCATGGTGCTGTGCACACAGACACAAGGGCACTTGTAGGTCACTTTCTCAGCATTTATCAAAGATAACCCAGAGTATTGTGTGACGATGCTGCACCTAGGTATGGAAGTGCTCTAGGGATAATAGTGTTCCACACTTATTTCCGCTGCTTTCCTCATTCCAGGAAATTCTTTTATTTCTTTTTATTGGGCTAAGAGAATGAGAACTCACTACCATAAAAATCACAGTTCTTTAAGCTGCAGGGCTCATAGACTTACAGAACATGCATAATCTTCAAATGAGAGTATCATGGGAGTATCCTTGTTTTTTTTTCTTTATTAATTTCTCGTTTTGCGTATATTTTAATGTATTATCTACGACATTCATTCTCCTACCTAGCAGATATAATTAATGTGCTCTTCATGGATTACCACCACCACTTGTATTTATATACGAGAAGCCAATTCACAACGCAACTTTAAAAAGTTACTCTAATATATTTATATTTTTGCCTTATTTTCACTCACTGGTTTAGTTTTTTAAAATTGTAAAATAGCTAAATAATTACCTTGAATTCACTGTCAGGTCAGGTTATTCCCTGATCCGCTCCACCCATTGCCCTCTGCAGTCACCGTGCGTCATCTTTTTCTTGGTCAAGGTCCAATCAAATGCTTCACACAAAGATGCATTGATGGACCATCAACGCATGCGCGGCAATTGCCAGAAGAATGGACAAGAAGAGAAGTCTATCATTAGGAGATTGAAACTAATTAGCTAATGTTGATGTTGGGAAGAACACAAGATAGACTTGCTCTGTGTTTGGCATGTAGGAAGTATACATACCTGAAATATACACACTGTGGCTTAATATTTAGGATGGCAACATACCTAGGTATCCAAATACTCATTACGTTTACTGATCACGTCCAATACGTGATAAGTACTACTACTTTTCCACCTTGTTTGGTGGCTGTCTCTCTTACTTCCCTATTGTGTTTTTGTACCCCACCTCCTCTAGACTGTAAGTTTGTTTGAGCAGTGTCCTCATCTACCTATTGTTCCTGTGTCACTGTGTAATTTTTTTATTTATTGTAATATTTCCCCCTTTTCATAATATTGCAAAGCGCTGAAGAAAACAAAAAATAAATCTATACGTTAACAACCTTAATCAATTTACCTGTTGTCGCATACAAATTCTACGCACTTTAGATCTGCTCTTTTAGGGTACTGCATATAATCACAAAGATAAGAACAGTCTCCAGGAAGCATGTTGTATGTAAAAACTAATTATAAGGGAGGTGAGACTATGCCTGTCATGTCTGGAGAGGGAGTTCATTCCATATTAATTAAATTATTTATGACGAGATAAAACATATTAAGTTTTGTTGTTGTAAGAAAAGATTGGTCTCTGATAAACCCAAAACAAGTGAGAAGAATGTGTATTCACATTCATAAGAGGTATATCTTTTTGAAGAAAGAACACGAATTACAAAAATAAGTTTTGGGTTTTTTTAAATTAGAGTGTTTCTTAAACTCATTAGATTGCAGGCAACCTCCCCTGTTGAGGCATTAAAGCGGCTCTGTCACCAAAATTAAACTTTGTCTAATCTATATAGCCCCCTGTGTCTGAACCTCTGTATTTCTTAAATGCTCTAGTTTTCATAAAATATATAAAATAAAGTAGAGACTACTTTTCTTCAAGTTTAAAGGGATTCTCCAGTGCCAGTAAAACAAACCCGTTTACCTGGCACTAGAGAATCCTGGAGTGCCCCCTTCCCTCCCGCCCCACATCCCATGTCGCTGAAGGGGTTAAAATTTACCTAAATCCAATCTGCCCACGCTCCTCCCAAGCCAGCAGGGGGAGACCTAATGCACATGCGCAGCAATTGAATAATGCTTTCCTATGGGGGAAATCTGACACTGGAGGTCCGTGAGGACGTCCAGCGTCAGATAATGGACCAAAAGTCTGTTACGAATCCGGAAGCGCCCCCAGTGGCTGTCTGTTAGACAACCACAGAGGGCAGACTTGGAACTATAATGTTTTACATTGCAACACTAAATGCAAAAGGGACACAGGACACTTCAATTACCCAAAGTGGTCTGGGTTCCTACAGTGTCCCTTTAACAGTCAGGTTGACAAAACTTGAAAATAGGCGGAGCTTAAAGCAAGGTTGTGTTTCAGTTGCCAAACAAATGTACCCAATATACATCAGTAAAATTAGTCTCACAGAAGGGAAAATAAAATAAAGATGGACAGAGGAAAATAAAATGGAACTAAATATAAACAAAAGGCAAGTGGCAAGGAGGGGAGTATAATCATTACAATACAGGTGGCATAAGGAAAAGAAATCCAAAGGAAAAAAAAAAAAGACGACAGGTCCTCTTAAACCCATCTTTATTCTAGCACTAGGTGTGTCTCCTTGTGGCAGACATGTCCGCCTCCTGTGAAATCATCAGATGGCTTGTGTCCAATAAGATACTTCTCATAGAGAAGCATTGGAACACAGTGCCTGCACAGGAATTACTGTAATCTGTCAACAATGTTAATCATCATGAAAAGCATTTCTGCTTTGAACTACAGTTCAAAGCAAGCGAGGAAGGAAACCATCTCATTTCAGATGTACTTTTGTAAAATAGGTCAGAGTGAGAATATAGCTGACCTCTAACAAACTTTAACAACCTGAAGTACTATACAGGGCCGGTGTCCCTAAAGTGAAATGAGCATATTATGACACTGGTTGTTCTAAACATCCCTCTAGAACTGAATGGTAGCAAAGGTGGGCAAACTGTTCCTACAGAACCACATGTATACATGGAGTTACCTGCCTGTAAATATTATTTAAATCTTACCAGCCTGAGATTCTTTAAAACAACTGCAACCCCCTACCTTCAATCAAATAGCCATAAAAATCAATTTATAACTATTTCAACTAACGCTATATTCGGAATCGGCATTATCAAAAATACTTTCTATACGTACCAAAACCTGCTGAGGGACTGACCGGGAGTGGTGGGTGGAGGGAATGGAACTTACTGTGATGACTAAATCTACACAATACGTAGACCAGGGCAGGAGATGGGGAACAGGATGTAGGAGTGTGGGATGTAGCACAGGGTAAAGCATAGGCCAACAGTGACTTACACTCGTCACACTAGGAGTGTGATGGAAGACGAGGTGGGAGGCCATTCCACAAGCTCTTTATCCACACCTATACCTGAAATAAACGCTAAAACAGTCTGATCACTCCACTATGAGTCCGGCCGTGCCACGATGAGGTACTGGTAAAAACCCTGAATGTCATCCCTGCTCTACCATACTGCACATGGACACCAAAACACAGATAGACGGGTGGAAGGCCAGTCAAATATCATCAGACCGCATCTTCGATACCGAAATGTCTTCCGGTCATGTGCTAATGATACCTTATCATATTTGCTCTGTGATATCTGAAACTGTTTCTGTAATTTATCGAGTTGAATATTTAATACCGCTATTCCATGTGAACCTTGCTGAAGTGACGGGGAACTTCTCCGGCCGAATCCCTTCTCTATGTATCTTTTCTATGAAAAATCATACAATAAAAACTTAGAATTACCCCCCAAAAAAGCAATTTATAAATTGAATTGCATGTTTCCTGTTATATGTATATCACTTAAACTGTTAATAGCTTTCCCTCCCCCGCCCCTTGGTATCCTACCTTCCTGCTTCCTCTGCTGCAAGTATGTCATCCATAAAAAAAAAAAAAACTCACCCTTCATTGTATACTATTCTAATAACCTACTTTTTCCCGTGCATGAAATACCTCCTACCCGTCCTTCTTGTGCCACTTTACTCTGCTCCCTCTAGAATGAAAGCTTGTTTGAGCAGGGCCCTCCCTTCCTGTTGGTCCAACTTGTCTTTTTGCAAATCCCTGACTGTTAATCCACCTATTGTACAGCGCTATGGAATTTGTTGGCGCCTTATAAATAATAAGGGTACCATTATATTTGCATGTGCTCTCTGGTGCACTTGAAAATGGGGAGCAATCTCATAATTGTGTCATTTCTAATTAATATACAATAATCACAAGTCAAGCCATAGAACAGGGATCCTCACACTCCGGCCCCCCAGATCTTGCTGAACTACAACTCCCATGATTCTTTGAATTACATAGATAGCCAGAGAATGATGGGAGTTGTAGTTCAGCGATATCTCGGGGGGCCCGGAGTGTGAGGACCCCTGCCATAGAGAGACACAGCCCCCAGTGACCTCACACACAGCTCAGCCTGCAGGAGAGGGGGTGAACGCTTTAACACCTCTGACGTCACCCGGAGAGGGGAGCTCTGACGTCACACTCCAGGCGTCTGGGAGGGGTCTTATAACTAGCTGTCACTCACCTCCCAGGACCGCTACACCGAAACAATAACAGGAGGGGGGGGGAAACAAACAAACACCGAGGCCGCAGCCAGACAGGAGCGAACGGCGTTCCGGAAGCCCAACAACAGCACGGGCTTACTGCTTCCGGGGTCACGGCGGCGGGTGGTGACGTCACCCCCCCTGGCAGGAAGGCCCGCCTCGCGGGGACATGGTAACGCCGAGGGTAGGATTCCCTGGTTGCCATGGGGATACAGGCCTGGGAGAGCTGCGCTCGTGGTCTGTTGCTAGGGGTCTGTTGCTATGGGAGGGTCGTGTACAGTGAGGCAGAGCAGGAAGACTTGTTTATTGGTAACTAAGACAAATGTGATTCCACACTGAGACAATCACCTAATAAGGATTTATTTTATATATTTATTTTGTTTATTTAGGATTTTATTTTTAATTTATTTTATTTGTTTGTTTTGGGGTGGAGGTTGGGTTTATTTTCTATATATATATATATATTTTATTTATTTATTTATTTATTTTTTATTTATTTTGTTTATTTAGGATTATTTGTTTTTATTTATTTGTTTTTGGGTGGAGGTTGGGTTTATTTTATTTATTATTATTTTATTTTTTTTTTAAACCATTTCCCTATTTGTAGTATTGAAGGAAGTGTTGCCTCCTGCTCTGTTGCCTCTGAAGGATGATGTGGTTAGCCATGTTGAGCGCTACATCCCAGCAAATGATTCAGTGTTAAAGGAACACTACAAGCACGATAACCACTACAGAGAGCATTTGTGCTCATGGTGCCAGGAGTGCTGTGGCTCTTCCCCCACTGTAAGTAGACAAACCATTTGCTAACGGTGCCTTTACGACAGCCTGGAGCTCGCTCTCTCTGGGCTAAGTTATAGGCTGAGAGTGATGTAATGATGTTCTCAGTAAATAAGTTTGCCCTACACCGCAGGGTTTACTACAGAAGAGCTAACAGAAGCACCTGGAAGACCAGCATGAACATGGAAGTCCACAGGAAGCCTACGTGGGCAAACTGCGTCAAAATGTAAAGAAGGCAGACATAGAAACTCCACATGAGCAGACGGTTTTAGTTTTTAAATTGTGAGTCACAATAAAGCTGTGAATGATTTCTACAAAGCTGCAGTATTTTACTTTGCAGGGTTAAAACTTGAAATGAAGTGGACTGGGTGACTTAAGAGGTCCTTCAAATATCTTTCATTTGGTATGATATATTGAAGTTGGAGTTTGAGCAACACAAGGGAATTCATGTCCTAGTCTACCTGTGTTTAGTGGGAGTTACACACCAAGACAGCAGCTGCCGCTACTCTTTTCTAAAGTCTAAAATTTTCTGAATGCTCAGCACAGAAAAATCTAAAATTTTTAACAATGATGACCTGAAAATACAATTATGAAGTTGTACCTGGGATACTCTGGGAGTATGCTTTAATAGACACACACTGGGATTGGGGGACACATTGCTGTTATAAAGGAACTCTATAGTGTTATGAGTACAAAACTGTTTTTGAGATCCTCCAACATCAGTCAACAGGGGACACCAAATGCACATGCATGGCAAGCGGTGCGCATCAGGCCTTCTTCATAGGAAAGCATTAAGTCAATGTTTTTTTTATGGGGATTTAGAAGATGCTGGACATCCTCATGCAAAGCTGGACATCCTCATGAAACTGCAGGAATGTTTTCCTATGTGACCGCCTGAAACGGCAATGTTTGCAGCTGCAGGGCTTAAATGACAGGAATACCACACCCATACTACTTCAGTAGGCACACACAGTACTGAGAATAATGTTCACATTATAAGCGGACACAAAGTGCTGGTATTGGAGTTCTGTTACACTTTGGAAGGGTTCAATTCCTTGTGAGGAGTAAACATTTTTTTCAATTTAGATTTTTTTGTTTTGTTAAATCAGACAAAAAATAAGCATTGTTTTGGATATCACACACCGTATATTTTTTTTTTACATGGACCGACAGACACATAATGAAATAAATGTAGTTTGACCCAAAATGGGTCCGGACCCAACCACCGAAGGGGCTTATCTGGCTAGCCTTCTAAAGCGTGTGCTGTAGCGCTTTCTGCAGTGTCCTAGTGCTCCTGCATATCACCTGCTGGACACCAGGGTACTAAATTGAAACAGCAGGACATGTCAGACATGTTGGGAGGGGGTTTGTGTTGAAAGCCTATTTAAGCCTATTTAAGTACCACTTACTTTTAAGCAACCCAATTCTATGCTTGTCAAGTTCAGTTTCAGACCACAACCAGTACCAGAGTTTCATAATTGCCTTTCAGGGACCTTCTTACAGTTGAAAACTAAACACGTAATTTAATCAATGTTTTTGTTTTGTTTAAAGGACCACTCTAGGCACCCAGATCATTTCAGCTTAATGAAGTGGTCTGGGTGCCAGGTCCTTCTAGGGTTAACCCATTTTTTCATAAACATAGCAGTTTCAGAGAAACTGCTATGTTTATGAATGGGTTAAGCCTTCCCCTATTTCCTCTAGTGGCTGTCTCATTGACAGCCACTAGAGGCGCTTGCGTGCTTCTCACTGTGATTTTCACAGTGAGAGCACGCCAGCGTCCATAGGAAAGCATTATGAATGCTTTCCTATGTGACCGGCTGAATGCGTGCGCAGCTCTTGCCGCGCGTGCGCAGCTCTTGCCGCGCGTGCGCATTCAGCCGACGGGGAGGAGAAGAGGAGGATTGGAGGAGGAGAGCTCCCCACCCAGCGCTGGAAAAAGGTAAGTTTTTACCCCTTTCCAGAGCCGGGCGGGAGGGGGTCCCTGAGGGTGGGGGCACCCTCAGGGCACTATAGTGCCAGAGAAAACGAGTATGTTTTCCTGGCACTGTAGTGGTCCTTTAATGAAGTGGTCTGGGTGCGAGGTCCAGCTAGGTTTAACCCATTTGTTTCATAAACATAGCAGTTTCAAAGAAACTGCTATGTTTATGAATGGGTTAAGCCTTCCCCTATTTCCTCTAGTGGCTGTCTCATTGACAGCCACTAGAGGCGCTTGCGTGCTTCTCACTGTGATTTTCACAGTGAGAGCACGCCAGCGTCCATAGGAAAGCATTATGAATGCTTTCCTATGTGACAGCCTGAATGCGTGCGCAGCTCTTGCCGCGCGTGCGCATTCAGCCCAGTGGTGGGGGCACCCTCAGGGCACTATAGTGCCAGAAAAACGAGGATGTTTTCCTGGCACTATAGTGGTCCTTTAATACAAATTGAAAAAAGTGATTGAAAGTCCCTTCCACCTGAAGTCAGTGGATAGTCAATACCAGTGGTGGAACTACCGCACAGACGCTATGGACTTAGGGCCACTCTATGGGTATGGTTGTTTTATCGCTTAACAGTAACCCGGTTGGGTGCCGCGGCCCTTTAAAGTCGCGACCGGCCCCTGTAATACCTGCCAGCATGGAGGAAGTGATGATCACGTCCTTCCAGTTACATAAAGAGCGCACCATGTGAAGAGAGAGGGAGTTGGTGGTAGAGGAGGCACACACAGGCAGCCTGATGGGAGAGAGACAGAAGCTACTTTAAAACCACTACACTCTCCCCTTGTCAGAGTATTTATATCGGCAGACATTTTGTGCTATGATAGAAACTAAAAGTGTATATTCTGAGTCACTCTGAACAGACCAGACTCCATTTTGTTATTTCAAGTTAACAAAGAGACACAGTATTTCTATCTGTAAGCTAACCACTTTCCCAGAGCTGAGGAATGCATAGTATATACAAGACAAGTGATAAGGAAGGGGGTTGGACAGACTGTCTAATGCTAATGGAATATAATCAAATCTAAACCCAGACAATTGTGACAGAGAAGATTAAATAATTTAATATTTAACTGTCTATATATATAAGGTACCATTGTATGGAAAAGGGTAAACTTAGTTCATGATCTGTCATATCAGAAATTATAGCAGATTTGCAGACACATAGTCTGGACAAAATTTAAGAACCCCTTTGATCTTTGAAGGATACGTAAGTTATAGCCACTATCTAGATAGGCCAAAATGACGTCAAAATAGCCACCAGGAAAAGTTAACTCTTTCCTGGATAGGTATGTTTAGTGGGACAAGACTGCCCTCTACAGACCAAATAACTAATTTGCGATCTGGAAGATAACCACACCTCTAGTGCTTCTATTGGGTTATCAACTGATGACGTACAGAGAGTCTGGCCCTTTAAAAGTTAAGACAAAGGGAAGATAGAGATAGACGAAGGAGGCAGATGCAAGATATGCAAAGGAGGGAAAAGAGAGGAATTGGAAGTTTGGGGACTCCAACCTCCATGCAGAGACACATCCAAATAAATTCCTGAGACTACCAATCGGATGAAATATCTACTCAACTGGTAATTATACTGGTTTCATTTAATTAAATTAAATTAATTAAAATGTATTAATAGCATTATATATGACTGGATAAAGCACGGTCAGATTTCCATATTAAGAAATCTTAGTTAACTAAGAATATATAGTTATAAATATTCCATTCTGCAGGTGGAATTAAGAATAATTATATATTGATGTGATATTATCACGTGTTAGCATACCGCTGTTTTTATCCAGGTGTATTGATTTGCTCTAAATTAAGATAGATATCTTTTAGACAAATTAAAAATCTGCTTATATAATATGTAGATTCTCTTATTGGATTGTTTTCAGGAAATGGCTAATGAACTGGTTTAAATGTTATTTTATTTAAAAATTACATAAGAATAGATCTTAACTACCTAGGAGATCTAGCCAGCATTGAAAGGGTTATTCTAACTGTCTGCTAAACTTTACGACCTTACGCTGCACTCTGAGGAATTCTGTTCTCTGTGTGAAAAGTTTCACTTTCAGCCTGTGTTAAGGATACCTCATAAATCGTAGAAGTCTTGACAGATAATGAGTTAATAGCCATTGAAACGTAATACCCATTCCTTTGTATTGCATACCATTTTATACTGAATATTCATTGATTATTGTCACGCATGTTATATAATATTATTATTATTAATTTGTCATTATAAATAAAAATCTATTTTTATACATTGTGATATTATTATATGAAATACATTCCACTTAACACGATAAACGTTCTTTGGGATCTGAGAATTGAATTAGTGGGCAATTCTCACTGTTACTATTATTATCCCATAAATATCCCCACATATTGGAGGCACGGTGCTGAGATCGTTTAAGTTGAAATTGTATTTCATATATAATAATAATATTGGTGTAATTCATGCAATTTAATCTTGATATAGAAAAGAGTTTTGTATTGAGATTAAATCACTGTATAGAAATATGGCTGAATCTAGCGCTTCATCTCAATCAGAGAATGGGAAGAAGTTAGCGGAAATGCAAGGTTTTCCCTTAAGCATCATATATCAGTATCTAAATATTAAAGTTGATTATCCAGAGTGGATACTCCAAATAAAAAAACAGGTTGATGATTCGATTCATGATAGATCGGCTGATTCACCTATGGTTAAATATCTTAGCCATATAGATGAAGAGTCTACAATGCGATCTGTTACCAACTCATGCCCGTTTTTCATATTGGGTTATTCTATTATGTTAAAAAAGCATAATGAGATAGAACGTAAATTGGACGAGTGTCAGAAAGACCTGGTGCTCGAACAAGGAAGGTTCAAAACTTTGTCTGATGAAAATAATCTCCTTCAGGTTCTAAACTCTGACCTTTTGAATAAACTGGAAAGAATGAACAAAATGGTGGATGATTATGATCAACAGATAAAACAGATACAGATGCAGCTAGATGAATATCAAAAGGGAAGTGAAGGATTACTGGGAAAAGACCCAAGTGATTCTTTTCAATTTCCTGATATTCACACACCAGACCAGGTTTTCATAAAACAGTCTCTAAGAAAAGATGTGAGTAATTCTGAGAAAACACCTGTAGATTCTTGGCAATCTTGGGCAGAACAGTTTGAAAAGACTGTCCTGGCCATGCTTGACAGAAGGAATCAGATTCAAGGTGATAGGAATGAAAACAGACATGGTTCTGTTCACTGGCAGAATTCTGATGCTGATCGGAATTGTGACAGTGAACAAGAAGCTCAGAGTGATGGGAGTGAAAGTGATTGCACTATCCACTCTGAAGGCCATGTAACTGATATGCCATCTGCGCTGTTGTATGGGTCTAATTCCTCTTCAGCAGACAGATCGCATAGACGTTTACCCAAACACAGAAACAGAGATCGTAAATCAACGACGCCTGTTTATGAAACACCAAAGGTCATCAAATTCCTTAGAGAGACTGTCCCACAATTTTCTAGAGGTTCAGGAAACATATCTGAACATCTGGAAAATTATGATAGAGCAATGAATTCATTGGGCATGTATGATGACATTCATAAGAAATGGTTCATTACATGGACCTTTGATTCAATGTGCCGTGTTTATCTAGAAAGTCTTCAAGCTATACAGTTAATGTCCTGGTCCAAGATGAAATATGAAATAATCATGGAATATGGTAAGTATAAAACCATTGCCTCTGCAAAGAAGGCGCTTTATAACTTAAAGTGCCGTCCAGATCAAAGCCCCAGAGAATTTTTAATAATTCTTAAAAATGCATACTCCGTGGCCCAAAGGAAACCCAGGTATGAAAGCACAGACTTCAAAGATCTGTATTTTCATGCCATGCCAGTAAACATACAAATGAATCTCGCAAGAGATTACGATTGTAAGTTACCATTAGAATGGCTAGTCAGTCAGTGCATGAAATTGTACACTATACACCATGCACATGACGAAAATCAGCCAAAGGTTAAGAAACCTGGTGATAAAATGGTGTCAGAGACTAAAATTCAGTTAGGTCTAGAAACCCAACAGAAAAAGAGGACCTATTCCGAGGTTTTGAAAACTCCAAAACCTCAGAAACAGGAAAACGCCAGAAGCAATTCTGCAAATTCCTCTAATAACTCTGAAAAATCCAATGCCAATGGGAATAAACGCCCCTGGGTAAATAAGAACCAAGGCAATTCCCAATGGAGAAGGAATCCTCAGGGAAATAGGAGATATGGAAACAGAAACAACCAATCTGCTTCCAATAACTCCCAACAGTCTCAGCCATCCCAGCCAAATTCTAATGGGCAAAGACAAAACGGCAATGGGGGAAATAATTTGCGTCGTCAGGTTGGTCAATTGACAGACCAGATGGGCAAATTAATGGAGGGAATGACAAAGATTAACCAAGTCTTTGCCAGAAATCCTTTTTTAGGGATAGCTCCAATTGCAGAACTACCTGTGCAACCGCAGCAACAACAACAGGTGCCGCAGCAATAATAGCCACTGTGACTAAACAGGCTAGGTTATCAGTAGATGTAATGCCTAACCCTGTTTCCTTTCCAGGTAATAACAGTCAAATAAACAATAGTTGTGTTAGAAAACCTATTGCCTATCCCGTCACTTCACTTCCGGGTGAAGGAGGCGCGACGTGTTCCTCTGTTTTTTCATTTCAGCCAAAGGCTAAAATAGCCCCAGCAGCCACAAGTTTCCAGGATCCAGACCTGAAAGGGTTAACTGATGAGATGCCGACCACTAGTTCCCGCTTAATAGTTCAAGATGTTCCTAAAAAGGATGGGCCTGTGGGTAAGACTGAGCATTCCTCAGTACAGGTAGAAACTACTGCTGTGACCGGTAATGTATGGAAAACGAGTAATATGTTGACACATTCTAAATTCTTATGTGAATTAGAAGAACATGAAGGAAGGTACTACATGTCTGTAGAAATACAGGATTCGTTACCCCAGCCTTTTAAAGGGTTAATAGATACTGGTTCACAAGCCACTATCTTATCCAATACCTACTTCCAGCAGGTAATGGACTTAGCAACGGATAAGCCGAAGCTAAGAGGTTTCCCCAATGCTCTGTTGAGTGTAGGAGGAAATGCCCTTCATGTTATTGGCAATACATGGTTAAAGTTTAAAATAGGTAACAAAACCTTTAGACACCCGGTGATAGTGGTAGATCTCCCCTATGACCGACTGATTCTGGGTATAGACATACTTAGAAGACTTAACACGATTATTGACTGTGTGAATGGAATTGTATGGTCACAAGCTAAGGTTCCCATAACCTATGAGAAATCACATGTACAATCTGATCGTAACTGCCATGTGATAGAAGAAAGACCTGACTCAATTGAGGTACATTTTAGAAATAGTCAGTCACCTGACGTGACTATCCTGCAGGTGAATGATGCAATCGCGCCTGTAGATGAGCATTCCATAAGAATTGCTCCAGAGAGGATCCAGAATGTCTCTCTGGAAGGTGATGTTTTAACCATTTCTCTCCACAGGGACTATGTTGAATCTGTAGATCTGGCAGGTCATGCTCAATTCCTTGCCAGAATTGAAAGGGTTAATAACAACTTATTCTTTCCTATGCAAATAAATGACTTAGGAAGAAGTAGGAATGCAAAGCTGGACTTACAGAGTGAGAACAGCTATATTAGCAGAAGTCTGTTAAAGCAGATCGCTAATCCTAAAATGATCAGGTACGCTTCCCCACATGACAGGTGGATCCAGAATCTGGATGGCGAATCAGAGAGTCACAATGTGATAGCAAAATGTTTACTATCTATTTCCATCGGAAATAAGACCGTTAAACATTTATTCTTAGTGATAAATGAACCTCGCTATCAGATTTACGTTGGCAATGATGTCATACATCGCTTTGCCATACACCTTGATTTGATTAATTCCAATTTGTGGACAAGGTTAAAAGGTAATCCTTGTGGATACCTACACGAGGAAAACGCCCTGAAATCAGGACAAATACTCCCATATGCGGTAAGTATCCAAGTTCCCGATGACATAACCATTCCACAGGGGACAAGTAATTTTCTTTTACCCCTACAGGTCAAGGAGGATCAGAGATTGGAAAACTCTGATGCCCTAATCTGTTTATCCAACAGGATACAACAATTAGGGATGGTGGTAACACATACACCAATGGTAAGTATTGGTAAGAATCCCACCTATATCATGGTCAACAATGTTACACCCAATAGTGTTACTTTACCAAAAGGAACATTATTAGGTCTAGCATTGGATGCTGAGTACTATACATTTGGTTTCCAAAACCAAATTATAGGCCTCATCCCTGAAGAATACTTAACTGAGGACGAAATTGTCGATCAAATATTCCATTCCTCCCCAGAAGGATTATTCACTATCCTATCTGTATATCCCTTCAACGTCGAAGAAGGCTCGTGTAAAATCGAAGAAGCATCTATCACCTTCGATCATCCGCTCAATGAGCAGGAATCACAAGAGTATCACGACCAAAGAGAAAAGGTAAGTCAACACCGAACTGACCTAACTTCTAGGCTTGAAGAAGCTTATGAGATAGGCCAGCCTGAAATCTTTCCAGGATTTCAGGAAAGGCTAGAAGAGCAAATATCTTTAGCTGACGGTTGCTCCAATGATGCTGAGCGACAGCAGCTAAAGGAAGTCCTTTTGGAATTCCAAGATATTTTTGCCAAAGATTCCTACGACTGTGGGTTAACTAACCTCCACGTAGCCAGAATACAAACTGATCCAAATTTACCACCTGTATTTATCAAACAATATAGACTCCCATTAGCGTCATATGATGGTCTACAAGACATCATTCAGAATTTAAAGGAAAGGGGCATTATACATCCAGTGCACAGTTCGTATAATAATCCAATCTTGGGGATTCTGAAACCTAATGGACAATGGCGTTTATGCGCTGACTTACGACAGCTAAATAAACGCGTCTATATGTCTGGTTGGCCAACGCCATACATAGACCAATGTTTGGTACAAATGCAGGGATCCAAAATATTCACTGCCATTGACTGTGCGCAGGGATATTGGACTGTACCAGTCCATACTGAAGACCAATACAAATTGGCCTTCACATTTGGAAAGCAGCAGTATACCTGGACCCGTATGCCTTTCGGTTATATAAACTCTGGTCATGAATTCGCTGTGTTCATGCATAAAGCTATGCCTGACGCACTCGAGAGAGGAACGTTATCATATGTCGACGATGTCTTGCTGAAAAGCACTTCCTTTGATAAGCATATCTTAGAGATTAGACATGTTCTCACTCAGTTAAGAGAGGCAGGGATTAAACTGTCTTTACAAAAGGCACAATGGTGTCGCACCCATGTCAATTTCCTTGGACATGAGGTAACTTCTGAAGGATTAAATCCCCAGAGGAAGAAGGTTGAAGCCGTACTAAAGGCTAAAACACCTTCAAACATCAGGGAATTAAGATCGTTCCTTGGTATGACTAACTACTCCCGTAAGTTTATAGATAACTATGCAGAAATAACTAAACCACTCTTACACCTGCTTAAAAAGGAAACTACCTGGAACTGGGGGGAGCCTCAGGACCAAGCGGTAAGTGAACTGAGGAGGAAGCTCACTCAGGCACCCTGTTTAGCATACCCAGAGGGGGGTAAACCCTTCTATCTGGAGACAGGTTATACCAATTTAAGCATAAGTGCTGTTCTGTATCAGAAGCAGGACAGTTTAAACAAGGTTATTGCATATGCTAGCAAGACTTTGTCATCTGTTGAAGTTAAATTCAACACGTGTGAGAAGGCGTTATTGTCGACTGTCTGGGCACTGCAAAATTTTCGTAGCTATATCCAAGGTGAGAAAATAATTGTAGAAACAGCTCACCAACCTCTACAGTATCTGCAGAGTGAAAGAATTAGAGACGGTAATCTCTCTAACAGTCGGATTACTGCATGGGCTCTATCCTTACAGGGATGGCCGTTAGAAGTCCGTTATAAACATAATAAGAGAAGCCCAGTTGCCCAAGGTTTAGCAGAATTACATGACTGTACTGCTCCATCTCTGGATGATAATGACACCGGAGATGACTTCCTAGAAGAGCAATTGCTATCTCCTTATAAAGTTTATGATGAGGAATACTGTCGACCACTACCGTGGGTATACATTGATGGTTGTTCATATCACCACGTAGCTGGTGCCGAACGGAAGTTAGTTGCAGGTATCGGAATTGCCTGGACAGGTGATTATCCTAATGTATCTATAGGATACAATATTGGTCCCAAAAGCAGTCAGATAGCCGAACTCTGTGCAGTATATAAGACCATTCAAATGGCAATAGAATATGGTATCAAAGAATTTGTTATTATAACTGATTCCAACTATGTTCGCAACAGTTTCGTCGAATATCTGCCTAGCTGGAAACGTAACCAAATGCTGAAAAGCAATAACAAACCTGTTAAACATGGGAAATTGTTTTGTAAAATCGATGAGTTGGTTAAGGAAAATGGTTTAACCATATATTGGAAGAAAACCAAAGGCCATTCTAAAATAGAAGGTATTGACAAGGATGGTAATGACTTAGCCGATTCACTGGCAAAACAAGCTGCCATCAATGGTGAAACCCTAAACATTGATGATCTTATGGGTTCAATTCATGTTGAAGCCATAACTAGACGACAGGCTAGAGATAATGCCGACTTAAATGTCGTGCAATGGAGTCAAGAAGCTCCTAGTGATGACCTGATTACTAGTCAAAAGAGTGATCCCGTCATAGGCATTTTCTATAAACATATAGAAGACCCTACTGCCAATCCCATCACAGATGAGGATTGCAAAAATAATGAAGATTTACGAATCTTGATGAGATATAAAGTCCAATTTAGTATCATGGATGGGTTACTGGTCAGAACTTCTAAACATGGTATACAACAATGGGTAGTCCCAACTGTATACAGAGGGTTAATGCTCCAACACGCACATGATGCACCTACATCTGGGCATCGTGGTGATAAGATCACATATGAGATATTGCGTGATTATGCATATTGGCCACACATGTTAAGGGATGTTAAGACATACTGTCAGGGATGCTTGATTTGTCCGCAATATCAACCCCATGGTCCAACCCATCGTGCACCACTTCAGAAGAGGGGGGTGTCATTACCCTGGTCTGATATTCAAATTGACTTTATAGGTCCTGTAACAAGATCTTCAAGAGGTAACAAATACATGTTAACCGTTACATGTATGTACACAAAGTGGATAGAATGTTTGCCTTGTAAAGAGAACACGAGTACCGTGTGCGCCACTTTGTTGATTAACCATGTCTTTTCCAGGTTCGGTCTGCCTCAAAGAATTGAGTCAGACAGAGGTAGTCATTTTACCAGCGAAGTAATGGCTAAGATGTGGAACATTCTAGGTGTTAAACGAAAGCTACATATTGCATACCGCGCTGCGTCTAGCGGGGGGGTAGAGCGATATAACCAGTCTATCGTTAATATTCTGAAGAAATATGTTAAGGAGTCTGGTAAAGACTGGGACATTAAATTGCCCCTAGTTTTAATGGCGATTAGAGCTACACCTAGCACTGCTACCAAATTGTCACCTTTTGAATTGATGACAGGAAGAAAGATGGTTTTACCACAGCATTTACTATATCGTACTTCGGATCATAACTTGATCAATGCTGCCACTACGCATCAGTATATCGAAGATTTGCGCAAGCATTTACAGCATGCGTTTGCTTTTGCCCAAAAGAATCTAGAAAAAGCAGCGACAGGGGTTAAGACCTATTACGATCTAAAAACCACGAAAAAGGAATATGAGATAACAGATCAAGTCTATCTGTATAACTTTGCGCGAAATCAAGTCAAGGAAAATAAATTTTTACCTTCTTGGAAAGGGCCATATGTCATTATTGACAAAATTTCCCCTGTAGCGTATAAGATAAAAATTCCTAAGGATGGTGATTTTATTGAAAAGTGGGTTCACATTAACCAGTTGCGTGCTTGTCATCCTAAATCTCAATTAAGGATTATAGGTGTGGATTCGGATGCAGAAGGGTGAACGACTAACCTGGATGAATGCTTGATTCACGTGGTATAGTATGATGTGAAATGTTGTGATGTGCCATGATCTCATGTACGTTCATGTCATTAACCATTTCCTTGCCATCCAATAACTACATTTTATAAGCAGGTTACTAGCTTGTTTAACTGCTATAGGCAAATTGCTGAAGAGTCAGTAATAAATGTAGTGAGGGATGAAGTTATAAAAATAGAATTAGACAGAATACATATGTTGATGAATCGTAATAATGTGTTGTCCTAGGCCAAGTGATGTCACACTGTTATAAGTTTGTATGCTTAACAAACCTTGAATCATTAGTAGATAAGTCTGAAACGAGTTCCTGATCCGTGACTGTCGAAAGATGTCCAAGAAGGATGTGACTTGTTTCTGGATCGTACTGCTCCTGTGCCAAGAGCTACGGACCGACCCGATCGCAGAGATGGGACCATCCTCCGGCATCCTGATTCAAGAGACACCAGGGTTCATCTTAACGGAGAAGAGGATCCTGACCAGACGTGTGTTCGTCAGCTTGGACCCCAAGATTTCCATCGAGAAGGCATACAACATTTCATCGATGCAGCTTCCTGAGTTACAGACTTGGTACCAGATGCACCTCCAAAGAGCACAGGACCGTGTGCGAAATATCTTGGAGCAAGCCCGGAAACCATTTGTATCCAGTTCTATTCCGATGAGCAACCGACCCAAAAGGTTCCTCACCGCTATAATTGTTGCATTAGTTTGTGCCACTGTCGGTGCAGTTGTCGCAACTGGAATGTCTGCAGCCAACTCTATTACTGTCCAAAAGCTGGATATGGAAATCTATGCGCTAAAGCAACACATTAACGATATTCATCAGGTGATAAACCAGCAAAGAACACTTCTCCAAGACGTGTTAACTATTGTGGAAGACACAGTTGTTACAACAAATTTGCATTCGGAGTTAATTGCCAAATCCACTGAGCTGCACCAAAGTCATGACTTATTTAAGCGTGAACTTTTATTTCTGCATGACCCAATATTGTTCCACACACTTGCTTTTCTCGACGAAGTGCAAACTGGAATGATCGAATTGGCAGGGGGACGCATACCTCTGTATTTTGTATCCAAGGATATTGTTCATGCGATGCTTGCCAATGTGGATGGAGAGACAATTGAGCCTATGCAATTAAATCTGGCCTTTGAGATGGGGAGCGCTATACCTCTCTTAATTGATCCGGAACGTATGGAGATTTGCTTTTTATTGACCATACCATATGTAACTCCCAAAGACATTTTTCAAATGAAAATAATGTACTATGTAATAATGATATTATGGTTGATTGTACTAAGTGTAAAGTTCAAAACTCTTACAGGTACAAATATATACAGAGGGGGGCGGGGCCGGGCCGCCGAGCCGACTGGACGCCATATGCATGGGCTCCAGCTCTAGGCTCGTGAAAAGGGCTCAAAAAGCCGACATAGACTGCTGCAATGCCAGAGCCGTCGATACCGCTACATGGAGAGGGTTACCAGCTTCAGCCCGATACCCCGCAGGAGGCACACCACGCACCGGGTGAGCAGAAACGGCCACCTTCGGCCTGCAAGCCGCCACAAGCCAGTCCTCGTGCACTCAGACACCGCGGAGAGACACTCTGCGGGAACAGGAAAAACCGCAGGAACTAAGCCTCTGGTCGTGGGATGATACCCCGGCTCGGGGCACGGCCCCGCTCCCCCCCCAGACCGGTGGGGGTTATCCCGGCATCATGGCGGCGGCCCGCACAGTGGCGGGAGATCCCGCGCTCGGCCTGTGCCGCCCGCCTACACTAGCAACGGCTGAAAAAGAAAAAAAAAACAGCCAGCTAGCAGATATGGAAGCTGCCAGGAACGCACCCTAATACAGAATAAAGGGGCGCAAGCAACCATTGGATGGGGCACTACAGCCCACACAAAGCCACAATTTGGAAGGCTGCTGATGAGGATCCTGCATAAAAGGCTTGAAAGGCCATTAATATCCCCCAGGGCGAGCGGCTAGAGCACCAACAAGGACACATACCATGTTGTGATACCGCGGACTCTTGCAGAGGTGGACCCACAGATGCCCACCCTCGGGTAACCGGGGTGCTGGTAGGGAACCGGTCGGACCCTTTGAACTTGGTGGTGATTCAGAGGATTTTGCCCCTGACTCAGTGAGCCCTGTGGGACCGGTAGACGTGGACCCTCCGGTGAACCGGTGGCCGGGGGGGCGCGCACTGGTACCAAGTATGTGACCGGAGCCAGGCGAGGCATGGACTGACTGGGACCCGGGGGTGGTTCCGGGGGAATCGGGGAGGTGCAGGGGACGGGTGGCAGGTGGATTCTACGTGGGGGGGATCTGCTAGACTGCCCACGCAACCGAGTGCCCACGGCGCCACGGATCTACCCACTGACGGACCGGAGTTTGCCCAGGGTGGAAGCAAAAGAGGGTCCCTCAGACACGGAGGTGCCCATGGGCCCCATATGGGGATGGCCCAACCTAACTTGACAACACCTAGGACTCATTTGGCCAAAAGCGTAGTCATTCCGAACAGCCCTGCTCCTGTATTGTTTCAGTCCTTATTAGTAATTTTTAGTTTATAAGCATATGTTACCCCGCATGTCAGAGCTTCAATAGACTAGGCGATGCTAACGCACTTAACATAAAGAGTTAGTATACATATTCCCTCTAGTTGAAACTGTGCAGGGTAGTACAAATTGATGAGCATCTGACCTAGCAGCAAGGGCACGATGATATGTTTCTAATTGCTACCAGAAGTTTTTCATGTTTCAATACTGCCTATTTACCTGCCTAATTACTGCATTGTATGTTACTAGGCCTAAGCAACCACACAAACCAACCAACCAACACGAAACACTTGCACAAATCAGCTAACACAAAGCATATGCACAAACCAGCCGGCACAGAGCAATTACACCGACTAGCTAACACGAAACAACTGCATAAACCAGCTAACACAAGCTAACTACCCAAACAGCTGACACAAACCAGCTAACACAAAGCACCTGCACAAACCTGCTAACACAAAACACTTGCACAAACCAGCAAACACAATGCACTTACACAAACCAGCCAACACAGGCTACACGTTAGCCAAGGTAATCAACTAACTGGCAAACCAAATGCAAATGAGACACGTGACACAACCTATATTGCAATTGTCCTTAGGACGATACAAGTGGCTTCTGCGAGCACATAAGCATCCAGAGGCTATCTGATACACTGCAGTAATTTGTTATATATCTTCTTATGTTTTTCCAAAATGAATGCATTGTTTACGCTTTATCCCCTGCGTGGGAAAACGACTTATTGTGTTGACCTCAATAAAAACAGATTTAAAACAAATATATACAGAAATGTTCATTCCACGCACGGGCCTATGTTAGAAATGATGTGATTGCACAATATGTCTGGTAACTTCTATAGTGCTTATTCATAAGCTAAATTAGTTTTGGCTATGAAATGCACTAAAGGGGGGTTATGTCAGAGTATTTATATCGGCAGACATTTTGTGCTATGATAGAAACTAAAAGTGTATATTCTGAGTCACTCTGAACAGACAGACTCCATTTTGTTATTTCAAGTTAACAAAGAGACACAGTATTTCTATCTGTAAGCTAACCACTTTCCCAGAGCTGAGGAATGCATAGTATATACAAGACAAGTGATAAGGAAGGGGGTTGGACAGACTGTCTAATGCTAATGGAATATAATCAAATCTAAACCCAGACAATTGTGACAGAGAAGATTAAATAATTTAATATTTAACTGTCTATATATATAAGGTACCATTGTATGGAAAAGGGTAAACTTAGTTCATGATCTGTCATATCAGAAATTATAGCAGATTTGCAGACACATAGTCTGGACAAAATTTAAGAACCCCTTTGATCTTTGAAGGATACGTAAGTTATAGCCACTATCTAGATAGGCCAAAATGACGTCAAAATAGCCACCAGGAAAAGTTAACTCTTTCCTGGATAGGTATGTTTAGTGGGACAAGACTGCCCTCTACAGACCAAATAACTAATTTGCGATCTGGAAGATAACCACACCTCTAGTGCTTCTATTGGGTTATCAACTGATGACGTACAGAGAGTCTGGCCCTTTAAAAGTTAAGACAAAGGGAAGATAGAGAAGAAACAAGACGAAGGAGGCAGATGCAAGATATGCAAAGGAGAGAAAAGAGAGGAATTGGAAGTTTGGGGACTCCAACCTCCATGCAGAGACACATCCAAATAAATTCCTGAGACTACCAATCGGATGAAATATCTACTCAACTGGTAATTATACTGGTTTCATTTAATTAAATTAAATTAATTAAAATGTATTAATAGCATTATATATGACTGGATAAAGCACGGTCAGATTTCCATATTAAGAAATCTTAGTTAACTAAGAATATATAGTTATAAATATTCCATTCTGCAGGTGGAATTAAGAATAATTATATATTGATGTGATATTATCACGTGTTAGCATACCGCTGTTTTTATCCAGGTGTATTGATTTGCTCTAAATTAAGATAGATATCTTTTAGACAAATTAAAAATCTGCTTATATAATATGTAGATTCTCTTATTGGATTGTTTTCAGGAAATGGCTAATGAACTGGTTTAAATGTTATTTTATTTAAAAATTACATAAGAATAGATCTTAACTACCTAGGAGATCTAGCCAGCATTGAAAGGGTTATTCTAACTGTCTGCTAAACTTTACGACCTTATGCTGCACTCTGAGGAATTCTGTTCTCTGTGTGAAAAGTTTCACTTTCAGCCTGTGTTAAGGATACCTCATAAATCGTAGAAGTCTTGACAGATAATGAGTTAATAGCCATTGAAACGTAATACCCATTCCTTTGTATTGCATACCATTTTATACTGAATATTCATTGATTATTGTCACGCATGTTATATAATATTATTATTATTAATTTGTCATTATAAATAAAAATCTATTTTTATACATTGTGATATTATTATATGAAATACATTCCACTTAACACGATAAACGTTCTTTGGGATCTGAGAATTGAATTAGTGGGCAATTCTCACTGTTACTATTATTATCCCATAAATATCCCCACACCCTTCAGCCAGCAGCAGCAAGCAAGCAACCCTCCTGGAAATTGAAGGTGTGCATCAGGATGTGTGTGTGTGTATACATAGTGTGTGCATTTCTGTGTCAAGGTGTGCATGTGTGTTTCAGTGTGCATGTATCTGTGTGTCAGGGTGTGCGTCTGTGTGTGTGTGTCAAGGTATGTGTCAGTGTGTATATGAATTTGTGTGTGTGTCAGTGTGTTTATATATATATATATATATATATATATATATGTATCTGTGTGATAATGTGTTTGTATGCACAAACAGTACATGCAAACACACCCCTGCATTCAAACTCCACAATTATATACTTCTATCAGGATTATATTGATTTAGCATGCAGAATAGTATCACACCCTAGAACTAAGGATAACGTCTTATCGGGCCTTAGAATGGCCGGAATTAACGTACCCGAGAATAGTCAGAAAACTAGCTGAGGTCAGGGACACAGAACAAGACACAGCAATAAGGAAAAACCATAAGTCAAGGGAACCAGAAACCAGGGAAGTCAAAACTAAGCCAAAGTCGAAAAACACAATCAGGTACAAACTCTCTGATAATCATCTAAGGGAAACTACGGCAGGGCAATGAACTAAGGAATATGTGAGTTTAAATAACCCTCTTGCAGATCCGATTGGCTGTACCTAGCCCTTGACCCCAAAACGTGCGTGTGCGTCTTTTGCATTACGTCACCCGCATGTCGGCATCGTCTATACGGTGGACGGACGTGGGGCTATATAATTGCATGGGTCCGCAGCTAGGCATCATGGCAGAAGACAGACGAGTGGCACCTCCTCAATCTTTGGACGGTAATTATATCTATTTTGCCACATGGATACTAAGGATATGTGACAGCTTCACTGAAACAACAAAGATACACACAAATGTACATCCACATTTAAAAGCCAACATTGCATCCACACACCCCTGCAATCAAACACAAACATTACATACAAAGACACCCCTGTATTAAAACACTAAAATTATATTCAAGCACCCCTTCAATCAAATATCAACACTACACACAAAAGAACACCTACTTTTAAAAGCCAACACTACATATATACACACCCCTGCATTTAAACACATACACTACACAGAAGTAAACCACTGCATTCCAATGGCTGGAGTACATACAAATACACCCCTACATGCACACATATACTCTATACAAAAACATGCTTTCATTCAAACTCACAAACATTGCTCACAAATGCAACTCTGTAAGGATGGGCAAATGGTAGATCACCAGCTGGTATAGCAGATGGGGGATCTACCTTTTGGACACTTGTTCTAGAAGGGGGCTCGAAAAACTTTCTTGCACCAAGGCCCTCTCCACCTTAGTTCCGCCACTGGTCAATACAGTGTTAAACACAGATTTTCACACTCCAAACAACCCATAAATAATTTGTATTTACTATTCACTGACTTCAGGTAAAAGAGATTTTCAATCTCCATAGCTATTGGTTTATCCATGTCTTTTTATATATATATAAAAACACATTTGAAAGATTCTATATTTAGATATGCAAACACAGGCAGTGCATGTAATATGATTGAAGAAATCCCATGTGTGCGCGTCACACTGTTCTTTTATAACCATATTATTATACAGAGGAATTCTACAAATGTGACCTCTATAAAACAGACGACAGCGGGCAGGAACTGACACTGAGGTATGTGACAGATCTCTATGTAAAGCTTGTACGTGCTTATGATCACCAATGTAAAATGTATATATAATAAATGCTCAGCCTGCATAATATCCTGCATATAGAACACATATCTCTCTGTGTTTATAAACCTTTTTAAATGCTGTTGAGAAAAAAAAAAAAAACATGTTTGGTCAATTTGCTGTTCTCTGGCCATCGTTGGTTTTTGAAGTGTCACTCAAACCACCATAACAATGTCCCAATATTGTAAAGTTTATGATAAAGTATCTTGCATCCACTTTAAGTACCGAGAGTCTTTTATAGTTGCGTCAGTTTGTAAAAATTGCTGCAACTATAAGACAGACACCCACTTCCTGAGTTGTCAGTCATGAGGCCAGAAATTTATATCAATTATGTACAACTTGTGTGTGCAGCGTGCATGCACCACACTCACAAGTAGAAAAGGTCTAGTACTCAAAACTGTGACCCTTGGTTATGTGTAAACTTATAGCATACCTCCCAGCAGTCTCAAATCCTGTGAATTTTCAAGTCCTGTCCTGCCATACAAAGGTTGGTTTCAGTGGTGGAACCAGTGGTGTTTCCTGGTTTTGTGCTGCCCTAGGCAGGACAAAACTCAGGCAACCAGCCTTTCAGCCCGCCCAGCATGTCAGTTAGCCGCAAGGCTACCAAGACATTTGCCCTGGGCATTTGGGGGCGGGTTTTTTTGCCGCCCCCTGGAAAATGCCGCCCAAGGCAAATGCCTTGTTTGCCTCGCGGCTAAAACGTCCCTGGGTGTAACTATAGCTTCACCAGGGCCAGCAAGCTGGATGGCCTTCACATGATGATATTCTCTGATTGGGGGCCTGTTTGGGCATCTCTGCCCTTTAAAAGCGCAAGGGACTGGGCACCTGATCAATTTGCAGTTCGGTGCTGGGAGGAAGTGAGGTCACTTCCGTCCAGTGTGCACAGTGCCGCGCAGGAGGCAGAGAGAGGAGGAGGACGTGGAAAGAAACATAATATTGTGGACAAACAGTCAAAGCTACCTTAACCCCTTAAGACTGCAGCCAAATGTACAAGTTGTGATCAAAACAAAACGTAAACAAAACCTGGCATTTGCGCTATACGTCTTTTCAACCGTAATTCACCTCTTTCATATTAAATGCACCCACACTTATTATATATCATTTTATTCAGGGGAAACAGGGCTTTCATTTAACATCAAATATTTAGGTATGGAACATAATTTAATATGAATAAAATATAAAAAAATGGGAGAAAATACTATTTTTTTAAATTTTCTTAGTTCTACCTGACATTTTAACTGTGAATGTCAAAATACTGTTTGCTTTTACTGCAATAAAATACACATATTTGTATTCAGCGATATCTCACGTGTAAAATAGTACCCTCTATGTACAGGTTTTATGGTGTTTTGGGAAGTTACAGGGTCAAATATAGCGTGTTACGTTTTCATTTTTTTCACATTGATATTCGCCAGATTGGTTACGTTGCCTTTGAGACCATATGGTAGCCCAGGAATAAGAATTATCCCCATGATGGCATACCATTTGCAAACGTAGACAACCCAAGGTATTGCAAATGAGGTATGTCCAGTCTTTTTTAGTAGCCACTGGGTCACAAACACTGGCTAAAGTTAGTGTTAATATTTGAAAATGTAAAAAACTAATTTGAACGCCAATTTTGACCAGTGTTTGTGACTAAGTGGCTAGTAAAAAAGACTGAACATACCCCATTTGCAATACCGTGGGTAGTCTACTTTTGCAAATGGTATGTCATCATGGTGTAATTTTCATTACACTCGGTGCCTGAGCCTGTCTCCACAACACCCCTACACTTGGTGCCTGAGCCTGTCTCTGCAACACCACTACACTCGGTGCCAGGGCTGGATTAACATAGGTGCTGATGGAGCTGCAGCTCAAGGCCCAGGCCCATGGAATAGGCCCATTAACCCCTTAAGGACACAGCTTCAGAAGCTTGACTTACGCTTAATGACACAAGCAATTTTTGCATTTTCTTGCTGTTTGCGTTCAACTGCAATTTGCATCTCTCTCATTTATTGCACCGACACATATTATATACTGTTTTTTAAAGGACAGAAAGGGCTTTAATTTGATATAACATATATATATATAAATGCTTACTTATTATAAAAAAAATACAGAAAAATGCAAAAAAAATGAAAAATATTGTTTTTTTTTACAGTTTTTGCAATAATAATGTGTGCATAATTAGTGCAGGTTAAGGAAAGTAATTAAAAATAAATTTATTTATTTGTTCTGATTTACAGAATATATAATGTGTCTGGGATTTTAAGTTTTTTTTGGTAGTTACAGGTCACAAAGCACAAGGAGTAAAATAAAATTTTAATGTGGAGCGATTTTAGAATTTGGTATGTTTGTCTTGTAAGCTTAATAGCCATAAAAGAAAACAAAATTGCCACACAAAAGTATATATTTATATAAAGTAGACATCACGGGCTATTTACCTAAGGTTGTTTTGACACTTTCTACGTAGCCATTTCACCGCCAACCTCTGCTAAATATTGGAGTAAAATTGTGTTCTTTTTGGTTTTTGGCACACAAACTTATAACAGAGAAATTCTCGTGTATATTTTGTAAAGTTGGTGCGTGCTATTCCTGTACAAAGTTTTATTTTGTGTTCAGTTACATCTGCTGAGTAAAATGACACCCCCATTGTATGTCTTTTGCACTATTTCGTGAAGTTACAGTCAGGGCCGGCGCTACCATTAAGGCGAATAAGGCATTCGCCTAGGGCGCCGGCCTCTAGGGGGCGCCCACCGAGAGGTTTCCCGGTGGGCTGCCCTGCTGTAGCTGTCCGGGGATGCTGTGCTGGACGAGCGTCTCTTTAGCCACCCCCCAGCGCAGCCACTCACCTGCTGGGCTCCCTCTGCAGCAGATTACCTGCTTGGGCAGTGGGGTTTGCTGTAACCCGAGCAGAGCACTGTGCTTCCTGCAGGCAGGGGGAGCCTGTGAACACCGGAAGCACTGTGAAGGGAGCAGGAAGCAGGCTGTGCTCAAAGTGCATGGCTCTCCTGCTCCCCCAGGAGAAAGAGCAAGATCCTGGATCCTACAGCCTGGACCTCTGCTCAGCATAGCACCCAGGTATGGCATGGTTAAGGGGGATTGCTTATTGTGTGCATGTTTGTAAATGGGGGAGTGTGTTAAATTGGTGTGTTTGTGTGTGTAAATAAAGTGTGACCTTATGTAAAGTTTGTGTTTGAGTGACAGTGTGTGTGTTAGGGAGAGTGTGCAAGTGACTCTCTGTGTGTGTGTGTGTGTGTGTGTGTGATAGTGAGAATGTGCAAGTGACTCTGGGTGTGTGTGTTAGGGAGAGTGTGCAAGTGACACTGTTAGTGAGTATGTGTTAGGGAGAGAGTGCAAGTGACAGTTACTGAGAGTGTGCAAGTGACACTGTTAGTGAGCATGTGTGACACTGTGTGGTGTTAGAGTGTGTAACTGACAATGTCTATGCCAGTGAGAGTGTGTAAGTTAGAGTGTGTGTGTATAAGTGAGAGTATGTAGGTGACACTGTGTGTGTTAGTGAGAGTGTGTAAGTGACACTGTGTATGTTAGTGAGAGTGTGCAAGTGACAATGTGTAGGTCAGTGAGAATGTGTATGTGTTAGTGTGTAAGTTAGAGTTAGAATGTGTAAGTGTGTATGCCAGTGAGAGAGTGTGTGTATTAGTGAGATTGTGTAAGTGACACTGCAAAGGTAATTATTGCAATTTTTAAGAAACTTCAATAATTACCATTCAGGGTTAACTCCTCTAGTGGCTATGCATGGGGACGTCCAGTCACGGAAATACCACTGTGAGCGCGGCCATTAAGGAGCTAAGGCGGACCCAAGCCAGCACAAAAGACATTGGTGCTGGACCCAGGTAAGTGACAGAAGGTGTTTTAACCCCTGCTGCACCACGAGGGGGGATGCGCTTGACGGAGGGGGAAGCTATAGTGCCAGGATAACAAGTTTGTTTTCCTGGCACTATAGTTTCCCTTTAATATCTACTCAGTGCGCATCTTTCCCTAAATGTCTCTTTAGTGTAATTCAGAGTTTAGTGAATAAACTTCTGAAGGAATGTAGTTGCATTCATAAGGGGGCGTCAAAATGTATTCTTGCCTAGGGCAGCAAGAATCCTTGCACCGGCCCTGGTTACAGTGCCATACAGGATACCTGACCTTTTCAGTATTCACAGTAGAATTTTGAGAGATGAATTTAATGAGCCTTAGCTTCCATTTGGGGTATTATAACAGTTTGACTGTTCAAAAAACCCCCACAAAGGCCTACCATTTGTAAAAGTAGACACTCCAGGGTATCTTATAAGGTGCATATTGTGCCTTAACATGCCCCCATTTTTTCACCAATATATGCCAAAGTATGTGGTAAAAAAAAATTTTGTGCATTTTTTACATACGGATTGCATTTTTGCTGGGCGTTTTGTATATTTCATATGTGCCACTAAGTTCAAACCCCCCAAATTATGCTCAGCTAAGTCTTCTGAGTAAAATGACACCCCATATGAATGTCTTTGGCACTATTTCGTGAAGCTACAGTGCCATATAGGAGACCTGTCCTTTACAGTATTCACAGTAGAATTTTGAGAGACGGATTTAATGAGCCTTAGCTTCCATTTGGGGTATTATAACAGTTTGACTGTTCAAAAACCCCCACAAAGGCCTACCATTTGTAAAAGTAGACACTCCAGGGTATCTCATAAGGTGCATATTGTGCCTTAACATACCCCCATTTTTTCACCAATATATGCCAAAGTATGTGGTAAAAAAATTATTTTGTGCATTTTTTACATACGGATTGCATTTTTGCTGGGCGTTTTGTATATTTCATATGTGCCACTAAGTTCAAACCTCCCAAATTATGCTCAGCTAAGTCTTTTGAGTAAAAATACACCCCCAATGAATGTCTTTGTCACTATTTTGTGAAGCTACAGTGCCATATAGGAGACCAAGCCATATCCGTTTTTACCAAACTTTGAATTTTGACGCTGGGCCTATATGCAATTTCCAAGCATCTTCGCAGGTTTTAAATTCAATCTACCCCACAAAGGCCTACCATTTCTTAAAGTAGACACCCCAGGGTGTTTCAAAAGGTATAGTTTGAACCTTAGCGTGGGATCATTTTTCCGCTAGCTTGTACCAGATGTAGTGGTAATAAGCATTTTTTCTGCCTTTTTGACATACAAAGTGAGTTTGCGCAGCATATTTTGCAAACCTTATGTGTACTATGACTGTATAATACTTCATATGTTGCTCAGCTATGTCGGCTGAGTACAGCAATACCCCCGTATGTACCTTTGCCAGGTATATGTGGATGTTGAAGGGGCGCATTTGAGACGCAGCCATTCAGTTTTTTTCTAACTTTGAAGTTTTACGCTGTGTCCATGTTCCAATTTGGAATAGTTTAGACGGTTGGTTATTGAAACTTCCCCACAAACACATACTATTTATTAAAGAATACACCCTGGGGTAATTCAAAAGGTATATTTTGAACCTTGGCGTGGGATAATTTTTTCTCTAGTTTGTTCCAGGTGTAGTGGTAATGAGCGTTTTTAAAATGTATTTTTTTACTTTTTATAACTTTTTTACTTTTAAAAACTAGTTTTTAAACTTTTGTTTTGCTTATAAATTTTTTTTAAACTTTCCTAAACTTTCTTAAAACTTTTTTACAGATTTAACATTTTTCTAAGCTTTTTTTTTTACCGTTAACCCCTAACTAGCAGTACGCAGCACTAACAGTAAATTCCCCATTTTCCCATAACTCCCACCCACCCCAGCTAGCAAAATATATAGTTATAAAATATTTAAATTAATTAATTAAATAAATTGAACCCCTGAGGGTTAAAAAAATAAATAAAAGTTAATCCTCAGGGGTTAAAAAAAATTAGATCACAGTATAATACTGTGATCTCTATTTGATCGCTGTATGCAGTGATCGACTGGCAGGGAAGGGGTTAATTTTTATTTGGACTAGGTAAAGTGTGTTTTTTTGTTTTTATTACTTAAATGTTATTAAAACATTTTTTAAGCTTAATTTTTAACTTTTTAAAGTTTCTTTTAAAACTTTTTTTTAACGTTAACCCCTAGTTAGCCTAACGCCAAATCCCCCAATTCCCCACTAACTTCCACCTACCCCAGCTATCTAAATATATAATTTAAAAATAATTTAATTAATTAATTTAATTAATTTAACCCCTGAGGGTTAAAAAAAAAAGAATTAACCCTCAGGGGTTAAAAAAAAAAATCAGATCATAGTAAAATGTAATCCCTGCCAATTGATCACTGTAGTCAGTGATCAATTGGCAGGGAAGGGGTTAATTTTTTATTAAAATGGGTAAGGGGGGGGGACACTTTAAATTAACTTTATTTTTTTTTACAGCAGGGGGCAGGATCAGCACTGATCCGGCTCCCTGCACTTCACACAGAACCCGGAAGTGCAGGGAGCCGGTAGGTAAGTATCAGAGCACATGTGCTCGCCTGCACGGGTGCTCCCGGTATGCCTCCAATGCAGAGGCATACCGGGAGCACCATTAACCCCGCGATCGCCGCGATAGCGGCGATCCGGGGTTAATTTTACCGCGTGACGGACGAGGTCCGTCACCCGTCGTTAAGGGTCTCCCCTGTGTGACGGACCTCGTCCGTCACCCGTCCTGAAGGGGTTAAAAAAGGGCATTTGAGGCTGCCTGGCCGTGACGGTATTGCAGTAATACCAGCAATACAAATGCATATATTTTTCTCTGTAAAAACAGAGATTACTCTGCAATACCACCACTGGCCAGTAGGGGTCACTGTGTATGGAGAGAGGAAGGGATAGGAAATTCCAGCATCCACCTGCCTCTCTCTACTCACTGATCCGCGGGGGAGCAGCAACACAGCACAGAGAGTCCAGACAGCAGCTCCCAGCCTGCAGAGACAGACTACAGCTCAGGTATGTGAAGGAGGGGGAGAAAGGCTGCGGGGAGACATGGGGACACGGAGACACCTGGGGACACTGAGACACTAGGGGACACTGGAAGACACTGTCAAACATGGGGACACTGAGACACATGGGGAAACGGAGACACTAGGGACACAGTATCCTATGTCTCCCAGACAGTGTCCCAGTGTGTGTCCCCATGTCTCTGTGTCCACATGTCTATCAGCCAGTGTCTTAGTGTCCCCATGTCTCCCAGTATCTGTGTCCCCATGTCTCCCAGTGTCACCAAATGTCTCAGTGTCCCCATGTCTATGTCCACAAGTGCTCCCATGTCTCCCCGTGCCTCCCAGCCAGTGTCCCTAGTGTCTCTGTCCCCTAGTCTCCCAGTGTCTGTGTTTCCATGTCTCTTAGTTTCACCAAATGTCTGTGTCCCCATGTCTCTAGTGTCTGTGTCCCCATATATCAGTGTCCCTAGTGTCTGACTCCATTTCTCCCAGTGTCCCCAAGTGTCTCAGTGCCCCCATGTGTCTCACTGTCCCCATGTCTCACTGTGTCCCCTAGTATCCTAGTGACACAGGACACACTGAGACATGGGGACACTGGGAGAAATGGGGACACAGACACTGAGAGACTAGGAGACTGGGCGACATAGGGACACTGACACTGTGATATATATGGACACTGATGCCAGGCTGGCCTTCCAATTCTTTGGACAGACATGCCCCCTTCTGGTCACATGATTCGCGTCAGTGGCCCACCCTTTCACCCCGCCCATTGACTTCCTGCTTCCCTGGACACTGCTGTTAGGGGGTATGGATTTACGTGAAAGATTAAAGCATGAATTAGAGAGAGATTAGCATAGAGTATGTGTTTTCTTATAGCTGCATCCTTTGAGTTTCCCACCAACACCATCAGATACATGACGCTTGAGAGGTATGACTGTTTTAGTGGTTTTGGTCGATAAGATTCTGTAATTAGGCCCCATCGTAATTGTCAGCACCAGGCCCACTGGGCTCTTAATCTGGCCCTGTTTGGTGCCTGAGCCTGTCTCCACAACACCACTACACTCGGTGCCTGAGCTTGTCTCTACAACACCACTACACTTGGTGCCTGAGCCTGTCTCCACAACACCACTACACTCAGTATCTTAACTAATTTCATTGTCAGCCAGCCCACACCATTTTTGTTCCCCTACATACCTCTTAAGTTAAGAGTAGTAAAAAAAAATAAAAAATGTTTTGTTGTTGTTAAAGGACCACTATAGTGCCAGGAAAACATACTCGTTTTCCTGGCACTATAGTGCCCTGAGGGTGCCCCCACCCTCAGGGTCCACCTCCCGCCTGGCTCTGGAAAGGGGAAAAGGGGTTAAACTTACCTTTTTCCAGCGCTGGGCGGAGAGCTCTCTGCCTCCTCTCCTCCTCCGATCCGCCCCGTCGGATGAATGCGCACGCGCGGCAAGAGCTGCGTGCGCATTCAGCCAGTCACATAGGAAAGCATTCATAATGCTTTCCTATGGACGCTGGCGTGCTCTAACTGTGAAAATCACAGTGAGAAACATGCAAGCGCCTCTAGTGGCTGTCAATGAGACAGCCGCTAGAGGGAATGGGGGAAGGCTTAACCCATTGATAAACATAGCAGTTTCTCTGAAACTGCTATGTTTATGAAAAAATTGGTTAATCCTAGCTGGACCTGGCACCCAGACCACTTCATTAAGCTGAAGTGGTCTGGGTGCCTAGAGTGGTCCTTTAATCAATGGGCCTATTCTATAGGCATGGGCCTGGAGCTGCTGCTCCATAGCCCCTATGTTAATCTGGCCCTGCAAGGGGGCCCTAAATATGTGCTTGCACCAGTGCCCTCTCTGCATTAGAGCCAGTTCCCTGGTGTCTTGCATCTGTTGACTCCAAGGAATTGTCCACACCAGCTGCAACATGTGTATTAGACAAGTAGCACTCTGTACATGTTTTGCCCTGTATGGTGAAAAAAAATAAGTTTATGCAAATTGATTATTCTGAAACAAAGTTTTGGGTGACATGGTTTTGTCCATGTGGCAATTTAGTCAAATGTGATTGTTCGGGGAAAAATAATTCAGACATGCCAAAATGGCATGAAAATGCACCTATTAGTGTACTGCAAAATATATATGTCTATTGCTGTGTTTTGTGATTCATCCATATGGTGATTCAATTAGGGATTTTGGATTAATCTCTGTCCAAAATTAAAGAAACACTATAGGGTCAGGAATACAAACACATATATTCCTAACCCTATAGTGTTAAAAACACCATTTAAGTGGCCGTCTCCCCTTTTGCTTCCCTTTAAAAAGGGGGTTAAAACTCACTTTATTCCAGCTAAGATCATCAGAATTGACAATCCTGTGCTTTCCAATAAGAAAGCATTGGGAGGCTAATGCACACGCACGTCAAAACACCGCTCTGCGCCAATCAGTATCCCCTCATAAAGATGCATTGAATCCATGCATCTGTATGAGGGACACTCAGCGCCCATGCTGAGCGTGGAGATACTGTACGACCATACTGCGCATTGTGCAGCACTAACCCAGGAAGCACCTCTAGTGCCCTTTTGAATGACTGCCACTGGAGGTGTTACTAGGCAGTAATGTAAACTCTGCCTTTTCTATGAAAAGGCTGTGTTTACATTAAAATGGCTGCAGGGACATACTATAGACAACACAACAACTACTTTAAGCTATAGTTGTCATGGTGACTATAGAGTACCTTTAAGATGAATCGCAATTTGTTTGAAACCTAATGCACAAGTCTTGTTTCCTCTAAGTAGGGCCAGTCAGGGAAGACTGACAGTCAGTTCACTTTGTGATGAATATAGTTTTTATACAAACTATACCATGCCATACCTTTGTCTCCTCATATATTTCTTAGAGAGTCAAATGAAAGTATTTACAATGACTTAATAACTGGAGAAATCTGTGAACAGCAAACCTAAAGCAGCCTTATCACTGCTGAAACTTTCCATACAGATAGAATCTTAAAGGACCACTATAGTGCCAGGAAAACATACTCATTTTCCTGGCACTATAGTGCCCTGAGGGTGCCCCTACCCTCAGTGTCCCCCTCCCGCCAGGCTGGATGCAGAGGAAGGGGTTAACTACTCCTCTCCGCCTCCTTGGCTGAGTGCGCACTCAGCCAGTCCATAGGAAAGCATTCACTATAGACGCTGGCGTCTTCTCACTGTGAAAATCACAGTGAGGAGCGCGGAAGCCCTCTAGCAGCTGTCAACGAGACACTAGAGGCTGGATTAACCCATTTATAAACATAGCAGTTTCTCTGAAGCTGCTATGGTTATAGAAAAAAAGGGTTAAACCTAGCTGGACCTGGCACCCAGACCACTTCATTAAGCTGTGGTCTGGGTGCCTATAGTGGTCCTTTAAAGCGGCCACTGCCATATCATCCATGGACTCCTCTTCCATCTGCCAGGCGTCCACGTCAGTGCTGTACTCTCGTGCATGCATTAGGATACAAAACATTCCAGACCCCTAAAGCTTGCTAAAAAAAAAAAAGCTTTATGTGTGAAGACTGTGTCTTATTTTTTTTTTTAGAAATAGTGGAGATTTTAATCGAAATTTAAACTTTTATTTATTAACCTGGATACAACCCCTGGCTCTCAAGCAGACAACAGATCCAATTACTTCCTCGTTGGTTAGCTCAGTGGAGGCAGCAAGACCATCTGCCTTACAAAGACTTCTCATTGAGTTGCATTGGTAAGTCTGTGATTGGACAGGCACAGAAAGTCTGGGCGGAGTTAGAAGGGGAGGGCACGCAAAGGCAACAGAAAAGAGATCTGCCGTTTTTACAAGCTGTTTTTAAATATAACTCCAGTAAAACATGCAAAATTTAAATTATTTGAGCTCTATCTATTAACCCCTTCAGGACGGGTGACGGACGAGGTCCGTCACGCAGGGGAGACCCTTAACGACGGGTGACGGACCTCGTCCGTCACGCGGTAAAATTAACCCTGGATCGCCGCTATCGCGGCGATCGCGGGGTTAATGGTGCTCCCGGTATGCCTCTGCATTAGAGGCATACCGGGAGCACCCGGTCAAGCTGCCCAGCACATGTGCTCGCTCTGACCACAAGTCGGAGCGAGCACATGTGCTCTGTATACTCACCTACCGGCTCCCTGCACTTCCGGGTTCTGTGTGAAGTGCAGGGAGCCGGATCAGTGCTGATCCTGCCCCCTGCTGTTAAAAAAAATAAAGTTTATTTAAAGTGTCCCCCCCCTTACCCATTTTAATAAAAAAATTAACCCCTTCCCTGCCAATTGATCACTGACTACAGTGATCAATTGGCAGGGATTACATTTTACTATGATCTGATTTTTTTTTTTTAACCCCTGAGGGTTAATTCTTTTTTTTTTAACCCTCAGGGGTTAAATTAATTAAATTAATTAATTAAATTATTTTTAAATTATATATTTAGATAGCTGGGGTAGGTGGAAGTTAGTGGGGAATTGGGGGATTTGACGTTAGGCTAACTAGGGGTTAACGTTAAAAAAAGTTTTAAAAGAAACTTTAAAAAGTTAAAAATTAAGCTTAAAAAATGTTTTAATAACATTTAAGTAATAAAAACAAAAAAACACACTTTACCTAGTCCAAATAAAAATTAACCCCTTCCCTGCCAGTCGATCACTGCCTACAGCGATCAAATAGAGATCACAGTATTATACTGTGATCTAATTTTTTTTAACCCCTGAGGATTAACTTTTATTTATTTTTTAACCCTCAGGGGTTCAATTTATTTAATTAATTAATTTAAATATTTTATAACTATATATTTTGCTAGCTGGGGTGGGTGGGAGTTATGGGAAAATGGGGAATTTACTGTTAGTGCTGCGTACTGCTAGTTAGGGGTTAACAGTAAAAAAAATAGCTTAGAAAAATGTTAAATCTGTAAAAAAGTTTTAAGAAAGTTTAGGAAAGTTTAAAAAAAATTTATAAGCAAAACAAAAGTTTAAAAACTAGTTTTTAAAAGTAAAAAAGTTATAAAAAGTAAAAAAATACATTTTAAAAACGCTCATTACCACTACACCTGGAACAAACTAGAGAAAAAAGTATCCCACGCCAAGGTTCAAAATATGCCTTTTGAATTACCCCAGGGTGTATTCTTTAATAAATAGTATGTATTTGTGGGGAAGTTTCAATAACCAACCGTCTAAACTATTCCAAATTGGAACATGGACACAGCGTAAAACTTCAAAGTTTCAAAATGGCTGCGTCTCAAATGCGCCCCTTCAACATCCACATATACCTGGCAAAGGTACATACGGGGGTATTGCTGTACTCAGCCGACATAGCTGAGCAACATATGAAGTATTATACAGTCATAGTACACATAAGGTTTGCAAAATATGCTGCGCAAACTCACTTTGTATGTCAAAAAGGCAGAAAAAATGCTTATTACCACTACACTTGGTACAAGCTAGCGGAAAAATGATCCCACACTAAGGTTCAAAATATGCCTTTTGAAATACCCTGGGATGTCTTCTTTAAGAAATGGTATGGCTTTATGGGGAATTTGGATTATATAGCCTGGTAAAATACTCTAAAATGGGACATAGGCACAGCATAAAAATTCAAAGTTTGAAAAAAACTGGAATGGCTGTGTCCCAAATGTGCCCCTCTGATGTCCACACATACCTGGCAAAGGTACATACGGGGGTATTGCTGTACTCAACCGACATAGCTGAGCAACATATGAAGTATTATACAGTCGTAGCACACATAAGGTTTGCAAAATATACTGTGCAAACTCACTTTGTATGTCAAAAAGGCAGAAAAAACGCTTATTACCACTACATCTGGTACAAGCTAGCGGAAAAATGATCCCACGCTAAGGTTCAAACTATACCTTTTGAAACACCCTGGGGTGTCTACTTTAAGAAATGGTAGGCCTTTGTGGGGTAGTTTGAATTTAAAACCTGCGAAGATGCTTGGAAATTGCACATAGGCCAGCGTCAAAATTCAAAGTTTGGTAAAAACGGATATGGCTTGGTCTCCTATATGGCACTGTAGCTTCACAAAATAGTGACAAAGACATTCATTGGGGGTGTATTTTTACTCCAAAGACTTAGCTGAGCATAATTTGGGAGGTTTGAACTTAGTGGCACATATGAAATATACAAAACGCCCAGCAAAAATGCAATCCGTATGTAAAAAATGCACAAAATAATTTTTTTACCACATACTTTGGCATATATTGGTGAAAAAATGGGGGTATGTCAAGGCACAATATGCACCTTATGAGATACCCTGGAGTGTCTACTTTTACAAATGGTAGGCCTTTGTGGGGTTTTTTTGAACAGTCAAACTGTTATAATACCCCAAATGGAAGCTAAGGCTCATTAAATCCGTCTCTCAAAATTCTACTGTGAATACTGAAAAGGACAGGTCTCCTATATGGCACTGTAGCTTCACGAAATAGTGCCAAAGACATTCATATGGGGTGTCATTTTACTCAGAAGACTTAGCTGAGCATAATTTGGGGGTTTGAACTTAGTGGCACATATGAAATATACAAAACGCCCAGCAAAAATGCAATCCGTATGTAAAAAATGCACAAAATTTTTTTTTACCACATACTTTGGCATATATTGGTGAAAAAATGGGGGCATGTTAAGGCACAATATGCACCTTATAAGATACCCTGGAGTGTCTACTTTTACAAATGGTAGGCCTTTGTGGGGTTTTTTGAACAGTCAAACTGTTATAATACCCCAAATGGAAGCTAAGGCTCATTAAATTCATCTCTCAACATTCTACTGTGAATACTGAAAAAGACAGGTATCCTGTATGGCACTGTAACTTCACGAAATAGTGCAAAAGACATACAATGGGGGTGTCATTTTACTCAGCAGATGTAACTGAACACAAAATAAAACTTTGTACAGGAATAGCACACACCAACTTTACAAAATATACACAAGAATTTCTTTGTTATAAGTTTGTGTGCCAAAAACCAAAAAGAACACAATTTTACTCCAATATTTAGCAGAGGTTGGCGGTAATATGGCTACGTAGAAAGTGTCAAAACAACCTTAGGTAAATAGCCCGTGATGTCTACTTTATATAAATATATACTTTTGTGTGGCAATTTTGTTTTCTTTTATGGCTATTAAGCTTACAAGACAAACATACCAAATTCTAAAATCGCTCCACATTAAAAATTTATTTTACTCCTTGTGCTTTGTGACCTGTAACTACCAAAAAAAACTTAAAATCCCAGACACATTATATATTCTGTAAATCAGAACAAATAAATAAATTTATTTTTAATTACTTTCCTTAACCTGCACTAATTATGCACACATTATTATTGCAAAAACTGTAAAAAAAAACAATATTTTTCATTTTTTTTGCATTTTTCTGTATTTTTTTTTTATAATAAGTAAGCATTTATATATATATATATATATGTTATATCAAATTAAAGCCCTTTCTGTCCTTTAAAAAACAGTATATAATATGTGTCGGTGCAATAAATGAGAGAGATGCAAATTGCAGTTGAACGCAAACAGCAAGAAAATGCAAAAATTGCTTGTGTCATTAAGCGTAAGTCAAGCTTCTGAAGCTGTGTCCTTAAGGGGTTAAACAGTGATTTTTTTATTTATTTTGTATTTGGGCAGTGGAGTGTCTCTTTAAATGTTATCTACCCTCTGAGAGGATTCTATGATTTTTTTTTTTTATTTCCTTCTCATTTTCGCGCGCTCTATAGCCACGCCTTTTACTTTAAATTCCCGCCCCCCTACGTCACTCAGCTCCTGGGGTACGTGCGCATTGACACAGGACTCATGGCAAAACATTTCTCACCACAGGCTCCGACTCTACCACTGATCGCTTGGGGGGGTACAACTTTCCTATTTACACTCATTACCCGCCCTGCACTCCTACACGTTCTAGATTAACCGATATAATTGACGCATCTGTTAAAATAATCTCTGCTTGTAAATTGTGTTTGAAAGAGCCGATATGTGACTTTTACTATATTGGAAGTTAATAAGATGTCTCCTGCGGTGTGGGTGACACTTGGTATGATCTGTAAAGTAAGACGTGCAGAAATGAACGCGCCGCACCCCAACCATCAGAGTGGGCGTGGCGTTTGTGGGTGTCAAACGCCCAGTCGTGATTTGATTGGAGAGTTACTTCCTGGAGGCGGGAACGTTCTGCTGGAAGGCACGTTTTGATTGGTTTCCAAGGTGGAGAGTCAAAAGGGCGGATGAAGTTGCTCGGGGTGGCAGGTGTTGTGGGCAGGGCTGCTCCAGCTGCAACTTACAGTCTTTTTAATACAGTCTGTTTTATTTGGAAACTTTCTGGTTTAATGCAATGCAGTATAAAACTACTGAATTATTTCAAGGGATCAATCAAATGCATACTGACCAGGAGGTGAGTGATTCAATGTATCTAAAGATTTATTACATAGAAAGAGTAGCAAGTCAGAATGTGTATGTGTTCTATGGGTGCATGCAAAAAAATTAATAATATATACATATGTATTTATTTGAGATATTGTGATTTTAGAACACTTCAATCAATATATAATGTGTCTTTATGTATGGGAGTGGGGAAATAATATACATATTTTATATTGTGAATGTAGAATATTTTAATGTGTTTTTTGCTTATGGGAAAATATATTTTTTATATATATATATATATATATATATATATAATATTATTTTTTCTAAAATCACAAAGGATTGCTTAGATTTTAATATTATGGAATTCACCAGGGAATTGTACATTAAAGTGTAAAATAACTTAACTGGCAAACTGTTTCTGATTTTGATCCATATTTATTTATTTATTCATTTTGACCTGACACTTTAAATACCACGATTCCCTGATAATTTCACGTTTTAGGAAATCATTTATGTGTATTATTTTTCCATATGAATCCCAAGGCTAGCATTACATCTGATCAATAAATTGACAATACACCTGATCAATAAATTGACAATACACCTGATCAATAAATTGACAATACACCTATAAGATAAAAAGCAGCATGCACAGTTTTCATGTGGGTTTTAATATGGTGTCAGCATTGAAATACTGGAGTAGTGGGGATACATGTAGAAATTGTTTGTTTGTAGGGTGGGGTTCTGTATAATTTCTCTTATTTATAAATAGATGTAAATGCATGTTGTGACCTACTGTACTTATAAAGCTAGCTATTATTCTACATAGGGAAAGGAATTTAATTCCCATGTGACATGGCCCCTCAAGCTGGATAAACATAGATCTTCATCCTGAAGATGTTGAGGAGCCCATCCATGCTGTGCGTGCCCAGCTCCATGCAGAGGAATGCATACTCTTCCAGATGAGCGCATTGAAACGAAAGCACTTACAGTGAGTATCCAGTGTCAGACCAGATCTGCAATCTTGCTGTGAATACTCCCCTAATAAGACTTCTCATATTCTATGGAATGAAAATTGATTCTCTCCGTCATCATGGGATCTCATTGCATGTACATAGCCATCTGTATGATGAATTACTATATATATATATATATATATATATATATATATATATAATTTACACAAGATCCGGCGCACTCACCTATCCACTAAACAGCAACTTCAATGTTGAAAGATTTTATTTGTTTCTTTAAAAAACACCTAATCTAGGCAAATATATATTCCTCAAAGAAAAGGATTTGCACTCTCTCAGGTTTTCCAAAAATCAACAAATGATTTTTTTTCTCAACGATGGCTAGAATAGAATTAGTGGTGACAATAGTATTAACTTACACAGAGTATGTACTATATTGTAACACCAAAACAGACCGTGCTATCACCAAAGTGTACCTCACTTACACGTATAGATAAACAACAAATACAAAACGATTTATACAGCCCCAAAGTGAAGTATAAACTAGGAATGGGATAGCACACCAGATATAGAGGATACAACCTGTACAACAGGAGGTGATCTATCGGAGATCTAGAAATATAAAATCATAAATAGTGAAGTATACAAAGTAGGGTGACTAAATTCAGCACTTACAAAAAACTATAGTGTTCTGCGCCTATCTCCCCTCTGGGGTATGTAGAAGGTGATAGAATCCTTCTTGTAAGATAAATCCTCGAGGGGGAAATAAGAAAAAAAATAGCAGATAGGGTAGTACTGTTAAAAGGTAACAACATTTATTGCACTTACATCAATGCTGTAATCAGCTAGCATATCTCCACTAGCAAGTGGAACAAGGTGGTGTGTTCATCTGTGCAAAGTGGAGTGGTAGTGGGATCCAGCAAAGTGGTATATAATAATAAAACATGAATAAACCTGGAAGTAAAAGTCTATATGAATCCAACGCGTTTTGTCAAGGTATGACTTCCTCAGGGATAGTATAAACTTAACTCATTTTAGAGTGGTAGTGCCTCCTGATACTGCATAAATATCACTAATCCAGACATTATGTAGAACTAACAATAGGTAAGCTGGAACAAACAACCAAATAGCCAACTCTTTCTTTTCTAAAGTGTGTCATTACCTTGATTTTCAGAGATTCCTGGTTTACTGCTGAACTCCAAAAGGGTAGTTTAGTGCCAATAAAATTTTTCCTGTTTAGTTCCAATTCTCTATTTAGGCTTGCATTGTAAATGGTCACGTAGTAAGCTGTGTTGAGTTTTTTTATTATCTTAAAACAAGTTTTAGATTTATGGCTTGATTTCTGCTGCATGGTAAAACGGATGTCGGAGTTGGTAAGCTGAATTGAAATTGAAACCAGTGAGTTTTGTAGAAGACTGACAGTGTTTTTTTTTTGTTTTTTTTTGTTGCTAGACTGAGAATTCATCAAGGATTTGCGAATTCGGGCTGAATAGGAAATATTCTCCAAGCCTTTTCTAGTGTGCTCTCTCAAACATCTCAACATTTTAAATGGCCATATATTGCATCTGATTTGTTTGTAACTGCAAAAGGTAGAAAATTAAAAAGACCTGTATGTCAGGGCTGCCCCCCCTCCTGCCATCCTCCTCCCCACACACACCAGCCTCAGCCAGCAAGTCACCCACCTGAAGACAACAGATATGCTAATAGGAGGGTGACTGCAAATATAAAAAATGGTGGGTGTGTGTGCGCGTGTTTTGAGATTCCTTGCCTGGGAGGGCAGGATCCAGGGGGCCCAAGTAAATTCTTGCCCAGAGTCCAATCAATATTAAAGACTGCCCTGATGTGTTTGTATATATGATGTGAAGTGCTTTTTCAACTGTTATTGAGAAAATCTCTCCAATGTGAGCCAATGATGTGTGCAAATACACCATACACCTGCTTTTGGCTTTTGTTTAATATAGTGGGAAGCACTATACTGAGGACTACTTGTACATTACTAGTGGGGAGCTGGTTTTGGGGTCTGCATATTTACACACTACCAGTGATATCCATACTTCGTGTGAAAAGGTGTCTCAAATTTGTCTTTGATGGCAAAATAGCTTTGGGTTCTGTGTAGCCACCCACACTTTTTTCCTTACTGTGTCTAGTAAAGAGTCCCCCAGTCTACAGGGTGCGTGTTCTGCCTTCTGTGAGATCATGATTGATTATCTCTATCCAGTACTTCACATATGGATGCACTGGGAAGAAAGGGCAATTGCTAAATTCTACCAATGCTTCTCTATGAGAAGCATCACCTGTGTTCAACCTCCTCATGTTGGAGGGGATGACTCTGAATGTGAAGACTTTCGAAGTAGCTCTCAGTCTGACCGTCAGTAGAGACTTAAGGGACGGAATCTATGCAAAAAAAGAAGAGAAGTTTTGGTGATCAGAGTATCCTTTTAAAGGTGCACTCCACAGGAAAATTGTTAAAATAAAATATTTAGTAAATATAACCCCATTGAAAAGGTGAATTTAGTGATGCATATTTTATTGAGGGTATATCTAAAAAGAGCTTTCAAAGCTGCAATTCTTGTACCTACAGACTTTACAAACCGTCTTTTTTTTTTTTTTCTCTCCCAGCATAGACTCATTAAGAAGCGTCTGATTCTACTCCGAGTGCACATCTGACAGAGGACCAGGGAGGTAGCTGTGGCTGCGGATAAGTAAGTAGGAGCAAGAAGGACAAGTAAGATCTTGGAGTCATGTGGATGCATGCTCACTGGCCTCTGTAAGAGACGGCAGCCTTGCTCTAGCACCCCTCCACTTCAGTTTTCTGTTAGTTCTGTGGAAGGAGGGGAGGGGGGGGGGCGGGCATTATTTAATAAATTATATAAAAGTGCAGATTTGTCATAGTAAGTAATTTGAACTTTTATAAAGCTCTTCACTCAGAAAGCACGTCAGCAAGCTGAATTGCTTTGTGTGTAGTTTGGTCCTTTTAAAAGCTGCTCTCGCAACCCCTACTCCACAATGAGTATTTCATAGAGGTTGAATCTTTATGAAATGCTCAGATTGGCTGTGTTGGAATTTTACTAAAATTCCAACCCAGTCAAAAGAAATACTGAGACAAAGTAGGGACTACTTGTATCTTAGTTTATTTAAATCTTTTTTTTTTTTTTTTTTCCTACACTTAACAAAAAGGCAGAGCTACCACTGTCAAGCTTGTGTTTTTTGTTTTTTTTTACCCAGCCGTCTCCAGTGACCTTTGTAGAGACACTTTAAGGAACACAAACATATATTCTTTACCCTATAGTGTTAAAACCACCATTAAGAAGGCTTGCCCCCCCCACCCCTTTAAAAAAAACTCCCTTATTTCCAAAGTCGCCCTGCCCCTGATACTCCTCCTTGCTGACATCAGAATTTATGATTTTATTTATTTATTTTTTCAATTCAGTGCTTTCCCACACACACAGCACTGGATTGGTTAAAATCGGCAAGGGGTCAGAGGCGGAATCAGTGCATCTCTATGAGGAAAACTCGGCGTCTCCATGCAGCGCGTGAAGACGCTGAACGGCAGTGCTGCACACTGTGCAGCACTGCCCCAGGAAGCGCCTCCAGTGGCCACAGGAAAGGCAATGTTTACATGACAATGCCTGCAGGGAATGATTTATACTCACCAGAACAACTACATTAAGCTGTAGTTGTTCCAGGGTCTATGGTGTCCCTTTAAGCTGTTTCAAAAGAGGATCCCATCCTTGAGACTACAGCGTTAACATTGGCAACTAGGAGCTGAATCATCAAGACTGTGACGGGGCTGCTTTAACATAGTTCCTGCAGATTTTTCTGTCTTTATAAAATAAACACAGATTGAGGGGAAAGATGCTCTAATTGTTGCCAGAATACACTGAGCAAAAGTCAGTGTGGTGGTTAACCTCTTGGTTTATTCTGGGTTCATGGCTTCTAGGTTTCAATTGAGGTTTCCTTTGCCAGGAAGGATGCATTGTAAATGCTCTCTCATTTCAATACAGTTCATAGAATATAGATGTATATTACTCATTTCAGTCATAGATCTTCTTTTTGACCTTGAAAAAGATAAAAAGCCGAGTTGAGTCTTTTGAGAAAAGATTATCATTTCTTTGCACTAAAGTTTTATTTCACATTCAAGAGTTTACAAGTTTCTTGTGAAAAAAACACCTTAACATGTTGCGACAGGTTTAGCTTTAACCATAAAGATCAATGATCTATTTTGGCTTAGGATATGTTCTATAATAACCTTTTACCGCTAGAAGGAAATCCATGGGTGTTGCACTCTTGTAAAACTCCCAGTCCCATCTCCTGTTGCATCTCCAAGTGGTTTAATCCTCCTCTGTAATACCAAATTTCCATAAGTGTCTCTCCATTCCAATAGTAGCAACAACAGTATGGCTCCTATAGCTTCCTGGCAAGTGCTTGCTTGGAGTTACCATCCATAAGAAAGAGCAGGAGAACCTCCCGTAGGACGGTCCTCCTGCTCTCTGCTGCCACACATTCCTTAGTGTTGACCTCTATGCCACAAACTGGGGAATGACTATATTTTGAAGTGTAAATTTTCTTTTATACAATAGAGCGTCAGTCTAACTGTGACCGGCACACTTTAAAGGTACAATCTAAGCACCATAACTACTACAGCTTGCCATAGGAGCTTTTGTTAGTCCTCTTGAGGTAAGCTCTGCACAGCTGGGCTTGGTTCAGAGAGAGCAGGTGGCTACAGAAAGGCGAGAGGCGGAGGAGCTGCGATCAGTAGACCCCAGGTAAAGAGTTTGCAGTGGTTTTGGGGGTTTCATTTAAAGTGAAAAGTACTCACAGAGACTCCTACCATGTTTGCTGATTGCTTTTTCAAATCTGGTTTTAGATCGATCTTGGGTTTTGAATGTATAACTTTGCTAACCTCAGTTTTCAATTACACAGTACGAGTAGCCTGTGATTTTTAAAACTCAGAAGAGCCAATACAAGAAGTAATGGTACACAGTGTTTACATAACTATACTGATAAACCATCTTTTCACGTAAAATGAAACCTTGAGTTTGACTCCAGTTTTACATCTGACTAAATTCATAGGGGATCTGAGGTATCAGGAGACTAATGGGCATGTCACTAAGCGGGCATGTCATCTTTAGGGTAAAGCAAAATTTGTGAAACTTTTTGGTAAATTGGGCAATGTGTAGAACCCTCTTATCAAGAAAACAAATTGACCTAATTAGATAAGAGGTTTAAATAATGGCTGGAAAAGTGGCAGGTGGCACAGGCAATGGTAGTTTCGGTTTTCCTGTGCCTATAAGAGATTTGTCCACGTAGAGATCGGATGAGTTACCAGGCCTCTAAGTAAGGAACTGATCATGATCTATGCTCTTCTCTCATCTGTAATTTATCATGTATAATTAATAAATAAAAAAAAAAAAATATATATATATATATATATAATCTCTCTATCTCTTACATGGTGTGACCCACATTGAAGTGCATAACCTAGAGCTTATTTTAAAATTTATAGATTGCCGGACTGCTGCCATCACTCTTTGCTTTCTAGTGCAGCGCATGATAAACATAGAAAACGAATCATGATATACAGGAAAATGTTGTTAATAAATCTTTGGTGTAATCAAACATGCCTAATATAAAAAACCTCTCCTAGCAGTTTAAGTGATAGCCCCATTTTCCAAATACTATTTTAAGACAACGGTTTGCGTAACATTATTTCCACACACATACCGTGCTCAACCGTCGATAGCAGCCAGTGAGCCATATCCTAGAAGTATTATTTCTCCAGTCTAGTTTTTATAATCTACCCTACAAATGTTTCTCGGGGGGAATTTTTATTTATTTTTGTGGTTCTTGAACTGTGCAGATGTTAACATATGTTTCTATAAGACAGGAAAAATATTTGAAGACATGGTCTGTAGCTTAAAGGAGTGGTAGGTGAGAGCGGTCCACTTTGGGTTACCACCAAGAAGAGGAGAGACCCTTTCCTGTTCTAGTATGGTCTAGCTCCTAGTGGATGTGTATGTATGTGTGTGTATGTATGTGTGTATATATGTATGTATATATCGAATTTTTTTTTTTTTTTTTTACACACCCGTTTATATAGACCATGTATTTTTTATTTTTTTTATTTATTTTTTTCAATGCATAAACATACCGAAAGACATCTGCTCTGTGCATTTCCTGGCTTACTTTTGCTTCATGGCAGTGGCCATCTTTTATTCCTGGTATTGAGTTATATAAACAATGGCTTGATCTGCTTCTGGAACTGGCTCAAAGTGGCCCAATGCCTGTAAAAGACATCAGAGTTTGCAAACCACGTTACCTCTGTTACTTGAACAGTCATGGATTAGATAAGTAGCCTTTGTTCCCTCTCAGCTGAGGGCTTGACTATACCTTTTTGTTAAGTGGTGGAAACTGACTTTGTCTTGCATGCATCTTTTGACTGATTTGGAATTTTGGTAAAAGATTTTCTTTATGAAATACTTGTTTTAGAAGGAGTGATTTTTAGGCCTACAATTGTCTGTCATCTTAAAGGGACACTATAGTCACCAGAACTCCAGCCTTTTGAATTTGTTCTGGTGAGTAGAATCATTACCTTCAGGCTTTTTGCTGTAAACACTGTCTTTTCAGAGAAAATGCAGTGTTTAGATTACAGCCTAATGATAACTTCACTGGCCACTCCTCAGCTGTTAGAGGTCCTTCCTGAGTCATGGCTGCCTAAAATGCATCCAAACATTCAGAATCTCCTCCCTCTGCATGCGGACACTGAACTAGCAGCATAGAGATTAATTGATTCAATTCATCTGAGGAGATGCTGATTGGCCAGGGCTGTGTTTGAATTGTGCTGGCTCTGCCAATGATCTGCCTCTTGGTCAGGCTCAGCCAATCCTATGGGGAAGCATTGTGATTGGATCAGGCTTCCACTTCTGCTGATGGCAGTGGGCAGGTCTCAAGGAAACCGGGAGAAAGCCAGCAGCTTTAGGGTTGAATACCAGTAAGATTTTACTGTATTTAGGGAGGCATGAGGGGACCAGGGTGGCTAGAAGGTGGTTTTAACCCCTTAAGACCGGAGTAATAGTACGCCCTCCATTTTTAAAAATTTATTTATTTTTTCTTACCCGGTCGCTGGCGATCGCGGTCGCTCCTGCAGCCCCCCAGCCATGTGAGAATGAGGTCCTCGCAAGGACCTCACAATCACATGGCCGGGTTAGCTGACTGCTGCATTGCCAGAGGGGGACTGCCTGTAATGACAGTCCCCCTGCTGGCTGGAAATAAAATAAAATTAAAGTTTAATAAGTGTAAAAAAATAAAATAATATACTTAATATAATATCTATATCTCAAATTACACGTAGACTGATATATATTTATTGTGTTTTATTATATATAATATAAAATATAGATTTGTTATTTCGTTCTAATTGTATTGTGATATTTAGATAGATAGATATATATCTATCTATCTCTCAAAATACACGTAGAACGAAATATTATCTATATACATAAATATATATGTGTATATATCACAATATATACATATATAAATACAAATATTAAAAAAAAAATATATATATATATATATATATATATATATATATAATTTATGTAATATTTTTACATAATTAGGTAGGTATTAATTTACAATTAGCGGGACCTGCCTGACAACCCATGCCGAAAAGTAAAAGGGAATTTAATTTGCTAGCACTATATTTAACCCTATAACTTTCCAAGACACCATAAAACCTGTACATGGGGGGGTACTGTTCTACTCGGGAGACTTCGCTGAACACAAATATTAGTGTTTCAAAACAGTAAAATGTATTACAATGATGATTTCGCCAGTAAAAGTTACTTTTTTTGCATTTTTCACGCACAAACAGCACTTACACGTGTGCTTGTTTGTGTTTGTTTGTTTTTTTCACATTAAAATTTGCCAGATTGGGGGGGCGTGGCCTGGAAGCCGGAGGACATGGTCGCATGAGCGGTGAGCTCCGGATCCCGACCGGGAGATAAAGGGGGAATGCGGCTCAACATACCCAGAATGGCAGATAAAAAGCAGCGTAACACAACGGGGCAGGCCCCAGCAGTTGACACCCCGGCAGCAAAAACTTCCCTGAGAAGGTATTTCGCCGAACAAGCGGACCCGCACAGACGGGACAAAATGGCGCCCGCAGCACAAACGCGGCAGCCAGCCATCAAGTCCGACGGCATCAGAGGGCTCCACTGAGGATCGAGAGATCCGGACCCTGCTGACACAACTGCCCTCAAAAGCAGACCTGGCAGCGATGTTCCAGAAACTGGAGGACAGCTTCAGTGAGAAACTGCAGGCAGTGGCAGCGGACGTGCAACAGCTTGGAGCCAGAGTACAAGACCTAGAGGAAGAGGCAGAGCACATCAACAAAAGAGGGGCTGAAGCCTATGACACCCAGGAAACACATGCAGAGGCAATAAGGTACCTACAAAGGAGGCTGGACGATGTAGACAACAGGGGGCGCCGAAACAACCTACGGGTGAGGGGAATCCCGGAAAGCGCGGAGGGTGCAACAGAAAACCCCATACAGGTTCTAACCACCCTCTTTAATCGCATCCTAGCCAGACCTAAAGACACAGCCATCACCTTTGACAGGGCCGCTAGGCCCAGAAACCTCCCTCCGGATAAACCACGAGACCTTATCTGTCGCATTCACAACTTCCCCTTAATTTAAGAAATCTTCCGTAAAGCCCGCCAAAACAAGGATCTAACGATAGACGGCCAACCGGTGACGATCTTTCAGGACCTGGCTCCATCCACGTTACAAGCAAGACGAGCCTTGCGGACCATCACACAGGCCTTGCTAGAGAGACAAATAAAATTCCAATGGAACTTCCCGTTTGCACTGACAGTCAACCTCCAGAACAAAACCCACACTATTACCTCACCAGAGGACGTTCCTGACTTCCAGAGGACACTCAAACTCCCACCGTCCGAAGTGGAAGACTGGACAGGGCTGGCGGCCAACCCGACAAGACAGACCCCACAAAAGCCCAAATGGCAAAGATCCCCGAGGAAAAGGCGCTGGCAAAACCACCCCGGAACAGACATAAGCGTTCAAACCAGGGAAGAACCAACCTGAGAACTGTTACGGTCGTATAAACGCACACTCGTGTCCTATATGTTTTTTACTTTTGTGTATATATCTATTATTTCTCTTTCCTTCTGTCGATATTATGCCAGATATATTTACCTTAGAAGGCCATGCCAATGCAACTAAATACTCTCTACACCATGTAACCAATGTTGCACTGCTATGCTATATTATGTCTTATTTAGAAACTTCAATAGTAGCCGCTACCGGGCTCTAGGGCCCTGCATTAGGATTCTAATAACATTATTCAACCTTAGGGCCTCAGGAGACCGGGTCCACGGGGCTTAAACCGAGGTCGCTCTCACCGCATACCCCATAACCCCCCCGATAAGGTGGATGAGGGGTAAATGTATGACATCCATGATTGCCCCGCTGGAACCCCTGGATACCCCCGGTCGGGAGATCCGACCGCTACCCCCCCCCCAGAGAGGCGCCTCGACTCCACTTGTGGTCACGTAGAGTTACCCACAAGTGCAGCGCCAATCTCACCACCTGAGATGAACCTCTCATCTCAACCCTATGTAAATAGTTTATGGTTTTCCCCAGTTCCTCACCCCCCCCATGTACTAATACTGCCACCACAATACTACTAAGCACATCATCCACGGGTAAGGCCCTTGACTCATTAGATAAGCTTCTACTGCCGGATCCACCACCATGATCCATACAAAATTAATGTCCCTAAATGTGCGGGGACTAAACTCACCTATGAAACGCACGATGCTAGCACAAGAAATAGACAGACAGGGAGCCGAAA